GTGTTCGACGGCGACGGAGTGTTGGAGGGCGACGGCGTGGGGGAATGTGTGGACGAAGGCGACGGCGTGTTCGATGGCGACGGCGTGGGCGAATTCGTGGCCGAAGGTGATGGCGTGTTCGACGGCGACGGCGTGTTCGACGGCGACGGCGTGTTCGACGGCGACGGCGTGCTTGAAGGCGACGGTGTGGTGGAAGGGGACGGCGTATTAGACGGCGAAGGCGAGGGCGTGGGTGAATTCGTGGAAGACGGTGACGGCGTGGTGGATGGCGACGGTGTATTCGACGGCGACGGAGTGTTAGATGGCGACGGCGTGGTGGACGGCGACGGCGTATTCGACGGCGACGGAGTGTTAGACGGTGACGGCGTGTTCGACGGCGACGGCGTGGCCGAGTTGGAGGGCGACGGCGTGTTGGAAGGCGACGGCGTGTTGGACGGAGTTGGCGTGTTTGACGGCGATGGCGTGTGAGAAGGCGACGGCGTGCTGGACGGCGATGGCGTCGTGGAAGGCGACGGTGTATTCGATGGCGACGGCGTGTTGGACGGCGACGGTGAGTTCGAGGGCGACGGCGTATTCGACGGCGACGGCGAGGTGGACGGCGAGGGTGTGGTTGAGGGCGACGGCGTGTTGGACGGCGACGGCGTGGGCGAATTCGTGGCCGAAGGCGACGGCGTTGTGGTTGGCGACGGCGTGTTCGATGGCGACGGCGTGGGGGAAGGCGACGGCGTGTTTGATGGCGACGACGTGGTAGATGGCGACGGCGTGGCGGAAGCTGACGGCGTGTTGGATGGCGACGGCGTAGGCGAGTTGGAGGGCGACGGCATGGTGGAGGGCGACGGCGTGGCCGAGTTGGAGGGCGATGGCGTGGTGGAGGGCGACGGCGTGGTGGATGGCGACGGCGTGGTGGACGGCGACGGCGTGTTGGAAGGTGACGGAGTGGTGGATGGCGACGGCGTGTTCGATGGCGACGGCGTGTTCGACGGCGACGGTGTGTTGGATGGTGACGGAGTGGTGGAAGGCGACGGCGTGGTGGATGGCGACGGTGTGTTCGAAGGTGACGGCGTGGTGGACGGCGAAGGCGTACTCGACGGCGACGGCGTGTTGGAAGGTGACGGCGTGGCCGAGTTGGAGGGCGACGGCGTGTTCGTTGGCGACTGCGTGTTGGAGGGCGACGGCGTGGGCGAATTTGTGGGCGAAGGCGAGGGTGTGTTTGATGGCGACGGCGTGGTGGAAGGTGACGGCGTGTTCGACGGCGACGGAGTGTTTGAAGGTGACGGTGTGTTGGAAGGTGACGGCGTGTTGGATGGCGACGGCGTGGTGGACGGCGACGGCGTGGTGGACGGCGACGGCGTGTTAGACGGCGATGGCGTGGTGGAAGGGGACGGTGTGTTTGACGGCGACGGTGAGTTGGATGGCGACGGCGTGGGGGAATATGTGGGCGAAGGTGACCGCGTGTTGGACGGTGACGGTGAGCTAGACGGCGACGGCGTATTCGATGGCGACGGCGAGTGGGAAGGTGACGCCGTGCTCGATGGAGACGGCGTGTTAGAGGGCGACGGCGTGGCCGAGTTGGACGGCGACGGCGTATTCGACGGCGACGGCGAAGTGGATGGCGAAGCCGTGGGTGAATTGGTGGACGAAGGCGACGGTGTGTTGGATGGCGACGGCGTGTTGGACGGCGATGGCGTGTTGGAAGGCGATGGCGTGTTTGACGGCGATGGCGTGTTCGACGGTGACGGCGTGTTCGACGGCGACGGCGTATTCGACGGTGACGGTGTGATTGATGGCGACGGCGTGGTGGATGGCGACGGCGTATTCGACGGCGATGGCGTATTGGACGGCGATGGCGTGTTAGAGGGCGACGGCGTGGTGGACGGCGATGGCGTGGTGGAGGGGACGGCGTATTCGACGGCGATGGCGTGTTCGACGGCGACGGCGTATTGGACGGCGATGGCGACGGCGTGGGTGAATTGGTGGATGAAGGCGACGGCGTATTGGACGGCGATGGCGTGTTCGATGGTGACGGCGTGTTCGACGGAGATGGCGTGTTGGACGGTGACGGTGAGTTCGACGGCGACGGCGTGTTGGATGGCGACGGCGTGTTGGAAGGTGACGGCGTGGTGGACGGCGACGGCGTGTTGGAAGGCGATGGCGTGGTGGACGGCGACGGAGTGTTGGACGGAGACGGCGTGGGCGAATTTGTAGGCGAAGGTGACGGCGTGTTCGATGGTGACGGCGTGGTGGACGGCGACGGCGTGTTGGACGGCGACGGTGAGTTCGACGGCGAGGGCGTGTTGGATGGCGACGGCGTGGGCGAATTCGTGGACGAAGGCGATGGGGTGGTGGATGGCGATGGCGTGGTGGACGGCGACGGCGTGTTCGACGGCGATGGCGTACTCGACGGCGACGGTGTGGTTGATGGCGACGGCGTGGGTGAATTCGTAGACGAAGGTGATGGTGTGTTGGACGGCGACGGCGTAATGGATGGCGACTGCGTGGTGGAAGGTGACGCCGTGGTGGAAGGCGACGGCGTGGTCGAAGGCGACGGTGATGCCGAGTTGGAAGGTGACGCAGTGCTCGATGGTGATGGCGTGTTGGAAGGCGAGGGCGTGGTGGACGGCGACGGTGAGTTCGACGGCGAGGGCGTGTTGGACGGCGAGGGCGTGGTGGACGGCGAGGGCGTGTTGGATGGCGACGGCGTGGGCGAATTTGTGCCCGACGGCGATGGCGTGTTCGATGGTGACGGCGTGTTGGACGGAGATGGCGTGTTGGACGGCGACGGTGAGTTCGACGGCGACGGCGTGTTGGATGGCGACGACGTGGTGGAAGGTGATGGCGTGGTGGATGGCGACGGCGTGGGTGAATTGGTGGGCGAAGGTGATGGCGTGTTCGATGGCGATGGCGTGTTCGAGGGCGACGGCGTGGCCGAGCTTGAGGGCGACGGCGTGGTGGACGGCGATGGTGTGTTGGAAGGCGACGGCGTGTTCGACGGAGATGGCGTGTTGGACGGCGACCGTGAGCTAGAGGGCGACGATGAGCTTGACGGAGACGGCGTGTTGGACGGCGACGGTGTGTTAGATGGCGATGGCGTGTTGGAAGGCGATGGCGTGTTCGACGGCGACGGTGTGGTGGATGGCGACGGCGTGGCCGAAGCCGACGGCGTGTTTGACGGCGACGGCGTATTCGACGGCGACGGCGTGGTGGAAGGCGATGGCGTGTTGGACTGCGACGAGGTTGCAGAAGGCGACGGCGTGGTGGAAGGCGACGGCGTGGTGGATGGCGACGGTGTGTTCGATGGTGACGGCGACGGCGACGGCATATTCGAAGGCGACGGCGTGGTGGAAGGCGAAGGCGTGTTCGACGGCGAAGGCGTGTTCGACGGCGACGGCGTGGTGGATGGCGACGGCGTGGGTGAATTCGTGGACGAAGGCGATGGGGTGTTCGACGGCGACGGCGTGGTGGATGGCGACGGCGTGGTGAATTCGTGGACGAAGGCGATGGGGTGTTCGACGGTGATGGTGTGTTCGACGGCGACGGCGTGGTAGAGGGCGACGGGTGTTGGAGGGCGACGGCGTGTTGGATGGTGACGGCGTGTTGGATGGTGACGGCGTGTTGGATGGCGACGGCGTGGGTGAATTGGTGGGCGAAGGCGACGGCGTATTGGACGGCGACGGCGTGTTAGATGGCGACGGCGTGTTGGACGGCGACGCCGTTGGGGACAGCGACGGCGTGTTAGACGGCGACGGCGTATTGGACGGTGACGGTGTGCTTGAAGGCGACGGTGTGGTGGAAGGGGACGGCGTATTAGACGGCGACGGCGTGTTGGACGGCGAGGCCGTAGGTGAATTCGTGGAAGAAGGTGACGGCGTGTTGGATGGCGACGGTGTATTCGACGGCGACGGCGTGGCCGAGTTGGAGGGCGACGGCGTGTTGGACGGAGTTGGCGTGTTTGACGGCGATGGCGTGTGAGAAGGCGACGGCGAGCTGGACGGCGATGGCGTCGTGGAAGGCGACGGTGTATTCGATGGCGACGGCGTGGGCGAATTCGTGGACGAAGGCGACGGCGTATTGGAGGGCGATGGCGTGTTGGATGGCGACGGCGTGTTGGACGGCGACGGCGTGTTCGATGGCGACGGCGACGGAGATGGCGACGCCGACGGCGTGGTTGTGGGCGAGGGCGTGCTCGACGGTGAAGACGACGTCGTGCTCGACGGCGACGGTGGGCGTGAAGGCGATGACGATGGTGAAGGCGAGGGGAGGTTACAATTCGCAAGATAGGTCGTCGACAGCGACTGATCGTTCGAGTCCGCTGTATGCGTGTGCGGTCGTGCGTGCGTGTGTGTATTATCTCTTGGCATGAGTCCTGAGGCGAGTTACCAGAACAAACACAGACAAAAACAAACAAACCTGTTTCGGTGATGGCGACGATGGCGTCGCTGGTGATGAGGTAGATGTTGGCCTGGAGCGTCGTGCGCCGACTGGGGGGCGAGTAGTAGATGAGGATGGTGGACTGGAGCGTGTTGATGCCCGATACAAAGTTGGTGATGTAGATGTCGAAGGTTGTGTTGAGCACCGTCGCTTCCAGGCCCGCGTACAGCTCTACTTTGAACTGTTGAGTGGTGTACGTGCGTGTGTTGTCAGCCCTCCTTAGGAAGGGGGGAAAAAACAAGAGCACGTGTGCGGTGGTGCATGTGCGGGCGGGTGACTACGCACATCGTCACTGGTGCGGGGAGTGAACGGGTCCAAGTTCCAGAAGTCCGCGTTGACAATCTGCACACACCAGTCGAGCGCCAAAGGCGTCGCCGAGGGTGACGCCGACGGTGAAGCTGAGGGCGAAGGCGTAGGAGACGGCGTAGGCGTGATCGAAGGCGTCGGTGATGGCGTGGGAGTGACCGAAGGCGTCGGGGACTGCGTGGACGTGACCGAAGGTGTCGGGGACTGCGTGGGCGAAACGGACGGCGTCGGCGACGACGACGGGGTTTGCGTGGGCGACGGCGATGGGCTGGGGGTTTCCGACGGACTGGCCGACGGCGACAGCCCCGGGGTCAGGGATGCGGACGGGCTCACGGATATGGACGGCGACGGCGACGGACAGATCGCATTGAAGGTGTTGTTGAAGGTCACCACACCAGTGCCAACCGCGCCGCAGACCGCTTGCAGGGTCACGCGGTTGATGTTATTAATTTCTGTTATGTGTCGTGTGTTGTGCCGGTATGTTGGATGACCGAGGCAAGAGAGGAAGAGGAGGAGGTTAGCGCCGGTTATGCCAATGCAAGTAAAGTGCAGAACGAGACACGGCGAGTGAGGGAAAGGCGTGTACGGCTTCGCTTCGAGTTAACATAAGTGGGGTCATAGATTACGTAGGAGATGCTGGCGTTCAGCGGAAAGCTCACATAAGATAGCGAGTTGTTCCAGTTGTAGCTTTGGGGGGGGGTGCGTAAATAGCAAAAGAAAAATGGGGGAATGAAAAAGTGAGTTGAAAGAAACCCCCCGGGGGGGAGGCGCTAGAGAGGGTGGAGGGTGAGGCAGTAGGTACGTAGGACCGAAGACGGCGTTGGTGGCGTAGGAGTCCTGGAGCAGTTGGCCCACGTAGGTTACGTTGGCGGTGCTGATGGGGTCCGTTGACACGCACGTAGCGCTCACAGCGAGAGTGCAGTTCTGCTGGCCGTTCGCCCCTGCGATGAGACACGTACAACCAAACGCACCCCACCGCACTCAGACATGCTCTTGGGGAGGGGGAGGCAAAACAACATTATCTGGGAAATAAAAGCAGAGGGTGAAGAGGGTCAAGTAAGATCATTAGTTGTACCAACACTAAACAACAGGCCGAAGAGAAGACCCAAGAGGAACCGGGTAACTGGGCTGGCTGGCGCGATGGAGCTGCGTGAAGTTAAAGGATGTTCTACAAAGGATGTTCTCATTGTCAGGACCATGACGGTGGACCGCCTTGCGTGTTGCTTTGAACACTCGTAGAGAGCGAGACAAGCGGAAGTGTTGGGTGGGGCGGAGCATGAGGAGCGCACCGCGGCTCCACCCCTAAACAAAGCCTTGGTCTGTAAAAGGACAAACCCAAGGCACGCCAGCTAGATGGCGCCTCCTTTTTGTATTTTATGTTAACTCCATTTGTCCTGCTGGCGTCCAAGTTTGTTCTTTTCGTGTTGGTATCTGCCAAGAAGGAAGTCCATTTTAGGCGTTGGCCACATCGAGCCGGGGACGATGGCCGGAGCGACTCTGCGCCACGAACTAGCAAAGGCCCTGGGAAATCCTTCCGCGACTGCTGGCCTCGTCGCTCACCCCCAGCACCTCCCGTCCATCTCGCGCGCACACTCACGCCCACGACACAGCGGACCCAATGATGATCAATTATGTTATTATTATTAAAGAAATTGATCCTAAATAAGAGGGGGAAAAAAGTGATAAGTTGGAAGAAGGAAAAAAAGAGGGTGCGCCTGCTGGGGAGCGGCAGAGCCATTATTGGGGCGCGCGGGTCGGCGTGCGTGAGGCTGACTTGGAGGGCGAGCGGGTGGGCGTGCGGGTGGGAGTGCGGGTGGGCGTGCGGGTGGGCGTGACGGTCGTGGTCGGACTGCGCGTGGGCGACGGGGAGGTCTTGGTGGGCGACGGCGATTTCGACTGGGAGAGCTGCGGGCCTGGTCCCCTCGAAATGGTGGGCGTGACCGTGTTGGTGGGCGTGGCCGAGTTGGGGGGCGAGTTGGTGGGCGTGATGGACGGGGTGAAGGAGATGGCGGGTGTGGCGGACGGGGTGAGCGAGATGGTGGGCGATGCCGACTTCGAGAAGGAGATGGTGGGTGTCGGGGTGCGCGAGTTGGACGGGGTGAAGGAGATGGTGGGCGAGTTGGACGGGGTGAAGGAGATGGTGGGCGTGATCGAGGGCGTGTGCGAGATGGTGGGGGTCGGCGTGCGCGTGATGGACGGTTGACGGGAGTTGCTGGGGGTGGTGGACGGTGTGACAGAGATGGTGGGCGTGATCGACGGGGTGACAGAGATGGTGGGCGTGACCGACGGCGTCACAGAGATGGTGGGCGTGACCGACCTTGTGGGCGACCTGGAGGGCGAGAACGAGATGGAAGGCGAGACCGAGGGTGTGGGCGACGTGGAAGGAGACTGGGTGGGCGACTGAGTAGGCGACGACGTGCTGGAGGGCGACCGCGTGGGCGACGACGTGGGCGACCGGGTCGGCGACGGCGTGGGTGAGTTGGTCGGCGAGTTGGTCGGCGACTGCGTGGGCGACTGCGTGGGCGACCGGGTCGGCGACTGCGTGGGCGAGTTGGTCGGCGACCGGGTCGGCGACGACGTGGGCGAGTTGGTCGGCGAGTTGGTCGGCGACTGCGTGGGCGACTGCGTGGGCGACGGCGAGCTCGTAGGCGACTGGGTGGGCGACTGCGTGGGCGACTGCGTGGGCGAGTTAGTGGGCGACTGCGTGGGCGACTGCGTGGGCGACTGTGTGGGCGAGTTGGTAGGCGAGTTGGTTGGCGTGCTGGTCGGCGAGTTGGTCGGCGACTGCGTGGGCGACGGCGTGCTCGTCGGAGACTGCGTGGGAGATGGCGTGCTCGTCGGAGACTGCGTGGGAGATGGCGTGCTCGTCGGGGACTGAGTGGGCGAAGGCGAGCTCGTCGGAGACTGGGTGGGCGACTGCGTGGGCGAGCTGGTCGGCGAGCTGGTCGGCGAGTTGGTCGGCGAGTTGGTGGGCGACTGCGTGGGCGACTGCGTGGGCGAGCTGGTGGGCGACTGGGTGGGCGACTGGGTCGGCGACCGGGTGGGTGACTGCGTGGGCGAGCTGGTCGGCGACTGCGTGGGCGACGGCGTGGGCGACGGCGTGGGCGTTCTGGTGGGGGTCGGCGTCGGCGTAGACGTCGGCGAAGGAGTCCGCGTGCGCGTGGGGGTCGGGGTCTGCGTGGGCGACGGCGTGTTGGTGGGCGACTGCGTCGGCGAGGGCGACGGGATGTTGCAAGCCGAGACGTAGGTGGTCGACAGCGACTGATCGCTCGAGTCGGCCGTGTCAGTGATTGCCACAATCGCGTTACTGGTGATGATGAAGATGTTGGCCTGCAACTGCGATCGCCGACTGGGCGGCGAGTAGTAAATGAGGATGGTGGCCTGGAGCGTGTTGCTTCCCGATACAAAGCTGGTGACGTAGATATCCCACGTGGTATCAGGCACCGCATCGTTCAGGCCGGTGAAGATTTGGTCTTTCAACTGCAGCCAGCCAGCCAGCCAGCCAGCGGGCGCTCTTGTCAGTCCTTTCCGTTGTGTGTCATGTCGTGTCGTTGTCGTTGGTTGTGTCGTGTCGTGTCGTGTCGTGTCGTGTCGTGTCGTGTCGTGTCGTGTCGTGTCGTGGGGTATGTACATCATCGGCCGTGCCTACGAGAGGGAACGGAACCACGTTCCAGAAGTCAGCGTTCACCACCTGCAGACACCAGTTGAGGACCAGGGGCGTCGTAGAGGGCGAAGCCGACGGCGTCGAGGTGGGGGTGATGGAGGGAGTCTGGGTCGGCGTGACCGAGGACGTAGGCGACTGGGTCGGGGTCTGCGTGCGCGAGGGGCTCGAGGTCGGGCTCTGGGTCGGCGTTGGCGTGCGGGTCGGGGTCGGGGTCGGCGTTCGGGTGCGGGTCGGAGTCGGGGTCGGGGTCCTGGTCCTCGTGGGCGTGGGCGAGGGCGTCCGCGTGGGCGATGGGGTCGGCGACGAGGTCGGCGAGCTGGTGGGCGACTGGGTCGGCGACTGAGTGGGCGAGTTGGTCGGCGATTGGGTGGGCGACTGGGAGGGGCTCGGCGAGGGCGACTCGCTGGGCGAGTTGGTCGGCGACGGAGTGTTCGAGGGCGACTGCGTGGGACTCTGCGTGTTCGACGGCGTGGACGTGGGACTCGGCGTGTTCGACGGCGTGCTCGTGCGCGTCGGGGAGGGCGTCCGCGAGTTCGAGGACGTGGGGGACGCACTCGGGGTTGTGGACGGCGAGGGCGACGTACAAACTGAGGCGAAGTTGTTCGCAAAGGTGGTCACCGTTCCTGAGTCACCAACGGCACCGCAGATCTCACGGATCACCAAGTTGTTGATGTTGTTGATTTCTGGAATCGAGAAAGAGAGATGTGGGGTAAGTCGATACTCTCGTGGCGTTACGGCCGGGAATGGGAAGATTATTGCGAGATTGTTGGGGGGGGGGTGAATTGTACGCGCTCGTTTCCCGCTAACGTAGATGGGGTCGTAAATGACGTAGGAGAAGGCGGCGCTAACAAAGTTCGTAACAGCGTAGGTGTACGCGTTGTTCCAGTTGTAGCTGCGGCAAGAGGCATCGACATGTTCAGTTTTGATGTGCAAGTGAAATCTCTCTCCAACGAGGATAAGGTAGTTAGCAGAGGAGGCTACGTGGGGGAGCATACGTGGGACCAAACGCGCCATTGCTGGCGTAGTAGGACTGAATCAGCGCGTTTGTGGTGGTCGAGTTGTAGAGAGAGTTGACGAGGTTGGGGAGAGGGATCGAAGACAAGCACGACGCGTCCACAGATAGCGTACAGTTCTGCTGTCCACGAGCGCCTACATCACACAACAACAACAACAACAAACTACATCAGGAAAAACAACTTCAACTGTCGAGGATTGAGAGTGCGTACCGGAGACCAGCAAGCTCACGAGGAGACAAGCGAACAGGAGGGGGGTCGCCGACGAAACACGAGATGATTTCATCGTCAGCATCTTTGATGAAGAAGCAAGGCTCCAATAATGATAATAATCCAATCTTCTGCTTCCTCCTCACACCGGGAAGGGCAGAACAACAAAGTCGACTACTCGGCGCAAACCCCAGAGGGGGGAGATCAGTTTGGAGAGAGCGAAAGAAGAGAAGAGCAGTAGCTGCCCCCACACATACAGCCGACGGACTTGCGACGACCTTGCCCAAGGGTCAGTCGTTGTGCATTGGGCCAACTTATAAAAGGAAAACACGTGGAGGGCAATGTCGTTGTTTGGGTCAGTCGCAACCTGCGGGAGTTACGACAATAGCGATGCCCAGCTTTTTCCTCTTCTCCTGATTGTTGCAGTTGTTGGTGGCGGCGATGGTGTTGGTGTTGATGTTGCAGATGTCGTTATCGTTGTTGTGGCCCTTCGTGTTCTCAGTGCTGCGTAGGGTGCCCCGCGCGCGGACTGCCGATGCAGCTCCCCAATCCTCAGCCCACTTGCGTTTGCGGCCGGCTGGTGGACTGCACCCGTCCGTGGTGGCCACCGTTCGCCTCCTCTTTTCTTGTACGCCCCCGGACCATCCTTCAAGCGAATAGTGAGCTCGCGTGTCGTGCGTGTCGTGCGTGTCGTGCGTGCGTTCTCATACCATTGTCCAGTGCCGCCGACGAGATCCAACCTCGTTTGTTGCGGCCATGGTTCGCTGCTGCGGTCATGGTGGTGACCACCTGCTGCACGAGGGTCACTACGCACAGGCCCTCCTGTGATCGCCCAGGCACACCGACCTCCACAGCCGCCGGTCCTCCGCAGCAGCCGAGGCTTCTCTCGCTCCTCGCCTGCAGTCCGCCCTTCTCGCGGTGCTCGCAGCACACCTTGTCGCCCACGACCACCTTAGCCCGCTTGCGCAGGTGGGCCAGCAGGTCCCGGATCTGTACGTCTTCCTCCTCTTCGTTGTCTTCTTCTTCTTCCACCTCTTCCCTTTGTTCTTTTCGTTCTTGCTCCCACTTCATCTCCTCCTCGTCGTTGCTGGCCGAGTCGAGTTTTCGCTTTCGGTTGGCCGCAGCAGTAGCCGAGGGGGCCTCGCCTGCGCGCTGCGACAGCACCGCCTGGCACACTGCCACCACCCTGCGTACAGCAAACTCAATCAGGCCCCACAACTGACTGCAACGCACACAACACGCACATCCGACAGAGGGCCGTACTTGACGAACTCGTCCAGAAATTCGACCACGTGGCGGTCGTGCGATGGCCCCGCCGCTCTGCTCCGGCGCTGGTGTTCGTCCTTCTCGCGCTCCTCTCGAATCTTGTAGAGCTGCTTCAGCACGTCGACGAGCAACTGCTGCTCCAGCGAGAGACCGCAGCCGCCGGCCACGCACGTCTCTTGGTCGCGCAGAGGATGTACAGCGCAGAACCCACCGGCACCAGTGTCTAGAGGCAGGTCGACGATATGTGCACGTGTGGACAGTCGCAAGCTCTTCTCCAGCTTCTGCAGAAACAGTCCCATCTCCAGAATCTGAAATTGAAACGGCTTTCGATTATTATTTTGTTATTTTAAAAAAGGATTAAAATGGGAAATGGCAGGTGCATACAGTACCAACAACGGCCAGAGAGACAGAGCGAAGAAGACCAGCCCAGCCGCTTTCGGAGAGAAAAGAAGACCGATTAGCGGAAAAAATTGCTGCCGATTTTTCGTCCTGAATTCTAGGAATGTGCCTGTTGTGCTTGGCGGGAGAGGAGTAAGGGGCAGGACAAAACGGAAGAACAATGACGGGCCGTTATTTTGGAGCCCGCCCACTCTGCTGCACTTTCCCTCCCTCACTACACCCATACGCCCCCCACAAGACGGCCTTTGATCAATTATGGCAACCAATGCATCTTCCCTAGACAGCAGCAACCGCGGCAATCACTACGATGACGACAACAACAACGGCTATGGCGACTATCGCGGTGGGCAGCACTTTGGATGGATACGGCGGCCCAACGGCGATCTGCACATCCGCGTCTCGGCGCTGGCTTTGTACGAAGCGGCGCGGCCTGTAGTGGCGCTTCAAACGCTTGGACTGTTTGCCGCCAGCGTCGCCGCGTTCCTGATAACGCCGGTGCGCTGTCTCGTCGGCGCCTGGCTCGCGTTTGCCCTCTACGATTTCGTCTCGGTAGCGCCGTACTTTGAGTTTGCCCTGCTCGCCTCGCTCGGCTACCACACCGCCTACGACTTCCCGGCGTGGGTCGAAGCGGCTGTCGTCGCCGCCGCCGTGGCCTACGTCGTGGTGGCGCCCGTCGCCAGGCTCACGTCGTTGCTGTGGCGCCTGTGTGGCATAGCAGTGACGACGGCATTCTGCGCTCTTATCTCGCTCGGCATGGCCGCGCCAATTTGGGTGACATGGAGTCTTATGGTCGTGGGCAGCGCGTCGATGCTGATGCCTCACAGCGCCACTCTCTATGTCGGCTTTGCAACGATCCACCGGGTGCTGCTCGCGCTTTTGCTCTTGTACCGCTATGTGTGGCGCAATCTTGCTTCATAAAAGGCGGCGCTCGCGTCAAAACCCACACGCCCTGCCCCACGGGCGCCACTCGGCATTGCCATTTAAATAAATGAGAGGAGCGGTGGATGCGGATGAAGCCATTGCGGCGGCTCGCTGCCGTGGTGGCGACAGCGACAACGAGTTTCTCTTCTCCGATGACAATGACGAGGACGTCGATGTTGTGGCCGCCGGAAACGCAACGACGACCGTCATCGGCCAGCGTCGGAGGCAGTGCCAGCGCCAGAGCCCGAGCCCGAGCCGACCTACTCTAAACTGGCGTACGAGACCGACCGAATGGATTCCATTCCGGCGCTCGACCCCTTTGCTCGCGTGCTCCCCCACTTTGTGGCCGAGGCCGTCGCCGGTGCCCAGGGCCTCGCCGACAAGCCACGCCCCGGTGCTGCCCAAGCTCCGGCCAGGTTGAATGCGACGGCGCGGCCGGCCTCGTGAGACGGCCTAAACAGGCACCCACGACGACTGTGCTCCGCGGTGGGCGAGAACGAGTGCGAACAAAGATGGTGCACGGACGCACGGTGTCTAGGAAAATGAAGACTGTGCGGTGACATTGCTGCGCGCAAGAAGTTGCAGGAGAAGAAAGGTGAGCAAGAAAAGATTCTGTACGCCGGGATGTGTGCAAGTAGCGGTTTATTTAGGGCTTGGCCACGGTCAGTTGCCGCCACGGAGACGGAGCACGAGGTGGAGGGTGGACTCCTTCTGGATGTTGTAGTCGGCGAGGGTGCGGCCGTCCTCGAGCTGCTTGCCGGCGAAGATCAGGCGCTGCTGGTCGGGAGGGATGCCCTCCTTGTCCTGGATCTTCTGCTTCACATTCTCGATCGTGTCCGAGCTCTCGACCTCGAGGGTGATCGTCTTACCGGTCAGCGTCTTGACGAAGATCTGCATACCACCACGAAGGCGGAGGACGAGGTGGAGCGTGGACTCCTTCTGGATGTTGTAGTCGGCGAGCGTACGGCCGTCTTCGAGCTGCTTGCCAGCGAAGATGAGACGCTGCTGGTCAGGGGGGATACCCTCCTTGTCCTGGATCTTCTGCTTCACGTTCTCGATGGTATCGCTCGACTCGACCTCGAGAGTAATCGTCTTGCCGGTAAGGGTCTTGACAAAGATCTGCATACCACCACGAAGACGGAGGACGAGGTGGAGCGTGGACTCCTTCTGGATGTTGTAGTCGGCGAGCGTGCGGCCGTCCTCGAGCTGCTTTCCGGCGAAGATAAGACGCTGCTGGTCGGGAGGGATGCCTTCCTTGTCCTGAATCTTCTGCTTCACGTTCTCGATGGTGTCGCTCGACTCGACCTCGAGGGTGATGGTCTTGCCGGTGAGGGTCTTCACGAAGATCTGCATTGTTGGCTGCTTGTGTGTAGCGCTTGTTGGTTTGTGTTGTTTTGATTGAGCGTGGCCTCTTGTCCTTTTTGTGTGGCGCTTGTGTTGCGGTATGAGAAGAGGAGAAGAGACGTTTTTTGAAGGCGTATTGGTCGCCAAAGCAGTGAAGCCATTTCAGTATCTTTCCGTAACCAACTGAAAGACACTGAAATGGCTTTCGAAATCCGAAAAATAAATTTCGGCAGCGTGAAAAAACACAGAGCTTTCCTTTTATGAGTTTATTATTTTCTTTTATGTGCAATTTCCTCGAAATAAGGCCTTAAAAGGAAGCGGGAAGCTGGGTCATGGGCTTGCCTCCCTATGACTTTGAACGAGGCCCAGGTGGACGTGCTGCACGAAGTGCGCGCGCTTCTTGCGATCCAGGTACTCCCGGGTGCACTGGCCAATGCTCTCCCGTGGCGCCATGATGAACGTGCAGCGCGATCCGTGACCTGTTGGGCGATGTGACGTGATGTGGTGTGGGTCAGAGCTCACGCCTCATGACAAACCGTGCGACGCCTCAGAATGTGTGGAGAGAGAGAGAGAGAGATCACGCACATGACACGACACACACAGAGATCGCGTGCGTGAAGCAGAAGGCTATTGAGGGAGAGAAGCGAACCAAGGGCTTCGCAGGCAACTTCGACGACTCCCAACTTGAGCAGCCGAGCAGTGGTGCCGCCCTTCTGCTTGTCGGTGGGCGCGCTCTGGCCCTGAGATGCGCGCAGGCACTCGTTCGCGAAACCTGTGCAGTAGTGTGTCGTTTGCGGTCGTATCGCGTTAGGTGGAGAACAGCGAGGAATGGAGACTCGGTTCGGCCCTTACCGGTGATGTAGCCCGCGGCCATGAGACACACGGGCGGCCGGCTGTAGTCGCCGCGCGGCGACTGGGCGCGGCCGTGGTCGTGGTCGTGGTCACCGCAGCTTTCCTCGCCTGACGACAGCTCCTCCCGGCCCTCGCTCTCCTTCTTCTTCCACACGTGCGCCTCGACGCTCTGGTGGATCGCAAACTTGAGGTAGAACCCGCTACCACTGCTGCTCTCCCCACAGCTGACGTCGAGGCTGGCCTCCTTGGCGTAAAGCCTCATGACACCCCAGCCCATATGGGCCAGGAGCGACGGCAGAGTCAAAAACATCTGCACGAAGCTGCTCGATTCCTACAAAACCATCGACCCGCGCCCACCACTAAGCATCGCACACACGACACACACGACACACACGACACGTGGCGTGTGCGCACCTGTTGAAGGACCTTGCGGGTGTAGAAGCGTTGGTCGGTCTTGCCCAGGCTGCGGGCAAAGTCGAAGAGGAACTTGGAGGCGAAGAGCTGGGCGTCGGCCCGCTGGTCGGCCGGGAACATCTCCCTGAGCAGGTGGAAGAACTCGTAGGAGATGGCCTCGCCCCGGATGAAGATATGGCGGTGGCCGTCGATCGTCACATTGCCGTGCCGCGGGTCGAGCACCTGGTTGTCGAAGATGGCCTTCATGAGCCGACGGCTCCGCTTGGTCTCGGTCGTGATCACCCGCTCGATCTCCGCCGTCTGCTGGCCAATCGTGGCCGGGTTGACTTTTCGATCGAACGGAGCGGGGGTGGGGGAGGCAGGGGTGGGGGCGGGGGCGGCGCGGCCCTTCCATCGGTTGATGAGGGACTTGACCACGTCGCTCTTGCGCTCGGCCTTGGGCACCTCGGCGGCCGCGCTCTTGGCCTTGGCCTGGGCGCCCCTGGTGCCGTCGCCGTCGGCCTCGGCCTCGGCGTCGTTGAGGTACTGGAAGGTCTTCTTCGAGGCCAGGAATCGGTGGATGATCACCGAGTTGCGCTTCTCAGCTGTTGTATTTACGTGCGTGTGTGCGTGTGCGGTATGTGCGTGTGCGTGTGTCAGACCGTGTGTTTCCATAGGCGACCACCAGGGGCGCGGTCAGCGAAACGAACTTACCAGAGAAATTGTTTTCGTCAAAGAAGGTGTTGAGGTGGGCCTGGATCTTGGTCGGATGGGCCATGATGAACCGACACGCCGTGTCCCCTGGACAGATTGAGAAAATAGAAATTAAGGATTTTGTGTTAATAAACAAAAAGTGTAACATGCCGAGTGCTGGCAGTCGTGTGCGTACCTCTGGCCATGCACATGACCTCGGCGGCGACAAGGTCGACGTTGCCCATTGACACGCCGGTCCAACCACTGCTGTAGCCCGCATTCATCACGCACACCGGGTGGTGCGGAACTTTCTTCTGCGCCGCCTGCATTTACGAACATCAGCACACGACACAAACCGCACATGCGCCCACCACACGCAACACGCAACACGCCCGTCCTAACCTGTTGCGAGCTCCATGAATAGGATTCGAAGGAGAACGGGTGGTCGTAGTAGAGGTAGCACTCGTCGTTGGGCGACGGCCGGCACGTGTCGTGCAACTGCACCACGGCCCACCCGGTGTAGGAGAAGTGCACGGGTCCGGCCGACAGGCCCTCGGGTCCGAACGAGAGGTTCATCTTCCGCATGAAGTTGCGCGCGTCGGACCGGCCCACGGCGTGCGCGAAGTCGAACAGCAGCCGCTGGGCCACCAACTCGCGGTGCGAGGCGCTGAGCAGTACTCCTAGGAGTAGAAGCCATGTGAGTTTGTATCTCGTGTGTGGTGTGCTGCGTGTCGTGTGTCACGTACCGCCGGCGGCGAAGGTTTCGGCGATGGCAGTGAAGAAATCGACGGAGAGAGAAGGCGCGCGGAGCATGAGGTAGCGCTCGTCGAAGATGCTGATCGTGCCCGTTCGCGCCGACTGTAGGACGTCGACAAGAGAACCAGTGAGGATTCCATGTACGCCCGTAGTGTGTGTCGTGTGTGTGTGTGCGGTGGTGCGTGCGGTACCTGGTAACACTCAGAGAAGTAGCGGTGTACGATCCGTTCGGCGGTGTAGAAGAGGGGATCGAACGCGGGCGGCACCCGGACCGTCTGGCACTTGGGCTTGGGCGCTTCCCCACCTGCGACGGCTTCGCCCACCCGGAGCGTCCGCTTCTGGCGCACCTTGATCGCCGCCTGCGCCGCGAGGGCGGCCGAGGGTGACGGCGATCCTGCCGACGTGAGCGTAGGCGACGAGAGCGAAGTCGACCCTGCGGCCGACGAAGACGACGATGGAACGGGCGTGGGTGTGGGAGTGGGTGTGGGTGTGGGAGATGAGGCCGAGCGGCGGATGGAAGCCTTCAAGCGCTGGACCGAGTCCTTCTTGACCTTCTTCGTCTTCTTGTCGTCTTTGTTCTTCCTCGTCTTGCTGTTGCTGCTGGCGGTACTGTCTGCGACTTCATCGCTCGAATGGGCGTGGGCCATGCGGAGGGGTGACGCCCGCGTCGGCTGTGCGCCGCTGTCGATCGGTCGGCCACCGGAGTTAAAATCCTTTACCATGCTCATCACTCGGCCTTCGCGTCCGGTGACGACGTCGCTTTCGCTCTTTGTCGCAGTGGCTTCGTTCTTTGTTGCGCCTTCGTTCTTTGGCATCTCTGCCGGCTTGGCTTCCACGTCGGCCTCGCTGATGGTGAGCTTTAACCCCGCCAGCGGGGCAGCCTTCTCATCGATCGACTCGCTGAACTCGCTGATATCCTCCTCTTCCTCCTCCTCGTACGCATCGTCGTCGGCCTTCTCGGACATATCCGACGCGTCCGTACGATGATTGAAGCCCGAATCCGACTCGATGTCCTTGTCCGTATCGAAATCCGACATACTGGCAATACCATACGCCGACATGCGGCACAGAGTAAGCATCATGACATCAATATCATGCGGTCACACATACATATATACACACATCATCCGCGAAATGTTGCGAGGAGCGAGGAAACCGTACTGGCTTTGGTTGCGTCGAGAGTCGTTGGACGAAACCAGCGCGCCAGGCAGTGATAGCGACGTGGCACTCGATTCTGACGTGTCGGACTCGGCCTCGTCGCCCCTTGGACCGCGACCACCCAACATGTCAGTACCGCACACGCACACGCAGACCACACACGCGAAAAGAAATGAAAAGAAAAAGACGCACTTGGTGGGGTCGATCCAGAGGCTGGGCTGGGCCTTGAGCGAGAGCGCATAGAGCTCCTCCTCGTCGTAGACGACCTGCGTGGGGAGCGAGGCCAGGTACCCCTGCACCGCGGGCGATCGGCCGGCGCTTGCCAGCGTGTAGGGCACGCTCTGAAAGTTACGCACCTCCTGCGCCCGCTCGTACAGCAGATGCACGTACTTGTCGTTGATCGAGCCTGCGCCACACCCATCTCTGCATGTGAGCATTTGCGGTGTGTGCGGTATGTACGTGCGTGTGTGCGTGGTGTGTGATGAGTGCACCGTCGGGCTTGTATTGCTGGTTGCCGTCGTTGATGAAGGTGAAGTCGCGGAGGTAGATGCCGAAGTAGGGCAGGACGGGCGCCTTCCGCTTCTTGAGCTCGCGCCGGTAGTGTCGGAAGTTGTGCTGCGGGCTCATGAGCACGTCCATCTCGCTCCACTGCTCGCGCACCTTCTCCGACACCCGCTCCCACAGGCCCTTCAGCCTCTGCACCGAGTTGTGGTTGAGCCCTGTGTCACCAAACACGCACCGCACACCGCACACGCACATGCGCATACCACATCGCACACACCGCATACGTTAGCGAAGACAACAAAGCAGGAGTGTGAGCGGTGCGGACCGGAGACGATCTCCATGAAGGAGTTGAAGTTGTTGAGCTGGAGGAACTGGGCCGCCAGGCGGATGAACTTCTCGAGGACCTGCACCTGCACGGTCGCGCTCTTGGTGACGAGGATCTCCGTCGCCACCCAGTGCGAGACCAGCTTGTACTGGGTGATGATGGGCTCGAACAGCGAGTCGCCGCCCGGCTGGGTCTTGGTGGTGGTGAGCAGGCTGCGCACGTTGACCTCCTGGAACAGCTGCCACTCGATGATCGTGAGCTCGCGGGCCAGTACCGGCTCCGGGATCTCCATGAAGTCGACCAACCGCTTCGTCTGTTGTCGCGGCGTTGACTGGTCGGCGCACACAGAGTCGGCCCTGGCGGTGGTGGTGGGCTCCACGGTGGTGGCGGCTGTGGAGTCTTTAACTCCGACTGAGGTGGTCGTCTGTCGATTGCGGAGAAGCAGGAGTTTGATTTCATTGGCCAACGGCGGGTCGTTCTTCATGGCCCACTGCAGGATCTTCCCCATCTGGCGCGCCGACAGGTCGCCTAGAGCCCCACCACGAGTGAAACGCCCTTTTGTGTCAGACAACTACGACCGCACATTATCCCTCTTACAAATATAAACAATAGACAATAAGAATGAGAGGCGTGAAGGATAAATAACAGCCATAGCCGCAGCAAAAGTTGCAAAAAGACAGTGCCACGTCAGCTTTTGCTGTGCTTTTGTTCTCGTGTTGAAGAACCGTGTGACGTGGCATCTTATCCGGCCCAATAAAATTAAATAAAATAAATTGCCGCTGCGGGCGGGTGGGGCACGAACCGGAGTGGGAGCGGCACCATGCGGCGGCGAAGGCGTTGAGTCGGGCCAGCTTGCCGGTGCGCGTGTCTTCGGTAAGGTCCGGCCTCGCTGCAACATCACCGTATCTGTGCGTGTGCCGATGTCACCCAGCCAGACACGGACGGGCGGGATCACCAAACGATGGTTGTGGTTGCGTTTGCGTTAAAAAACCGAAAATACAAAACAAAACAAATAAGTAAATGCAAATAAATAACAATAATGCTCCAAACGGTGGTCAGGTAAAGGACCGACGCCGCACAGAAAGGCGTTGCTCTACACAAAACGCAACCTCAATTCGCGGCCGGTCAACAAAATGTAAAAAAAACCCGCGCCCGCAGTTGGTCGGAGCCCCAGCTGGTCTTGCGGTGGCCACCATTGGGGGGGGGTTGGGTGGGGTGGGGGGTACCGTTTCTCCCAGAGGTCGAAGAGTTCGCGGGTGGGCGAGGAGGACGACGTGGAGAAGAGCGGGTAGGCCAGCAGCCACGCGTCGGCCTCCTCGGCGTCGCCCTTGGCCAGCACGCGCTTCGTGTAGCGCTTGAAGGCTGTCTTCTTCAGCATCGTCGTCGTCTCTGTCGGGCTGTTGATGGTGCCTCCTCCTTCGTCCATCAGCTCGTGTCGAAACTTGGTGTGTTGCCTTGTGCCAGGCGGCCTGAGGCTGCCGATCGGCGTTGTCGTTGCCCTGGCGTCCGTGGCCGGAGTTTGATAGATCATCCATCCGGCTACCAGGTCTCCCACCCACAGAGGGGAACCGACGGTGACGGCGAGTGTACCGCTGACGTGGACTCTGCAGCCGATTGGCGGGAAGCAGAAAATTCAAATTATGCAGGAAAGCCGGCAAGAAAGAACGAAGAAGACTGCAGCTGGGTGTGAAAGGTCATCATTTACTTTATAAAAGTAGTGATGCGACAAAGAGAGCGTTTAGATGCCGGTCCGGGCGGATGAGGTGGCCGTGGAGTCTGTGCCGTGCATCAACATCTTGCCCTCCTCCTTCTTGGCCGGGTTGCGCGTGATCGTGCCCTGAACCTCCTTCAGCGCGCCCTTGAGCTTCTGCCCCACCCCCGCATGGTGGTGCGCGGTCGAGTCGCTCACATCGGCGTGCTTGTGCGAGTGAACGTCGGCGCCGTGCTTGTGGGTGTGGGCCAGCTTCTGGTCGCGGATGTCGGCGTGCTTGTGGGCGTGGACGTCGGCGCCGTGCTTGTGGGTGTGGGCCAGGCCGCGCTCGGCCGCGAGACCGGTCGTAGCGGTGTTGACGACGGTGTTCGCCGGGAGCGCGTTGAGTCGCGGGCCGCTGACCAGGACAGTGGGCTCGATGATGGGCGGGAGCAGCACCTCGCGCTCCTGCTCGATCACGGGCCGAGCGGCGGTGACCTCAGTCTTGACGATGGGTTGGATGTGGTGCTCGCGCTCGTGGATGATGGGCTGGATGTGGCGCTCGTGCTTGACCTGGACCGGATGCTCGATGATGACCTCCTTCTCAAGCTTGGCCCGGTGGATCACTCCCTCGGCCCCTCCCCGCTCGACCGCTTCAAGGCCGGCCGGCAGCGCGGCGCGCTCTACGATGGGCTGGAGCATGACGTTCTTCTCGGTACGGAGGTGGGTCTGCTGGGCCGTCACCTCAGTCTTCACCACGGGCTGGATGTGGTGCTCGCGCTCGTGGATGATGGGCTGGATGTGGCGCTCGTGCTTGACCTGGACCGGGTGCTCGACGACGACGTCCTTCTCGAGCTTGGCCCGGTGGACGATACCCTCGGCCCCGGCGCGCTCGACAGCCTCGAGCCCGGCGGGCAGCGCGGCACGCTCAACGATGGGCGCGTGCATGACATTCCGGTCCTGCTCGATCACGGGGCGCTCGGTGGTGGCCTCGGTCTTGATGATGGGCTGGATGCGGTGCTCGCGCTCGTGGATGATGGGCTGTACATGGTGCTCGCGGCGCACCTCGACAGGGTGCTCGACCACGACCTGCTTCTCGAGCTTGGCCTTGTGGAGGATTCCCTCGGGGCCAGCGCGCTCGACGGCCTCCAGGCCGGCGGGCAGGGCGGCACGCTCGATGATGGGGGCCTGCATGACATTCCGGTCCTGTTTTCCAAGAATGCAAAGAATGAGTTGCGTGTTTTGTGTGTTTGTGTTTGTGTTTGTGTGTTTGTGTGTGTTTGTGTTTGTGTGTTTTGTGTTTGTATGTAGGTGTGAATGCTACAAAGTACCTTTTCGATGATTGGCTGCTCGGTGGTGGCCTGAGTCTTGATGATGGGCTGGATGCGGTGCTCAGTCTCGTGGACGATCGGTTGGACGTGGTGCTCGCGTCTCACCTCTACCGGTCGCTCGTTGACAATCTGCTTCTCCACGATGGGCGCGTGGTTTATCACCCGCTCGGCCTCGTGGACCACCTTGTCCTTGAGCGACAGGTTCTGCATGCCGCCAGCAAGGGGCGTGGCCTGGGTGTGGACCACCGGGTTGGGCACCACAGGGGCAGCAGTGTTGATGGTGGTGCGGTTCAGGTTGGACATGGCTTGTGGTGAGTGAAGAGTTGATGTAAGCGTTGGGTTGGGTGTTGGTTGCTAAAGTTAAAGATGGAATTAATGTTGTTCTTGGCTGGGTTGCAATGTTCTTATACCCCCGACCCAGAATTCCTGGTTAGGAACTGGGCAAAAACTCAAAGAAATTGCGGAGAGAGAAGTTTCACCATCAGGAATCCCTGTGTGTTTCGTGCCGGTGCGACCTCCCCGCAAGCCCGCACATGCCCCGAACACACGTCATGTGCCCTTGCTCTTAGAGTCCATTGGGCTCTAGGCCCAGTTCAAACAACACGCCCGCCGTTCCCACACGGCACCTGTGTTGTGCACATCGTAGCAAAAGGTCCTTTATTATAAGGAAGAAAGGGAGCGGCCGACGCGCTGCGGCTCATCAGCGGTCAAGGCCTCACGCTTGGTCTCAGTCGTGGGCGAGGCCAGGATAATGACGAAGGGCAACGTCGTGAATGTGCCGCCGCGGTTGATCGGCGACGGCGAAGCCGACAGGTCTCCGCTGGAGCTGCCCTGGGCGCTGCTCGGGCTGGTGCTGGGCGACAGCAAGACCGACGGCGTAGACGACCGTGATCCGGAGGGCGTGGGGGAGGCCGCGGTGGTCGAAGGCGTGGGGGAGGCCGGCGCGGGGGTGCCGGTGGGCGACGGTGAGAGCGTGGGCGCCGCGACCGAGGTGGTGGAGGGCGAGGGCGAGGCGCCCGCGACGAAGGTGACGAAGGGCAGGACCGTGAAGTCGCTTCGGCTGGGGGAGGCCACCACCAATTGGGCCGAGCCGCTAGGCGACGAGCTGGGGCTGGTCGTACGCGTCGGCGACACAGTCGCGAAGCCGATCGACGCCTCGGCACCAGTTCCGGGCGTGGGCGTGGGCGTGGCCACGGTCGGTGTAGACAGGCCCGTGGGCGACGTGGCGCCGGCGGGGACCGACGATGTGGGCGTGGTAGAGGCCGTCGGCGAGGGCGTCGGCGAAGTAGACCCCTGTCGAGGCCGGCGACAGGGTCGGCGTGGTCGAGGGTGTCGCGGCCGCGGGGCTGGCGCTGGCGCTGGGCAGCACCTCGACCGAGACGAAGGGCTTCGTGGTGAAGAGGTCGACCCTCGAGGCGGTAGTGGAGGGTTATACCGAGCGGCTGGGCGTCGCGCGAGACTGAGTTGGACGGCGAGCTGGTGGCGCTGGGCGAGGGCGTGCGCGAGTTGGTGGGCGTGGTCGAAGGCGTGACCGATATGGTGGGCGTCGGCGTGCGCGTGTTGGAGGGCGTGACCGAGATGGTCGGCGTGATTGACGGCGTGACCGAGATGGTGGGCGTCGGCGAGCGCGAGCCGGAGATGGTGGGCGAGGGCGAGCGCGTGTTGGAGGGCGTGACCGAGATGGTCGGTGTGATCGACGGCGTGACCGAGATTGTAGGCGTGATCGAGAGCGTGATCGAGATCGTGGGTGTCGGCGAGCGCGAGCCGGAGATGGTCGGCGAGGGCGTGCGCGAGTTGGTCGGCGTGCCAGAAACCGGCGGCGAGTTCGAGGGTGTGCGCGAGTTGGGCGGCGACACCGACGGCGTGGACGACGGCGTGAACAAGCTAGTCGGCGTGACCGAGGGCGTGAACGAGATGGTCGGCGTCGGCGTGCGTGTGTTCGACGGCGAGCGCGTGGGCAACTGGTGGGTGATGGCGTGGTGGTACGCGAGGGCGACGGCGTCCTGGTGTTAGAGGCCGAGGGAGAGAGGGTCGGCGTGACGGATGGCGTCGCCGAGGTGGTGGGCCTGACGGACGGTGTGGTCGATGTGGTGGGCGTCGCCGAGCGCGTGGGCGAGTTGGTGGGCGAGTTGGAGCTCGTGGTGGAGGGTGTGGGCGAGTTGGTGGGCGAGCTGCTGGGCGAAGCCGGGGGCGAGGACGATGGGGTGGGCGACGAGGTGGGCGTCCGGGTGGGCGCGACGGTGGCGGAGGTCGACACCGACGCCGACGGGGAGAAGGTAGGCGACGCCGAGGGCGTGGGTGGCGTGGATGACTGCGTCGGCGACCGCGACGGCGCGGGGGGCGATGTGGCGGCCGCTCGGCTGACGAAGGGCGTGGGCGACTGGATCGGCGTGTTCGACGGGCTCTGCGTAGGAGAACGCGTGGGCGACCAGGTCGGCGACTGCGTGGGCGACTGCTTGGACCGGTGCGGAGAAGGAGATGCGCGTGCGGCGCCTGGAGTGCAGAATGCCGGTGCGGAAGGAGTGCGTCAAACAAGGCCAGGTTGCTTGGGGTACCGGACATATTGGCACGCGCTCCCCTTACCAAGCATAGGTATCCTGTTGTTTGAGCCTGTCACGTGTGAACCAACCCCGAGATCTGTTTGCGCTTTTTGTCTTGAGGCTTCCCATATCGAGGAGCGCAGTGGTTTCGGAACTAGAAGCGCCAAACTCGGCCGACTCACCAGTGTCGCATGTGTATGAGGCATTGCAGCGCCCAACGCACCAGTGTCTGTCGGCGCGCATGGCCATGTGCGCGCTCGCCGCTAGCTAGCGATACGCCGCAAGAGAGGTTGACGTAACCTAGCCGTGCAGATTCAACACGCCAGTCCTCAGATCTGGAGTTGCCATAAAAAGGAAGAGCGTAAGCCATATTTCGTCGTAGGTAACATGGTAGCAACGTGATCTGGGCAGGTCAACGCTTTCGAACTACGTCGTGCCGCGATCGGAACAAAGGCAACGCAAACGGACGAGGCGCTTGGCGCAAGCAGCAGAAATTTCGCCAGACGAGGAGCCAAAGGGCAGATTTTGATGCGATATTTTGATTTTAAACACAAAAATCAAATCAAGATGGCCACGGTAACATGTGAGAGGGCGGCACCATATAGGGCTACCTACCATGCTGTGCCGCGCCAAGAGTCGCTCGCCGGTGTACGGTGCGGCGGTAATTCGAGTCGCATGCAGCGGGGAGCACACAACATCGCTTCCTCTTCGCACGTGTGGCCTCACAAAGTGCGGTCGTTCGCCAAACGTAATCGCTTCTTCATCATCAAGTACGGTCTTTACACCGGACTCGGCATCGGCTACTGGCTCGCCACCCGCCCCCGCCGCACGCCCGTATCTTCTCCTCTCTAATCATCGTTGCTCATTTATCTTATACTCCGTGCACTCTCTTGTTGTGCAGATGCCATCATCCTCTGCACCCTCCACCCCTTCCTCTCCTCCTTGATCAACTGCCGGCAGGGATCATAAGCCAACCCCCCAAAAATGTAAATAAGTCTTTGTATTTATTTTCTTTTGCTTGCGTGTACACAAAAAGAAACGACAAATTCGCTCCGATCGCCTCTCGCGCAGTGCGTGGTGTGGGTCGTGTCGTGTCGTGTTTGCCTGTGCAGTGGTGGCGTTAGACGGTGGGCAGGGTTGCGTCTTTCCGGGCGGGTGGTTGTTCGACAAAGCGATCACCGGAAACGAAGAGCTGCTGAATGTGCTCGATAGGCACGCCCTTGGTCTCGGGCAGCTTGAAGAAGACGAAGAGCCACGCCGCCACCCCGACCCCAGCAAAGGTCCAGAACACCAGCGTCGTGCCTACTCCGCCCCACCCCAAACCAATCACCGGTTACCAACCACCCAAACAAGTTCGAAAGTTCCACACAAAACACGAAGAGGCATACCAACAAGGTCGATGTAGGTGAGGAAGGTGCTCGAGACTAGCAGGTTCGCCGACCAGTTCACCGTCGCCGCTAGGCCTACGAGGAGGGAGGTGGGAGACAGAGAGTCATAAATGAGCTTGAGTGTGTTATATCTATCGAGGGCCGGTCATCTTGCGAAGGCGAAGGGCGAACCGTTGGCCAAACCGCGCACGTCGGCCGGGTAGATCTCTGAGTTCACCACCCATGGGATGGGTCCCATCCCTGCCGCGCCCCACCCTCTGAGCTTGAGCCCGTGCACACACATGACGCTACGGGACGACCCGCGACACGACCACCCACAACACTTCGCTCCACGATGTGATAGGTACCCAGGGCGAAGAAGGCAACGTAGACAACAAGGCTGGCGACGGCCGTGTAACCAGTGTGGGTCCTGTCGCCGAAGAACGCGATTCCCAGCATGACCAGCGCCGCCACCACTCCGCTCAGACTCACCAGCAACAGGGTGCGCCGCCCCTACAGTCAATAGAGCAGATGAGCAAGTGTATCTTGTGCCGTGCGTGTCGTGTGCCGTGTGTGTATGTGTGTATGTGTGGTGTGTGGTGTGTGGTGTGTATGTGTGGTGTGTGGTGTGTGGTGTGTGGTGTGTGGTGTGTGGTGTGTGGTGTGTGGTGTGTGGTGTGTGGTGTGTGGTGTGGTGTGTGTGTGGCGGCGCGTTACCGCACGATCCATGAGGAACAAAGCAACACCGGTGAAGAAGGCGTTGGAAAAGGCGATGATGTCGGCGAACCAGATCGCAGACTCGTGCGACTCGAAGCCGGCCATCTTGAGAATCGTGGGGCTGTAATACATCGCCGCTGCACAAACCCAACGCGAAAAGCGGAGCAAAGGAATGCACGAATAAAAAGCGTAACACGCAAAACAAATAGAAATAAAAAGTTAGCGAACAGCCAGAGAGCGGAAGGAGGATTACGCAACTGTTGATGCCACAAAATTGTTGAAAGAGATGAAGCCCGAGACCGACTACTAGTGCCGACCGTACGGGTTTGGTGCTCAGCATTCGCCACTGTCATATGGGCGAACGAATTGTTGGTTAGTGTGAGCGTGTGGGTGTGCGGTGGTGCGTGTGTGGCGGCACCTTGTCGGCCAGGCTGGTCTGTGATTGCTGGCGCAGTGAGTCTTCAATCTCTTCGATCTCGCCCTCAATCTCCCGCTCAACCTGCTCCTCTTCGTACGCGTGACCGCCACCGCGGAGTCGGCGCAGGATGCTCCGCGCCTGCTGCCGCTCCCACTCGGCCCTGTCGAGTCGCTCGCGCCACTCCGCGCCATCCTCCCCGAAGAAGTCGGGTCGGGTCTCGAGCGAGGCCGATGACGACGTCATATCGCCCATGGGCAGGTCCTGCGGGTCTTGGTCCCTTACGGCCATGTACCGCCCGATCAGCCATCGAGGGCTCTCAGGCAGCCACATCACCACTCCCACGAGCTGCACAGCTGCCGGCACGGCGCCCAGCCCGAGCATCCATCGCCAGCCTAGCAATAACAAAAATATTTCGATAAATAATTACAATAAATAATAGTGGTGGTGGGTACCTCCGGGAACGGAAACAAAGGCAGAGTCTACGAGGTAAGACACAAACTGGCCGCCCGTGAGGCACAGGTTGTTGACCGTCACCACCGCACCGCGGTAGCGCGTCGGACTTATTTCTGGTGACGAATCAGTTGCGTGTGTGCGTGTGTCGTGTGCAATGTGAGGTACCGGCCAGATAGACAGGAGACACGATGGCAGCGACACCGATGGCCAGGCCCACTATGAACCGGCCCAGAATGAGGGTCGTCACGTCGGGCGCTCATCCCATCACCACCGATCCCAACGTAAAGAGAAACGACGCTCCGCCCATCACTGCGCCAAACCACCAAAACGCACACGACACATGCGACATACACGACACCGCACGTACGGACGCATTACACGAGTGAATACGCATAGCAGGCAGCCCCAGAGGACGACCACGCACCCTTGCGCCGTCCCAGGCTATCGGACAGGAGTCCACCGCTGGCCGATCCAATTATCGCACCTGGCGGGGAGCAGCAGCAGCAGCAGCGTAAGGGTTCGTCAGTTCTCTTGTTAGACCTCTGCCGCGCGCGTGTGCGTCCGCGTGTGTGCAAGATCGGGTCGGTACCGACGAGGGCGATGCTGATGACGGTCTCGACGAGGAGCGACGAGAGGTCGAACTGCTCCTGGATGAGGAGGATGGCACCGCCCACCACGCCCGTGTCGTACCCGAAGAGAAATCCGCCCACCGCCGCGAACCCGACCACGCCCGCCACCTGGTGAACAGAACAACCACCACCACCAGGATCAGTGTCAATCGATTGACTGTGGCCTTCACACGCAGCGCTACCGCACTTGAGGGGAAGCGCCACCATGGCCCAGCGATCGATCCACCCTCGGGAACCCACGGTGCCGCGCTGTCGGAGCGGATTGAAGTCGGGCAGGTCCTTGTCCTGGTCGAACTCTTCTTCATAGGTGCCACTGACGGCACCAGCGCGGTGTCTGGTCTCGTCAATCTTCGCTATGTTTTGTTTCCTGCCTCTGCGTGGTTCGTCTTCGTCCTCCTTCTCCTCAACGTTGTTGAATTCCACTGTGGCGAACTCGAGGTCGGCCTCTTTGGGCGCGCCGAGGGCACCGTCGTCGGCAGGGTCGACCGAGCTCAAGACTGCCAGTCCCCCCCCCAAATAAATGCGGTTATCACCAAAAGGAGGTGTGTAGTCACAAGATTGTTTCTGCAAGTCGTGTGCATAAATCCATGGACCAGCCAGGGCCTGAGAGGGATGAACCTGGGCTATATGCCATATTCTTGGGTGAGCCTAGGCCCCTGCCCCCGCTTCGACTCGTCAAGTCGTCCATGCTTTTCATGGGTGCACCCGCACAGCAAAACACAACAGCAAGAAAGGTGTTCAAAATAAAGTCAACGAGAAGTCCTTGACTTTTCGCATTCGAAAATCAGAAGAGAACTCGTTGGCAAGGTGACTGTTGCTAGGGCCGGAGTGTGTGGCCTAAACAGGGGAGAGCTTTTTCCGTTTTCTCTTCTCCTCGACCGCCCACCACGCTACGCAAGAGCCACACACCTCACACGAGTACCATAACCGAACCCTATTCTGGAACACCCACCTGACATACACCAGACCAAGAAGCAGGTGATCCCACGTTCCTCTCCCGCCCTCTCTCACTTTGGCATGCAATGTACGCAACATTGCGGACCTCATACGCGCTCCTTCGTCACAGACAGCCTGGCCGCACACGCCCCCACGAGTTGAGCACGAACACAGAGCCATTCACCCTCTTCCCGTGCAAAGCCGCAACAAACTGCGACGATAGGGAGGGCGAGGCCCTCCTGCAGCGGCGGCTGGGGCCGAAAATGCGGCGCGTGGCCCAGAAGAAGAAGTGCCTCCAGCACCGCGCGCTAATCGTGGCGTGGTGCGTACCCCGACTGCCCCACATGCTCCTCAACGATTGGTCGGTTGTATGAAATTACGAGAACTCCATTTCGAAATTTCTTCATCTCGTGTGGCCCAATCGCGGAGCTCCGTAGAACTTTAATGGTGAGTGGAATTGGTAGGTTACGCTTACACAGGTGTCTACATAGGTTACGAGTCAATTACTGCCTCAGAGAGTGCGGCTCCATCGCCAAATGTGAGGTGTTCCTCCACTACACCGAGCTGTGCCATGCCAACACGTACGTCCTCCCCCTTCTCCTCGGTTGCACTCTACTGGTGCTGACCACCTCACCTCTCTGTGCGCAGAATTCAACCCTCATCGGCCGCGGCGTTCGGTAAGATTTTGAAGATGGCCTTCCCGACGGTCAAGTGCAACCGCGTCGGCCCTCGAGGCGCCTCCAAGCACCACTACCGGTACACCACCTCACCACGACAACAGAAGAGACAGATGACGACGACAACGATGATGATGATGACGATGACGACGATGATGATGTCTGTATTTATGATCAACCTATTCATAATTATGTCAACTACGCACATTGTGGTGGTATGATGTAGGGGTCTGGTGCTGAAGGATGACTACCAGCTCTCGCTGGCCAACGTGGAGCCGCTCAGCGAGGCAGCGATCACGCAGCTGATGAAGGAGGAGGCCGACGCCGAGGCAGCGAGCAAGGCCCAGCGAGGCAAGATCCGCGGTGGCCGGCGTCGCCGCGGCGCCGACGGCGACGACGAAGACGAGGAGGACCACGACGACGACGACGACGAAGACGATGAAGAGGAAGACGACGACTACGGCGGCGATGACGGCAGCCAGCAGAGCGATCGACGGACCATGAAGATGATGGTGCTCTCCCCACCTCAGCCGCTCTCTTCATCGACTTCCTCCACCACCTCGCCCCACACGTCGTCGCCCATGTCCCGCCCAGCGGCCCACCAGCACCAGCACCACCCCTACGCCCTCCAACAGCGGCCGCTCGACCACCCGCCACAGCCGCACCCATTCCCCGGCGCCGGCTACCTGGGCGGGTACCCGCCGCTACCGCCGCCGCAGCCGACCACCGCTTATATGCTGCCGCCCCACCCGCAGCTCCAGCCGCCGCACTATCACCACCAGGCGCAGACGGGCCAGACGGCGGCGACGAAGGAGTCGTTTTCGTGGATCTCGCCCGACATGGACCACGCCGCCAGGCGGCCCGCGCCGTCGGTCCAGGCCCAGCAGGAGGCCCAGTCGCCGACTCAACCGATGCCACTGAACGACGCGGCGCTGCGAGAGTGGGCAGAGAAGAGGGATCTGGTCGAGTTCTGCGAGCGCAACTTCCAGGCGCTCTACGACAATGTCCACCGGACACTCAGTGGCGGCGGCGGCCACGAGCCCCGGGAGCAGGTGCTGACCAGCATCGCCGACGCCTGGAAGAACCTCCGGCAGTACACCCGGCACATGCACCTCTTTCCCGAATCCGCCACGTCATCCACGTCACCCACAGCTCCGATGTCGACCACCACCACTACGGCGACGACGTCGGCCGAGCGGACCACCGACTGCCGAGCCCCGACGCCGCCACCCACGCACCATCAGCCGCCACCACCTCCTCAGCCGCAGCCACCGCCCAGCCCGATGAACATGTCCGCTCCGCCATTCGCACACTTTGCGATGGTGCCGCTGCCGCCGTCGTACTACGCGCGAGCCGGCACGCCGCCGCCGCTCAGTGGTGGTCGTGGCTCGTCCCTGTCCCTGTCCTGGCTCGCCAACTCGCTGGCCATGTCCATGGGCAGCGGCGCCGGCGCCGGCGGCACCAGCAGCCACCAGCTCGCCACCACCCCAACGCCACCGCCCGGGTACCTGCAGCAACCTCCAGGTCCTCAGGGCAACGGCGGCGGTGGCGGCGGCGGCGAAGGCTCGTCAGGGCCGGACCGAGGCAACCTCGAGTTCCGATCTTTCGAGTGGAAGGGCGTGTACGAGTAGCAAAAGTGGGAAAAAGAAAAGGCAAGAAGAGCACAAGTAGGAGAAGACAACTGGAGTGGATGGTGGAGGACTTGTTGTTTATGGTTTTCAAGCTCCAAGGAGAGGGAGGGGTGCAGGAACGAATACTGCCTGTAGTACGCTCAATCGGCAAGACTCAGCTCGGCGCCGGTCCACACATCGTGCAGGAAGAGCACGTCCGACGTGTACAGCACGTACCAGAAGAGACCCTGTAGTGCGTGGCGATGAGTGTTTGTTGTTCTCTGTGTTCGAATGAGAGAGAGAGAGAGAGAGAGCGGCAAGGGGTACCTTGTAGAAGCCCTGCCAGCCCTCGGCGGCGAGGATCTTCTGGGCGCAGTCGATGGGTCCCGTGTAGGAGCTCGGGGAGGCGAGGATCGAGTTGGTGATGGTACACAGCGGCATGTGGACCACGCTGGTGAGCAGGGTCACCCCGACGGCGATACCGCGCGTCAGCGCGTGGAAACCCACCTGCCTCGCCAGCTCCCGGCCCATATCGGCCAGGTCCAGCGCCTCATCGTCGTCCTCCCCCTCTTCGCATCCTGCTCCTCCCGCTACGCGGGAGCATTTTCCCTTTCTGTTTCCGTTCTTTTTCCCTCCGATTTTCCCTTTGCCTCGTCGCTGTAGCGCCTTGCCCTTCTTCTCGCCCACTCCATCTTCTCCTTCGTCCTCATCATCTTCATCATCATCGTCGTCGACGAGCTTCTCCTTGCCCCTGATGAGTCGTCGCGCGGCCTTCTCCTCGCGCTCGAGGCGGCGCACTGTCGCCAGCGGCACGGAGAACGGTCGGCCGAGCAAGTCGTAGACATGCCGCCGCAGCCGTCGGTTGAAGATCTGCATGAACTGGTACTCGACACTCAGCGTCGGCAGCGCCTTGTAGTATTGTCTGCACAAAGTTGACACGCCATTTTGTTGAAGTCAGCCATGACCATCAAGCCCATGCCTGGGCCAGGCTCCAGACAATGCTGATGCCGGTGGATGACGGTGGATGATGGATGATGAAGAAGAAGATGAAGGTGAAGGTGGAAAACGTACGCGAGAGGGAAGACTCCGGGGCGCCAGCCGCGCCAGATGTGGTGTCGCACTTGGAAGTTGGCGATGTGGAGTGGAAGGCAGAGGGCGGCGGCGGCGGCGAAGCAGGCCGCGTTGGAGACGCCAAAGTAGAGGAGGTGCTTCACCCGCTGGGCCAGCGTCGGCACGGGCTGCTGCTGCTGGTTGTTGTTGGTCTCCTCGAACGTCACCTCGTCACCCAGGGTCATGACCACCCACCCGACCTTGGAGAGCTCTGCACAATTTATATATTTATTTTTAAAAAAATAAATCAACAAAAATGACCATAAATAGATAAATATATAAATAGTAAAAATAAAAATGGCATGAAAATGATTGGTGGGTACCGACGAGGACACCAAGCAGCGCGCCTGACACGGCACCGTCGCACAGATCGAGCAGACCCGAGCCGAGCACGAAGGGAAAAGATTCCTGGCGATGGAACTGTCGAAATTCATCGGCATGTGTGCGCAGTGCGGAGCTGATGGACGTTGGCCGAAAGAGATTTCGTCCAGAAATGGAGGCACGCTGGTAGAGGGTTGATGCAGGCGCGGTGGCCAGCACGTGGGTGACGGCTGTCGTGATGGCGATGGCTCGGAATCGCTCGAAATTGGGTCCCTCTTGAAGTACCTCACGATCTTCCTCCAGAATCAATTCTTCTGGAATTGGGTCACGATTTTCGATGACGGGCGGCAGCACCGCCGCTGGGGGCATTCCCGCGACGAGGTGCGACTGAGGCACTGCCGCTGGACGTGAGCGCACACCAAATGACGAATCGATTCCGTTCATTTCCGCAATGCCTCACCATATCCCCCCTTGCAAGGTTGGCGGCCTGTATTCGAGGAAGTGTTTCGAAATCATTTTGAAAATGTTTCGAAATCGTCTGAACTGCATTTCAAACGTTCCTTGTTTCGTCAAGGGTAAAATCAGGGATGCACAAAGAAGCAAACGAAATCTCGTCTGAGGCACGACGTTGGTCTGGTGTTCGGATTCCGACGGGGTGTTGGTGCAGGCCAGAGTGGCAGCACTCCTGGAGAAATCCACGTCCCTTGTCCGCCTCCAACCGCCCGTGATGCGTGAGTTCACTGCGGCTGCTCCGTGTTCGTAACGCGGAGGCCTCCAGGCGACAGTCATCTTTCCTCCGTCTCGGTTCTTCTGGTTCTGAGAGTTTCTTCCTTTCAAGCCGAACTTTGCACACCACACAGGCCGTGCCTCGGACTTCACCTGTTCTTCCACTCGCTCTCCGCCGAACTGCCGACTACCATTAACCGGCTTGCACAGAACGACACGACACCACACGACCGCAGCCCCCCCACATACAATCGACCACCGCCCTGCCATGGGCCTACCCTATCCTCCATCCGATTGCAACAGCAGCCACATCACAACACCCGATTCACCGACATCGACACGAGATAACAACGTCAATAGAAAGAAGACAATGACGAGCAGGGAGAGCTGCAGCCTGGACGAGGGGGCGGTGGTGGCCGCTACCGATTGGGCGAACGGAATGCTGGGCCAGAACAAGTCCGTCGAGCTGCGCCTGCGCCCGCGCACAAGCAACAACACCAACCGCAACAGCCACGTCAACATCGAAGATGATCACAGTCACAGCAACTCCGGCAAGGCCAAGGAGGAAGAGGGATGCAACTCGAGCGACGCTATGGGCCGGACTGGGATCTTAAACGACCAGGATATCACCCGGCGAATGGAGCTTCTAGCCAACAACCCGGAGGCGCACGAGGTACCCCAGCCGCCGCCGTGCAACTCTCTGGCCAGGCGCGGGCTGCGCTATCTCAGCCTGGCCGCCATACTGGTCGCTTGGCTGTGGCTCACTTCGCTCGAGGCCAAGATCCGCGCTGTGATGGTGGCCCTCACCTTCTCCGCCATCGAGTTCCACTTCCGAGCCGTGACCCGCCCCAGTGCCGCCGAGCTCAACAAGACGATCCTCAACTCCACCTCCACCATCAACTCCAACCCCGGCGAGCGGGACATGCGGAGAGCCATTGGCCTGGCCCAGGTCGGGCGTGTGAGTTCGACCGACCAGCTGCGGGCTCTGGTGTCGACGGCCCGAGCGCGCCTGGCCCAATCGCACCTGCGTACCAACGGCCACACGACGTGGGAGCAGTTCTGGGCCAACGTGTTCTACGGCCCGATCATGAACGACTTCTACCGCCACCACCTCTTCGCCCTGGCCCTCCCCTCCTTTCTCGCGTGGGACCCTCTCGCGCAGGCCCTCCTCCTCACCCTCTTCTACCCACTCAACATATGGGTACGCACATACATTATTTGTTCTACATGTTCCAACATGTAGAAGCTGACGTCAGCAATATGTTGTGCAGGTGGCAGAGGTGGTGATGGGGTACTACTTGTCGCGCGTGTGGCGTAGGCGGGCGTGGTACTATCGGGGCAGGTGGGCGCGGCTCGACGGCAACATCACACTCGCCTACGGCCCGCTCTGGCACCTGCTCGGTGGGCTCTACGCGGTGGGCTATCCGCTGGTCTATGCGCCCGCGCCGGCCTTCCTCGCCTCCCTCCTCGTCATGTAGGGTCCTCACCATCACCTCCCCTCTGTTTGTGGGGCTGAGACCAGCCCGTGTAGTGCGGATGGGATGGAACATGTAGAGACATACTATTTACAAAGATATAGTCTTCAATATAGAATACGTTACTGTGCAAGTAGAGGGTGTGAAGAGTGAGTAGGACCTCAGTGCTGCATGGGTGTGGAAGAAGATGAAGATGCCTTGCGGCGGTAGCGATGGTTGAAGGCCCCGAAGAGCTGATGTCGATCGTACGTCGCCTGCGAAGGAAACCGCCGCCCGCACTCTGCGCACACCAGCTTCTCTTCTTCACCTCTTCCTCCTCCTCCTCCATTCTTCTTCTTCGTTGATGTCTGCTCGCTTGCCTTCTCCTTCGCTCGTCGTAGCTCTTCGACCTCCTCGTCCACCTTCTTCTCCGCCGTGTGCCTCCCTCGTGCGCCGCCACCGCCTTCGTGCTGGCCTCGCGGCTCAGCCTGCGGCGTTGGTCGTGGCGGCCGCCCGGTGGAGTTCGACGACGCGTTGATGTCGGCGTAGTCGAACGGCACTGATCGCGACGTCCTCGGCCGCTTCTTGGCTTCGAAGCTCTCTGGCCGTTTCCGTTGCTTTGGTTCTTCTTCTTCTTCTTCTTCTTTCTCCTCCTCTGTCGCCTTCCTCTTCTTCTGTTGCTCTTCTTGTTGCTGTTGTTGATGATGTTTATGCTCACGCGCTCGTCGTCGCGCGGCGTGCATGGCCTCGGCGTAGGCGTGCGCGAACTCGCTCTGGCGAAACGAGGCCTTGGGTCCTGCCCGAAACCAGTCGGACGACGTAGAAGATGACGATGACGATGATGTAAACGAAGATGAAGAAGTGAATGACGACGTGCTGGAGGATCTCTTGGATCGAAGGAGCGAGGAGAGGTAAGTGGCCTGAGACTGGGGGTCGACCAGGCACTCGAGGGCCTGGGTGAGGGCGCGAAAGGCCCGCGGGGCGTCCGGATGGCAGCACTTGTCCGGATGCACACGCCTGGCCCGCTCGCGGTAGTGCCGTCGCACGCGGCGCGGATCCTCGATCAGCTCCTCGGCCAGGCCCAGGCACTCGTAGTGCGAGCGCGCTGCCAGCACCGACGCCACGACCTCATCTGCAGCCTCACCTTCGTCTTTCTTCTCCATCTTTTTTTTTGATTTATTTGCATTTTTTCTCGTTCTGAAAGTCAGTAATCGAAGTCATAAGACATACACGTACACGCCATTTCCTGATTTTTTCCTTGAACTTTCGGTTTTGATTGTTTTTGGTTCGCGGCCCAAGCGGACGAAGCTCGGGTGTGGTACGAGGAAGACCTCGTCGGGCACGCCTTCTACCTCAGGCGGCCTCTCTCGGTTCGTGTTGGGTTCGTACCTGTACGTTCGCAGTCAGTCATCACCTGCAGAGTTCACGCGGAACGAGTGATGTTAGGGGGACTGGGTAGAACTGACCTGCCGCTGCTGTACACGACTGGCCGCCACAAGCCCAAAGTATGCTTTTTTCGCCGCTCCGACCATGATGATCGCTGTGTGTCGTGTCGTGCGTCAGTCTGAGTTTCATGATCATCACAGTAAAAGCACAACGAGGAGGCCTGTTACGCGAGCACTGGTGGAGTGGCCCAGTGATGGCACCGGGAGCGGCTGGCCCGTGTGGGTGTAGTCCGCTGCGTGTTTGTTGCGATTGGTGCCCTTGGCCCTTTTCTGTGCATGTGTGTGTGGCGTGTGGCGTGTGCGGTGTGTGGTGTGTGCGGTGAGAACGGGATCAGGCGAGAGGAGTTATAGGGACACTTACGAAGGCCAAGACGGGACCCTTCAATGCTCGGCTGCCCCGCATGCGCCTGGCCCGGTAGCCCACCACCAGTTCGTTTTGCTCCACCATCTCCCGGATAATGTTTGACAGCGGGCGGTCGGCCACCGCCACACCGGTCAGACCAGCCTGCGCGTAGATGGGCAGCGACGCGCCCACGATGGCCTGGATCGAGCGCAACTGCTTCTGGTGCCTGGCCGGCCCCAAAACGCGAACACTTGTGAGGCCACTTCTTTCCGAGAATAAAGAAAAGGCCCAACGGCGTACCACGCTGAGTGGACCACGAGCTCGGGCTGGTACACCTCCGTATTGGGGGTGATACACGAATTGCGCAAGATCAACCGCCGCACCGTAGGCGTGCACTCCTCGTCTTCCGGCTAAAACACGACACACACGACACACACGCCACACACGACACACACGCCACACACGACACACACGACACACACGACACACGACACACGACACACACGACACACACGACACACCTCATTTCAGACTTCAACCCACATAGCAGAGATTCGTGGCGGTGAATACCTCGGAGTGGTCGCCATCCACGGTTCCGTTGTCGCCCGGGTGCTGATGTCGTCGCAGAACGCGAAGCAGCCGCTCGGACGCGCGTCGGAGCCGCTTGCCGTCATCCTTGTCGGCTCGCCGCTCGCGCTCCTTGGTCAGTCGCTCGACCACCTCCTCCAGCCGGTACCGATCGTGCTGGCCCAGGGCGAGGGCCTCATCTTCCTCCTCATCGTCGTCGCCGTCGTCACTCTCCACCTCCGCAACGCCGTCGCCGTCGTCGTCGTCACTCTCGGCGCCCCACTGGACACGAGCGTGGTCGACGATCTCCAGGAAGACCAGAAGCGTGTCGACAGTCGCCTGGCGCACGTCAATGTCGACACCACGCTCCTCCAGGCACTCGAGAAGCAACTCCACGTGCCTTTCCATCGCGCAAGATGAGTGTGTGCGGTGGTAAGCGTGTGTCGTGTCGTGTCCTGTGCCGTGCGTTCGGTGTCGAGTCACGTACTCTTCAACCCAGGCTACGAGGTCGGGCGGGGACAAGAGGGTGCCGAGCAGGCCCACCGCCGACAGGGCCGCGCTTCGCACAGGCGCACTGTTGCCCTCGGTGGTGCAGAGGGGCATGAGCACGGAGTCGATCATCGCCACGACCTCTTCCCCCACCTCCACCGAGTCCATCATCGCCATTTGCCACAGGTTGACGAACTGAATTAAACCCACCACCTCAATAGCCTGTCCGACCGCACACACCGCACACACCGCACGCGAGGTCAGAAAAATGCAGCGCAAGCCACGAAGAAATGTGTTTGTACCGCTGCGCGAAGGTCTTCGTGATCGACTCGGCCGGCCGCCGCACGGCGCGGGCAATCTTCGTCGCCCGTCGCCGGGCCTGCCGTGGCGAGGTCGGTGAGGGCGGCCAGTAGCCCGGAGCTGCTCTCAGCGCCAACGGTCTGCGGGCACCACAGCCCCATGCGCCCGACCACCATCACCGCCACCAGCTTCTCCTCGACCGATCGGTGGTGCCCGCCCGCCGCGGTGGTGGTCGTCGAGGCGGCGACCAAGCAGCGCCGCAGGTGGGCCGCAATGGGCGCCGAGTGGTCGGAGTGGGGCGACAGCACCGCGTCGATGCGCCTGCGCGCATTGTCGTCGTCGCGGTCGGCGGGCTGAGGAGACAGGAATGCGTGGAGGCTGTGCAGGGCGCTCATCCGCTTCTGCTCACTTCACGCAGCAACCACTCAGCCCGTGTGTCGTGTGTCGTGCGTCGTGCGTGTCGTGTGTCGTGTCGTGTGTCGTGGGTGGTGCGTGTCGTTGGTCGTGTCGTTGGTCGTGTCGTGTCGTGTCGTGTCGTGTGTGCGAGGTTGTACTCGTCGTGGTTCAGCCACTGTACGCAGCGCCGGGTGTAGTTGTCATCGTGCGCGTCGCGGTGCCAGTCGGTCGGCACCAGGCCGCCGGCCTTCTCGCGCGCCACCTCCCACCGCTCGGCCAGTTCCCACTCCGGCACAACCTGCCAACAAAAATAAATAATTGAAGAAGTGTAACAACAGAACAAAAATCAAAAACAATCAAAATAAATAACAAATAAAAGGACAATAATAAAAATCGTCATGCGTACACGCTGTGGGGGTTCGGGATGCGTCCGGGAGCGGTAGCCATCGAGGCGCCTGTGCGCCTCCTGACGCTCGTGCTGGCGTTTGGCCTGCTTGCGCCTCAACTGTGTGTTTTTCTTGGCGGCGGCCTTGGCTTCATTCTCCTCCCTCGCCGCTCTGTCGGCCAGCTCGTGCGGCAGCGCTCGCTGCTTGGCGTGCAGCCGGCGCCCGACCAGGCTGTGCGCCAACTTCTCCTTCGCCCTCTCCATTTCTCTCGCGCTGTATTGCTGCGCCACCTTGTGCCGGAGCCATTTTTATAAAATAGTCACCTAATTCCGATCACAAAGTGAAAATATTTCGAAGGTATTTATGGAATGCACGTAAAGGGTGCCCGCTATTGGATGATGCAGACGAGCACGCGGCTCTGGCGTTGTCGGCGGGTCTTGGCGTCCTGGACGGCCTGGACCTGCTGGAGCGAGGCCCGCATGGGCTTGATGGAGACGCCCTCGGGCGTGGTGATCTCCACCAGGTGCTTGTCGGCCACCTCGGCCAGCTCGCGCAGCTTGGACATCCGCTCGAGCTCGATGTCACGCACCAGTGCCGTCTTGCCCACCACGCTCGAGTCGGGCATGATCGAGGGGACGGCCGACGGCGTCGACGACGATGAAGCCATGATGACGGCGTCGCTGGAGAAGACGGGTGTGGTGGTCATGGTGTCAAGTGGAACGCCTCTCGTTTCGTTGAAGCCCATGGTCTGCTCGCCCACGAGGCCGGCGTCTCTGTAACTGAAAAATGGACCAATAAAAATGAAATTTTAGTTGCATGTCAACACAACCACATAATCACAAAACCAGAAATCTAATCATTTAATCTATAAAACCTGTATTATGGACTATATTTATGGATAAAAAGATGATCAGCAAGCGTACGTGTCTTCCTTGATCTGCTTAGACCTGATCTTGTGCGGGTGCTCGTGCCCAGAGATCTTGATGGGTGTGGGGGTAGCCAGGGAAGTCGACATTGTCGTGGTGTGGTGTAGATAGAAGTGGGAGTGTAGTGACTGAGGTGGTGCTTGGTTTGTGGATGGCTGAATGAAGTGTGAGGCGAGCAGTCAGGGATTTTAGATAACCCCCAATTCGGGGTGGTGCAGACTTAGTGACTTCCTGGCGAAAATTGGCGTGTGCCTGGTTAGTTAATCCGCCGATCCAGTCATCTGGCCACCTCAAACGCCAGGTGCGCCACGACCACAAATAATAGGATGTTGTGTACACGTGTTCAAACAAACAGGCTGCTTATCTTACGAAGAAAAAAATAATACTACTTACAGACAAAACCAGAAGTGTCCTACAAACAGAGGGCAGAGAACTCAATGTGTGCTCTTGGTGATGGTGAAGCGGTCCCGCACGACGCCGTCTCTGGCTGAGTGGTACTTCCAGGTCATCGTCGTTGGCTGAATGTCGAGGGTGGCGTATCTGTGTGGCGCGGACGTTCCAACACAACCGATGAGCCGGCCATGCATTGCTTTTGCTTCTCTTGCGCCGCACGTACCCCATGTCTTCATTGTAGCGGGCGGCGGTCCACGGGGGCATGTGCGCCGACGGCCACGGGTCCAGCCCTTCGATGCACTGTGTTACACACGTCGGCGTTGTTTAAGGCTGATGTCAAGGTTGAGCAGAGAGAGAGAGAGATGAGGGCCGAGCATGCGTACACCGGCGGCTCCAGCGACGACGTAGGCCGGAGCGCCGGGGTTGACGTAGTCCTTGCTCATCACCTGGCCCCGGTAGATAGCGTAGTTTCGCTCGTAGGAGTGCTCGTGGGCTCCAATGTACAGATCGACCCCGTACTTGTTCAGCAGGTCTGTACAATTACAATCGGCATATCAGTCAAACAGAAGCAATCGAGTCCACCCATCATTTTCGCACCTTCAAACGAGTCTTGTAGGTACTTGGCGTAGCCGACGGGTTCGCCAAAGTACTCTGCGTTCGAGGTGTAGATCGGGCGGTGCGCAAACACTGTGATGGATGAGGAGGGTGAGCGAACCAAAAAGATATGCATCCGCCGGGAATTGAACCCGGGTCTCCCGCGTGGCAGGCGGAAATCTTGCCACTGGACCACGGATGCCTTGGCTGAAGCTGCCGAGAGCGCAGGGCCGCGCGGGCGCCTGGGCAACTGAAGGCGGAGGACGGGTACCAATGATCCAGGGTCGTGCGGGGCTGCGGGCAGAGGCGGCTTTCTTGAGGTCGCGCTCGAGCCACGCGAGCTGGTCCCCAAACTGCGCTGCGTAGGGACTGCGATAGAAGCGAGGGAGGAAGGAAGATTGGTGATCACACCTTAAGCCACAACACGCACGACACACACGACACACACGACACACACATCTTCCTACATGCTGGTGGAGGGTGTGCGTACGCGTAGGGATAATCGGTCTCCGAGCTAAGGGAGATGAAGTGGGCCAGCGAGTAGTCGAAGCTGTAGAACATCGACGTGTTCGATCCACTTTCGGGTCCGGGCATCCTACAGATCATTTCATCCGATTATTTGTGGGCCGTGTGTGGTTGTGTCGTGTGTCGTGTGCCGTGTGTCGTGTGTCGTGTGCCGTGTGCCGTGTGCCGTGTGTTGTAGTGTAGTAGTGTGTGGCGTAGTGTGGCGTGTACCTGAACCGGTGGTTGTAGGCCGTGAAGTTGGCCGAGTAGACAGCACACAGCGGGTGCATGCACGAGAACTCGTGGTTGCCTGGACCCACCATGTAGGGCACCGAGGCCGGCAGCGGGTCCATCCTCTTGAACCACTGATCCCACACATACTCGTAGATGTTGCCAGCATAGTCATCCGCATATCTATCATCTCGTGTGAGCCACAACATGCCCGTGTGCGTGTGCGTGTGCGTGTGCGTGTGCGTGTGCGTTGTGTGTGTACGTGCACGTACGATATGTCGCCCACGTGGAGGACCCAGTCGATCGCAGAGGAGTTCACCAGGCCCTTAACGCGTTGCACAGTGTTACGGCTGTTGTGCACCCCCATGTCCCTGCTCATTGGCCATTCACAATTACTTAAATTATAAATATAAACATGTAACTCTTTAGTCACGCGCAACGCGGTTGGTTGTTTTTACCCGTAGACGGCGATCGAGAAGGGGCGGGGCTGGTCGATGGCGCTGGTGAACGAATGCTGGGCGCTCCACCCGCCCTGCGCGTCGCCGCACCGATAGTAGTACCTGTACCGCACGCGTGCCATTCCAATCGATCGCCAATGGTGAGACGGTTCAGAGAGTTGGGTCTTGATTTCCAAGGCAAGATCACACACACACCACACACCACACACCACACACACACACGCATACACACACAAAGGACGACGGCGCGTACTTGGTAGCGGGCTTCAGTCCGGTGAGCACCACGTGGTGATTGTAGCCGGCCCTGGCCCGAATAAACGAACTGATTAGTTATGTGTTGTGTTGTGTTGTGTTGTGTAGTGTTGTGTTGTTGTGTTGTGTGGTGTGTGTGTCGTGTGTGTCGTGTGTGTCGTGTGGGAGGTGAGCTTACGTTACGAGGTAGGATGTCTGCAGGCCATGCGCGGTGCCGATGATCGGACCACCGGGCGTCAGCGACCACTGCACCATCGACGTGTTTGTGGGCACTGGGAGCGTGGGCGTCGCGTCAGCAGGTGCGAAGAAGCGGGTTGTAGAAACCCAGCAAAAGGGAGGAGAAAGACTGTACCGTAGGTGAGCCACGAGACGGCCATGCGGGAGGGATCACCCGCGAACGCCACGTGCACGCCGCGCGGAACGGTCTTGTCGGCAACGCAGAACTGCAGACCCTGGCACACGTGATCGACGTCGAGCTCCTCGCGCAGGTTGAACGCGAAGAAGTCCCTGTACGACACCACAAAGTCCACGCACTAGGCCACAACAGCCACCGCAAATTAATTGTGTTTCTTTATTTATTCCATACAATAATTTTTTTTTAAATCAAATAAAAAAATAATAAAATCGAAGATGGATGTTAGTTAGGGGGGGGTACGAGGGTGTGGATGTAGGGAAGTTGGGTGAAGAGATCGTCGCAGGCAGCTCGCAGGACCGCCTCGATTTCGGGGGCAGTGTCGTTGGGCGCCAGGCGTCCATCGATCCATCCCATCACATCCTCGCACAGCTCACATACCGTCCCGCTTGCACGCTGGGCATCCAGGGCGCTTTTATGCGTTGAAGATGCAGAAACGGCCCACGACAGGGACAGGAGCGCCAGCAACAGTACCAGCAGCCCTGCCTTCATCCTTCTCAGCTTTCTTTCTTTCTCTTTGACGGTTGGCCAGTGTGTCGCCCTTGGGACCAAAAAGCGATCGTCATAATTATTGGTAAATAATTGTACATTTATTTATCTCTTTATTTTTATTCGCTACTGGAGAGAGAAGGGGGCTGGCGGCCTTGGTCGGTGCTTGGTCGTCTCGGCCCAAGAGACCTTTGGTGGCTGCGCCCCATGATGGTCACCCAAAAGATGATGGTGAGCGTCGGATGAAACGTGTCACTGGGGGGGAGGGCAATGAACCTTTTGAGCCTCATCAGCGAAGCTGTGAGCATCATCTTCCTCTTCTGCGCCGTCGTCATTGATGTCCTTGCCGGGAGACAAAGGACAGCACCACTTGCGCGACTTGGCGTAGAGGATCATCGCGATCTCGTGCAGATAACACGCGAACGTGGCAGCGCCGCCCACCGTGCCTGGTGTCGTGTGTGTCGTGAGTGTCGTGAGTGTCGTGAGTGCCATGTGTGGTGTGTGCTCGAGGCGATAAAGAACTTGGGCGTACAGATGAGAGAGAGCCAGTCAAATGTGACGACCTGCTCGGAGGTGCCGACAGTGAATGTAGAGTAGGAGAAGGTGATCGCGATTCGATCCTCATGTCCGGGCTGACCTGCAGTCATTCGCACACGAGTGAGCCTGCCAATATTCCATGGCCGTTCTCGCGCATGCACGCACGCACACGCACACGCACACGCACGCTCATGGTTGCGATCATACGGTTGAAAGTGGAGGATGTGGATGCGGAAAAGGAGATCTCGGTAGAGTCGTGGAGATAGATCGCTTCGTTTTGCGTCAACGCGGCCCAGTGCGAAGACTTGGGAACCACCAAGAAGCTCGTGTCTTCATTCTATCGTGCACAACACGCACATGCAAAAGGCATACGGGGTAGCACGCGCACGACATACAAACAACACACGAACAAGACACACATGACACACGACACGTAACAAAGCCAACTCGAATGTTAATGGAAGGCAGGTGAGGGCGGTGGGGTGCGGTGGTACCCCGATCGGTGTTCGCGAAGAGGCTGAGTAGAGCACGACCGCGAAAGGCGGATTCGACTTGAAATTAGAGATTTGGATGGTGAGCTGGACCTGGGCGGCGAACACACAAGGCAGCAGCGAGTCATGTGAGCACAAAGAAAGAAAGAGAGCGAAAGTGAAAGTGAAAGTGAAAGCGAGATCGGGAGGGGGGAACACACCTGCATGAAGATGTGCTCGTCGATGACGGCGGTCATGATGTTGCTCGCGTTCCCATTGAACTCGACGCACTCATGCCCCTTGAAACGGCCCTCGGACATCTACACGCAGCCAGCGACAGCGCGGGTGAGAGAGTTTGCGCAAAGGCTAGGGGCAACAAAAGCAGAAGTAACGTTTGAGTTCGGGCGTCACGCACCACCAGGCCTCGGGCTGAACATTTGGTCCCGCTTCCCAGTGTTAGGTTGTGTCGTAGACATGAGGCCCCCTTGAGACTGCGACAACGAGAGTAAAACGGCATCAGCGTTCTGTGTGCAGTGTTGCGTGTGCGGTTGGGCGTGTGTCGGGTGTGCGTGTGTGTGCGTGTGTGTATGTATGTGTACTAGTGCCGTTTGGGAAACACGGGGCAGACGAGGACGGTGGGGAAGTCCAGCTGCCTCTCGAACCTCACCCCGGTCGTCCTGCAGATCCCGCACGAAGAGAAAGACCGACCAAACCAAAAGAGCGAAGTGAAGCGAAGAAAAGAGTGTTCAGAGCGAAGACGACGCGGTGAGCCAAAGTGGAGGGGAGGAGTACCAATCCGGGTTCGTGTAGGAGAGATAGCACTCGTAGGATTGATAGCCGGTGTAGGCCAGGACACACGCCAGGGCAACCACCCAGACCGCCTAGGGAACCACGGATTAATACTTGATATATTATTATTATTATTATTATTAATTCATATGTTTTTTAATGTTTGAGTGTAGTGGTACAGTTATAGCATATTAGAGTTATTTTGATAATTAATAATTAATCAAGATGGGGCACTCAAGTCCACCTTGCTGAAGCGAGTGGCTTGCTTCTGGTCTGCTGTGGTCTGGGCGATGTAGACCATATCGCCCACCGAGTAGCCCACCGTCCACATCCACATCTTTGCAAACCGGTTTCCTCTTCCTCTTTCTCCTCTATCTTGCGGTCCGTCTCTAACAACTTGTCTTTCAACAATTCCACACAAGCCAAGAGCCAATCCGCACGTCCCCGCTCCAGGTGCATGTTGAGGAGTGGTATTATTTTATAAATAGTTGGATGGAACGTGCAGCAACTGGATGGCCATCACTCTTTGCAGTGTTCTGTGCCCCTACTTTCACACAGGCGTAGCAACCACATCTCGTGGTTGGCCTTGAAGTGTTTGGTTTTTGCCCACTCGCGTTTCTTACTGCGGTTGCGGCTGTTGCTGCTGCAGCCCCTGCAGCACCTTGCCCACGCGGTTGTGCACCTGGCCAAGAAGAAGAACAAGAAGAAGAAGAAGAACAAACAAGAAGAGCGAGGAGGAAGCGAAGACGATTGTGGCGTCAGTGCACTGAAGGAGGGAGAGGAGAAAGCGAGTATGGTCGTAGGTACCTCCATGTACTTCTTGACGCATCGATCAGCGCAAAGACCTTCCGACACGCTCAGCTCCGACTCACCCAAACGCAATACGCACTTCTTCCAGCACTGGTGCTGCATTCTGCAAGTCGAGATAATGGATTTAATTTACGTTCGATTTTTCTAGGAATTGAGCGCAATGAAAGCAATTGGCAGCGTGATCGATCGATTGCCAATCCTCTCCACCACAGATTGGTTCGCCGTTCTTTAAATTGATTGATTGATTGACTGAACAGATTGCCGCCCATCACGAGCAACTCCGGAGCAAAGAAGGAAGAACGAAATCGCTACCTGTTGTACATGTCCTGGAAGGCAACGAGCTCCTGCTGTGCCGAAGCCAGCATCTGTTCCCGCGTCATGTACTGCTCGTTCGACATCTTGATCGAAACTGTTGTCTCTTCGAAGAAATTCAATTTCCTTGATTTTTCCTCCTCTCCTCCTAAAATTCGTGGTGGTCGGCTTCATCACCCCCAGAAGAGTGGGCGCGAGCGGGTGGCTCTGGTCCCGCCGGGACCGTTGGCCAGCGAAGACACTGATCGCTGCAGTTGGAGCACTTTCGTCCACAGGGATGATCTCATGTTGTGGAGCGAGCCAGCTTGTAGGTTCACCCAGAAAGGAGGTTAGAATCAAGAATGCAAGCGGAATGGAGAGGGATGCACACCTTCGAACATCAACTTGAGTCGAATGATCTGAACGAAGGACAGGAAAAGGACCAGGCCGGCCTCCCATAGGCCCCACATGAGCGTCCACTGACAGGTCGACTCAGCCACTTACCGGTCGAGTCCGAAGACCGAAGTGAGCTCAGGCGAACCTTGCAATTCGGTGATGATGGGGGTAACGTACGATCACGCTGCAATCGTTCGCGGGCTTTGTAGTGCGCCTGACCGTCTCTGATCGCGTCGATGCTCTTCCTCAGCTGCCATACGCTCAACTCTAATGGGTCCTCGGCTGCGACGTGGCGGAGGGGAAGTGTGGTGAGTCTGCGTGCGGATTGATCAATGCCTCTGCGAGGCAAGAACTGCTGACGTACGTGGAAGGTCCGAATGCTTGGTGTTGGCGCTGATGTGAACGTCCACCACCTTCTCGGTCCAGGTAGACATCTTGTTACCAAAGCACAGGCGATGCTCCCCTGTGTGACTGCGGTCGGCGAAGACAGAGTAAGCCCAAGCAAACAGCACAATACTATGAATGAACGCACCTCGGGAAGAAGGCCACATTGTCGCCCGTGGTACCGAGATTGCTATGCAGCACATCCCTGTTGGGAGCGTACACCTGAAACCTCGCAATTACATTCAATTAAATGATGCAAATAAAGTAAAAATTGTGTGTTGTGCTGCAGCAATCACGCGCGTCCTATCTTGAACAGCAGCGAACACAGAACCAAGCACAGACACGAGGAAGACGGGAAGACTGCTTTTGTGTTGACGATGAGCTTGTTGAACAAAGCAGGCAAGGAGATGGACGTACCGTGAAGTCGATATCCCGAATGCCACCCGAGATGACCTGGTATTGCACCACGACGGTGCTGCCCTGGTCGAGAGGGTGGTAGAAGCATTCTTCCCGCCCAGGCGGCACCTCCCATTTGAGGCCACTGACGCCCACCGCCACCAGCGTGGTTGACAGCAGGCTACAGCAGAGGAAGACGGCCAAATCAAGTTGGCAACGAGAATGCATATCTGGCCGGGGGAGCTGAGGGCGATGCGAAGGACCAAAAGTGGGAAGGGGTCAGGGTGGTTGGAGGAGGTGGCGGTTGTGAGGGTATCCTTGAATGGTCGCCACCCAAGCCCGAGTTGTTCTGTGGCGGAAAATTAGAATGGGGCTGATCGCAGGTGATGCTGTCTTCCGCGCCCGCCTCGGCTTCTGGACAACTACAGGTACCCGATCAAGCCTCCGGGATTGGTCATGTGGCGGCGCTTGCCCAACTACGGCCCTGGCTGTATCGGCGTCGAGCCTAGGCGCCAGGCCCATTTCTGAATTGGGTCGAAAGTGAGGGAAATTACGCCACATTAGTTCTCGTTTGCCCCTACACTCACCACACTCGGGACCACCTTTATCTCTCGATCTTCCCGATCTAGCTGCAGGCGACCACTTGAGTGCATCTGATTTCTTGCAGTTCCCTTCCGCCTAAGACGACGTTCACCGGCAACACCGGTTCGACGAGGCGCTGCAAGCACTGGTGCGCCGCACAACAGGTCGAGCCCGAAGCTAAGAGAGTGAAAATTGGGTTGTTCTTCCTCCTCTGCTGACACCCCACGCTGCCGTTGGTCTGCCTACTCCCGATGGAACCCGGCAAAAACCTGGAGAAAACTACGGGAAAAGACTGCCCGAATTTCCAACGTCTCGGAATTGGGCTGCTCCTGCAAGGTGTCGACACAGTGCAACACCCAATCACAAGACCTGCAGCGAGAAGGGCACGTGATCTGATCCAATAGTTCGACCGCCTGCCGACCTCTCACGGTTCGTCCACGTGAGCAAAGACAGGGAAAAGTCTTGGCACTCTGTCGCCCTGCGCCGATTCAAGTTTGAATGCAATCTCGTCCCGCTAACGGGCCGTCATCACAGCCGCGCCAGCTATGGTAGTGGGACCTCTCACGACAACGTCACTCAACCCATTGGCAGGAACCCGCAGGCCCACGACGACCTGCGACAGCTGGAAAGATATAAAGGCACCTAGAGGCCGCGGCTACCAGAGAGAAAACTGCGCGCTTTCCTCCTCCCTCTTCTTTCCCTTTGAACGTTGTCCTTTCGCACACGACCACTCGCCCTCGTCTCGTCGCCACTCGCCACTCGAGTCTTCATTCAGCCCAGCTCCTTTTCACTGTTGCACGCTTGCCACCCGACCGACCCCACACCACATCAACTCGCCGCTCGCGCTCCCTATCTGGCCGATCACCTCTGTGCACTGTTCTACTTCGCTACTATTCTACATCGCCTCTGCTGACCAAGGGCTACCCAGCTATCGGCCCTGACCCTCGTCAACGACCGCAACACCATAGTCTTCGCATAAAACATAAAAAGGCGCTCAGCACAGCGTCATCGCCACAACCCCGCTCGCGACAAGCGTCAATGGCCAGCGCGGCTGTCACCGAGGCCACTCTCTACGACGTGGACATGCCACAACACCAGCTCGACCAGCGACACGCCGACGCCCCCGAGGTGGTCGATGACCACCTCCAGGCGGAAGCGAGTACCACCGGTCAAGAAGAAGACGAGGGTACGACCTTCCACCTTATCTCCAATCCGTGGACTGGCTGAACGTTCAAACCCGTGTTCGAACACCTCACCATAACTCCACTCCACACACACAGATCGCCAGAGCTACCCCTTGGGCCAGAGCCACACACCGCTGACGTCCATCCCAACTCTGGGCCAGGTACCACCATCGCGCACTCGTTCATGTTGTTGCCTCGTGGCGTGTAGAACGAACGGGAGGCAATTCCGCAGTCCGGCCAATCAGAATTTGGGATATTTTGCATTTTTTAAAGAACTACGGGAGATTGGCCAAGGCGCTTACAGACCTGCCAACCTCTACAGGCCCTCATCGATGGTAACAATCTCGATCGCAAGTACGTCCATTCGTTCCTGCAGGTGCTCGCCGACCACTCTCAGTTCTCCGACAAGGTAGCCAACATCACCACAACGTGAAAACAACATCTTCACCAACATGCACTGACAATTTCATTCAACATTGTCTCGTTTGTAGTATCAACACTATGAAGAAGACGAGTACGAGCGGAAGCGCAAGAGGAAGCTGCGCGAGAGCGAGCGCAAGATGTTCTTCTACGCCGGCCAGAGCGCGAACGGCGGTGGGTCGGGCGACAAGAGCAAGCGCAAGGCCGCGGCGTCAGTGGACAAGGGCGGCAGCAGCGGCGGAGCGAGCGTGAGCAACAAGAAGCGACGAAGGAAGGAGCGCGAGCGCGAGAGGGAGCGCGTCTTGGACAAGGACGCCCGACGACAGCTCTCCGGGTCGGCGCCGATGATGATGTCGATGGCCGGGCAGCGCAGTCAGTCCTCGTCGCCCTTCAACTCGCCGCCGACGATCGCCGGCACCCCTTCGGCCGAGCGCACGGGGTCGATGCCCAACATGCCTAACATGCCGCAGTGGTCGGCCGCCCAGAATGATCGGAATGCGTCGTTCTACTCAGCTTCTGTGCCGTCGGCCATGCCCAGCCACGCCCAAGACATGGCCGGGCTTCATCATCAGCCCCACCACCACCCGCACCAAGTCCTGTCGTCGGTCCAGGCCGCGAGCCATCTGATGCGCCACCGGGCCTCCATGCCGCAGCTGCCGACGCAGCAGCACCAGTACCTCCAGCGCCCCGGTGGCTACCTCCACCTCAGCGCCGGGCACTACTCGCCGAGCTCATCGTTCGACTACATGCCCCAGCAGTCGCCCCTCTCGTCGTCCCTGTCGTCGTCGGCCTCGTCATCCGTCTACTACACGTCCCCCGCGCCTTCGCCCTCGCCCGCGTCACATATTGTGCCGATCAGGGCCAACGACTACGCGCCCTCGCCGCCGACCTACCACCACCCCCAGCACCGCCAGGTTGCCATGCAACAGTCCTCGTATGCCAGCTACTACCAGCGGCAGCCGCTCCAGCGCTACCCGCACCAGCAGGCTCTCCTGGCGACCTCGCTGCCAGCGGAGATCATGCTCGATGCCTACGGCGGCCACCTCACGGCCGAGGAGCAGCCCAGCGACCCGACGCTCGACGACGAGTCCTGGACGTCGTCATCGATCAGCGCCTCGAGCTCGGGCGAGCTCTCGTCGGGCAGCGAGTCATTCTCGTGCTTCGGCCCGTTCGACCCGGCCGCGATCGGTGGGGCCACCGCCGGCGACGACGGCGAAGACCTGGCCTGCGCCGACATGGCCTCGGCCGCCGCAGCCGCTGTCGAGAGCTTCATGCTCGCCAACCAGCACCAGCACCAGCAGCACCTCAAGGAGGAGTCATCTCCCGAGGGCGCCCAGCAGCAGGCCGGCGGTGGCGTGGCGGTCGACGAGGACTGGTTCAACTCGTTCTTCTCCGACACGGTGGGCAGCCCCCTGCTGGGCGGCCAGACGGGCGACGTGCCCGACGGTGCCCAGTGCTACCCGGCCCTCGACTCGAGCCACATCGATTCGCTCTTCGCCGATGTGGAGGCCTACTACGGCCGGCTGGTCAACTGAACACAGCATCAACGAGCAGCCTGAGGGCAACCCATCCTGTGTTCAGCATCGAGCAGCCTGAGGGCAACCCATCCAGTCGTCACGCGCTGCGACCGACTTGTCCACACCTGTAAATGTCACCATCCCCACCTGCACATATCTCTACATACACCAAATACACTCACTGTACACACTTCTTGGCTGAAACGTTTCGGAAATTATTTTCGGAGTGTGTCGGTAAATCTCGTGCTTCTGCAGAAGATGGGGAAGAATGAGATTCGAGGATTTGGGCGAACGAGTTGATGCGCCACACCTGGATCAAAAGTCGATTGATCAGGCGAGGGCGAGAAGATGGGACTTTCGGAAAGCAAGGCAGCGAGTGCCAGAGGGGCCACGCCTCCGAATGAGAACCAGCAGAAGGTGGAAGTGGAGGTTCCCAGGGAGAGGGAGTACGTGCACAAGGAACCAGTGGGCGTAGTGGTGATCGGCCTCGGCCAGCGGATGTGCACCCTCCTTCGATTCCTGCTCCTGAAGCACGGACGCCTCGTGCAAATCCGTGCCTTCTGCGACGATTCGCCCCAAGCCATCCAGCAAGGCCTCGAACACCTCAAGTACGTGAGATCAGGACACCATCTATCTATCTATCTATCAATCCATCAAAAACAAATCCTTTTTTCTTTACGCTGTGGTGCAGGCTGGTCACGGACGTGGACTACAGCGAGACGGTGCCGACCTTCACCTCGCACGAAGAACTCTTCGCCGCAGGGCTCGACTTCACGTGGGTGCTCATCGGCTCTAAGAACTATCTGCACAAGGTGCGTAGTAGTCCCCCATCTCGCCCCGCCACTGGCCGTCCTGTTGTTCAGTCACTGACCATTGACTCTGCGGTCGTGGTCGTGGTCGTGGTCGTGGTCGTGGTCGTGGTCGTGGTCGTGGTCGTGGTCGTGGTCGTGGTCGTGGTCGTGGTCGTGGTCGTGCTCGGCACTGATCAGGTCCACTGCGTCGCGGCATTCGAGCAGGGCAAGCACGTCTTCTGCGAGAAGCCCCTCGCCACCACGCTCGAGGACTGCGTTGCGATCAGAGAGGCCTCGCAAGCGGTACCTTGACTGTGGGTGTCGCGCGTGCCTCTATGCGTTCGTGCGTGTGCGGTGTCGCGTGTGCGTTGTGAGCTTACAACGAGCCCCTCTGTGGCCATACTATTGCATCGCAGAGCGGCAAGCTGTTCAGCACGGGGTTTGTGCTGCGACACGCCTCGTTCTACCAAAAGATCAAGGAGATTCTCGACAGCGGCAAGCTCGGGCGCATCGTCTCCGTCGAGGCCAACGAAACGCTCATGCCAGCCCATGGTGGATACATCATGAGGTACACGACCACCACCACCACCACCACCACCACCACCGACGGCCCGCTGGCCCGTAGCAGTGATATTGACAGACTGCAATTTTGCGCGTCGACACAGGAATTGGAGGCGTCACAGGGATCAAACGGGTCCACACATCCTCGAGAAGTGTTGCCACGACATCGACATCTTGAACTGGCTCCTCGGTGCGTGCTACACTCGCTTGCGGCGATAGCATACCGACCATGAGTTGCCTCGATGCTCAGCCTCACAGAACACACACACACACACACACACACACACACACACAACGACACACACGCACACACACCACGACACACACGATTCACGACACACGACACACGACACACGACACACGACACACGACACACGACACACGACACACGACACACGACACAGAGTCGTTGCCCTCCCGTGTCGCGTCATTCGCCGGCTTGGATATCTTCGTCCCCGAAAACAAGCCCGTACGGACTACCATGGTTGCTTGAAATATGACTGCATTCCATTCCATGACATTCTACTCTTGCGTAGCCTCCGGAAGTGAGCCGCGCGTATCGGACGTGGCCGGCCTGGGAGGAGGTGGACCCCTTTGACAGTGATAAGGACACCGAGGACAACCAGGTGCGCGACGTCGGCTCCACCGGCTTTTGTGTCGTGTGCGTGCGTGTGCGTGCGTGCGTGTGTTCCCATGAGTTGTGCTCACGTGAGCGGTATCGAGCGAGCGCAGGTGGTGATCATGGAGTACCGCAACAAGGTCCGGGTGACCTTCCACACCAACTGCAATTCGGCCCTGCCCGAGCGTTCGCTCCGCATCTTTGGCGTCAAGGGCGCCCTCATCGGTACATTGCCGCCTTCTGACCCGACTCCGCACACTGTGCGACACTCATGCGTCCGCGTACTTCTCCGTCTTTGTGTTTCAGGCGACCTGTTCACGGGCAAGATCAAGCTGTGCCTCGTGGAGAACGACATCGTGCAGGCCATTCGCTGCCGCACCGGCGACCTCCATGGTGCGCAGTCTCTCTCGTTCACACCCACCACTCGTCGGCCCGTGAGCGCTCACCATTTCGCCTTCTGTGCGGTCGTTGCATTGATTGCAGGCGGGGCCGATGAGATCATCGTCGATGACCTGGTGCAGAGCATCGACGAAGAGACTCCGCCCAAGGTTCGCTGTGTTGCGTGTTGTGTGTGTTTAACTTTCGTTTCGTGGATCTGTGGGCTCACACGACGTGTGGCACACGGCGCAGGCCAGCGGCGAGGAAGGGTTCCGCAGTGCCGTGGTGTGCCTGGTCATCGACCAAGCCCGCGCGTCGGGTCAAGTGGAGAGCCTGGAGCAGGTCTGGCCCCGCTTCGGCATCGATGACGACCACCACAACGAAGCCTAGTATTTGATCATTTATTTTGATCCATTACATTTATGTGAATATGTTCTTTATATGTTTTTACGAGCGTGAGGCACGAAGAGGAGCTTTGCCTTGTGCTGTTCGCAAGGGAGAGATCTCCGCTCGTAACATTTTCTGGTTGGCTCAGTTCGTTATCCCATTTCCATGGAACTGGTCGCCGATTAGGCAAATTCTTCCGTCACCAGAAACCGATAGAATTTCCTTGAATTTCTTCGCTATGGAGAACCTACTTCCAGCGTGTCACGTTGCAATCAAGTTTTCGTCCAACGGCCGCCCCTGCATCGTTGTGTTCGCCCGTATTTCGTTTGTTGCGACCACTCCCTCCAAGACCTGGAGCCACCGGCCCGCAGGATTAGTTGGTTGGAGAGCAGTATAAAGCGCCAGGGCACCTCACGCTGATTATTCGTACCACCAACCTCCAGCCCTCTATCAACAGCCACACCAACCCAGACATGAGGCAATCTCTTCTCGTGGCCATCGTCGCCGCGGCCTTCTGTTTCGCCTTCGTCGCCGCTGGTACTTGCTCCACACCATGTGTCACGCTGATTTCTGGGCCAACATTAAGCCAATTTCTTCTCCTTCTTTCGTCCGAAATGCCACCACACAGACTGCAATGTGAGCGTCAAGCAGACCCTGGGCAGCGCCTGGAAGCAGAACGGCCAGGACATGTCGCAGTGGAACGCCCAGATCACGGCCGGTTCGGAGAACGTCAAGTCCGTGGTGCTCAGCATCACCGGCGCCAAGATCACCCAGCTGTGGGAGCTCACCCTCGACGAGGCCACTGGCCTTTACTCCCTCCCCGCCTACCGCCTCCAGAGCGGTGGCCTCAGCGCCGGCCAGACCCACCAGTTCGGCTACATCTGGGAGTCGGCCGCCCAGGCCACCATCACCGTCTCCTCCATCAACTGCGGCGCCGCCCCCTCGGCCTCGGCTTCTCCCGCCGCCCCGTCGGCTTCCGCCTCGCCCGCCGCGCCGTCGCCCTCTTCGTCGGCGGCCCCCACCATCGTCGCCACCCCTCCGCCCACGTCTGAGGGCTGCAGCCTGACCGTGACCCAGACCAAGCGCTCGGCGGCCGAGGGCGGCAGCTGGACCACGGGCGACTTCGGCTTCCAGATCTACGATCTCGCCCTGGCCAACAACGGCCAGCGCCCGGCCAACGGTGCCCGCATCAACGTCGCCCTGGTGAGCGGCGCCCAGCAGCAGATCTACCAGTTCTGGAACGTCGAGCGCGCGTCGGCCGACTCGACCGTCTTCAACGTGCCCACCCCGTGGGGCTCGATCCAGGTCGGTGCCTCGCAGGGCGCCGGCTACATCCTCCGCTACCCGCTCTCGGCCGCCGCCCAGCAGGCAGCCCCGACCACCACCCTGCTGTCTGTCACCTGCGACGGCTCGCCCAACGGCAGCCCCGCCGCTTCGCCCTCGGCCTCGCCCGCCGCCCCGTCGCCCTCGGCGCCCGTCGTGTCGACCCCCCAGCCCAGCCCCGCCAACGGTTGCAGTGCGACCGTCTCCATCGCTGCTCGCTCGGCCGCCAACAGCGGCTCGTGGACCGCCAACGGCGCCAACTTCCAGATCTTCGACCTGGTGATCTCCAACACCGGCTCGAAGGCCCTTACCGACGCCCAGCTCACCTTCGCCCTGCCCGACGGCACCACTGTGTTCCAGTGGTGGGAGCTGATGAGCATCGCCAACCAGGCCAGCGTGTTCGACGTGTCGTTCAACTACGGCCCGCTCCAGGTCGGAGCCACCCAGGGCGCCGGCATCGTCGGCAAGTCGGCCTCGGCCTCGCAGGCCACCCCGACCGTCACCATCGGCTCGCTCACCTGCGCCTAAACTTTCGATCGAAGCGTGGCTACAACTCACCAATAGGCGGTGATATTTTTAAATTTATATTTACCTTTTTTTCAATTTAGATATATTGTTTTTCGTCGGCAGCATCTGTCGTGCAGCGCAACAAAAGATAAATAAATATTACATACAAAACAACAAAACAGTTTATTGGGGTGTTGCGGGTTGGCTGAGCTGGCGAAGAGCAGCGCGAATGCGCGTGATGTCGTCTGGATATGGCCAACAAGAGCGGTGAGCGAGTTGCGCTCATTACTTAGGCAGTGGAGGGAGGTACCCGGGGTCGTGCGGCAGCAACCGCCAACGATGCAAGCGCCTGGAATCTAATTAATTAATTTGGTTGGCACCCACACACACACATGCAACACACCAACACCAACACATCAACACTAACACCATACCCAGACCAAACCAGGCCGCAACTTGGTCAGCCAGTCCGCCGCTTGTGCCGGCCCCATCTGCGTGTGTGTTGGATCGCACGCAACACGACAGTTAGACACTTACTCGCAAGAAACCAGAGCCAAAGACAATAGAGAATAGAGAACCTGAGGCGTCGGCCGGCGTCCACTGCTGCGCGGCGGCGTCCCAGCCTTCGCCCGAGTTGGGGTACACCACGAGGGGCTTGCGCACACTGCCCCGCACGCTCTCGAGGAGTCCACCGATGAACTGCGGCGACGTGCAGTTCACGCCCACCGCCGCCACCACCTCCCTGCAATATAGTTTGCATATGTGGGTCACACACTCGAAGTGGTCAACATGAAGCAATGAATCATGGTTGTACGATTGCTGCAGCTCGACGACGGCTTCGCTGAACTTGTGGCCGTCCGACAAGTGCTCCTGGTCTCGGCAGGTGAACGAAAGCCAGAGCCGCTGGTCGGGGAAGTGCGTCTCGAACAGCTTCACCAGAGCCCGGCCTTCTTTGAGACACGGCACCGTCTGTCAATCGCAGTGAGTGCGTTTCTTGTGTCATGTGTGTGTGCGCGTGTGTGTGTCGTTGGTCGTGTCGTGTCGTGTCGTTGGTTGTGTCGTGTCGTGTCGTGTCGTGTCGTGTCGTGTCGTGTCGTGTCGTGTCGTGAGTGCCGTCGTGAGTGCCGAGTGTGGTGTGTCAGGTGACGGAGGGCACCTCGCAGGCAAAGAGGTCGGGTGCGAGGGCGGGATCAGCCAGCAGCAGCCGAATGCGTGGCAGGTGGAAGTCGATGAACTCCTCCTGGCTCATCCGCGCTCCGTAGTCGCCCCGATACTCGCTGCCGTCGTGTAAGGTCGCCCCTGTGTCGAGTGAGCGGCGCACCATCACCGCACGCCCCACTGCACACACACGACACACACCGTACCATAGGGGCCGATAGAGGCTGCCACAAGCGGCCATTCACGGCCTCGCCGCCGATCTTCGTCCGCCCAGAACTCGGCTCGTGCCTCCTGTTGCTCGCGCCAAGTCAGCTTTATGTCCGAAGCACACGCACACACGCGCACACGACACACACCGCACACACGACACACACGCGCACACACACGCGCGCGCGACACACGACACACGACACACACACACGCGACACGCGACGCGCGACACGCACAATGGTGGAAGGAGCGACGAACGTGTGCGAGCTGGAGCGTGCGTTGGAACAGGCGGCGCACGTCGTCCTCGCCCAGGCCGCGCTGGCGGAAGCCTTCGATGGAGGCCTGGTAGGACGAGGTGATCAGCACGTCCGCGCCGGCGTCCAGGTAGGCCCGGTGCACGGCCTTGATCATGGCCGCGCCGCCGCTGTCGAGCAGCAGCCGAGCCGACCACAGCGAGTCTGCAGCGCGTGCGCCGAGTTGTGCGCCGTAGTGTGCAGCAGATGCGTAAGTAGTGCGGTCGTGCCGTGTGAGGCGGGGGGGGGGTAAGACGGACTGTTGAGGTCGGCACCGAGGCGCTCGAGTTGGGTGGCGAGACCACCGTCGACGACCGCGAAGCTCTGCCGCTGCAACAGCTCCCCCAACCTCGCTTGTGCGCGCTCGTCCATTCAATCGATGTTAATTACTTTTAATCTTTATTATTTCTAGAATAATAAAGACTAAAAGAAAGTCCGGCCAGGAATGCTCCACTGCTTTGTTTTAGTGGACCAGCACAGATGGAGGCAGACAACATTGCTGATCTGCCAGACGAGTTGGTGGGCTTCATTGTGGGCCTCACGCGACCCTCTGCCGCCGAGCTCTGCCTCTTTGCCTCCCTCTCCAAACGGCACCCCCACAAATACTCTTTATTAAAATTATTTTAAAAATTATTTATTTATTTATTTATTTATATGCACAGGTGGCACCGGATTGTGATGGGCGCCGACTCGCGGGGCCACACGGCGCAGGCCCTGTGGTCGGCTTTCGCTCGCCGCACACTGTGGCCCGACTCGCGCTCCGGCGGACCCGACCTGTGGCGCCGCCTGCAGTGCTACCCGCGCTTCCGCGACCAAGGCGCCTCCGTCTTTCCCTCTGTACAGAGAGCGTCGTCCACCTTTCTGTCTGTGTGTGCGCGTGCGGTGCATGCGTGCGGCTCACCAATGCAACACACGCACGCACACACGCACACGCACCACCGCACACGCGCACGACATGCCCCACACGCGTCACGCAGGAGCGATGCGAGGAGGTGTCTGTGTGTGCAGCCAAGGCGGCGTTCACCGAGTCTCTCCTGAACGACCCCGGCTTCGCCGAGGTCAGGGCCAGCAGTGCGACATCGCTCAGTACGCAGCAGGCGCTTCGCCCTCTCGCCTCGATTGTGCTGTTGCCTGTTTTTGACCGACTCGCGATTGCAGATTCCAAGTGGGCCCTGTCCACGCACGGTCTCAAGGCGCGTCAGCTGCTCCGCGACTACGTCCACAGCTACACGCTCGTCGACACTCTCGTGGTACGCCTCAATTGACCGGCAACACTGGAGCGCGACCATTACGTCATCCCATACGCTTACGTGTGTGCGGGTGTGTGCGGGTGTGTGCGGGTGTGTGCGGTGTGTGCGGTGTGCGGTGTGTGCGGTGGTCAGGTGTGCCACGATGAGAGTGGAGATGCATCTACGCCACAGATCCTCGTTTACGACATTGATCTGCCGCACGATGAGCTCGCCGAGGCTCAGGCCGAGCACCAGCGGCAGCGAGACGCTCGCCTTGCCGCTGACCCCAACAGCCAGCCCCCCGAAAACACCGCCGAGCGCGCCAAGCTGCTGCACTCCATCGAGTTTAATAACAAGGTTCGTGCGCCGCCGTGCGCGGTCGTGCGCGGTCTAACAAAAGGGTCCGCACACGCCAGATCGCAGAGATGCGGCCGCACCATGAGAGTGGCCGCATTTTCGGGCTGTACGCCCACAACCTGTGCGTGCTGGATCCTCGGCAAGGCCAAGTTCTCCGTACCCGCCACCACCTCTTTTTCATTTTATTAAGGTATTTCTTTATTTTATTTATTATTTATTTTATTATATGGGTTGCCAGGTGGCGAGCTTTTACCGAGTGGCGCCTATCAAGAGGTTGAGACTCTACGCATTGACGGCGATCTGCTGGCGTTCCAGGCCAAGCGCTCAGACAGTACGCACGACACGACACGACACGACACGACACGACACGACACGACACGACACGACACGACACGACACGACACCGCACTGCACGCGTGCGCGCGGCGACTGAGCTGCGCTGTACAGAGCGTGCGACGGAAGTGTGGGACATTCGCGAACCCTCCTCGGCGGCCCCAATCTACCGCACGCGGGACGTGGATCAGATCTTCAACGTGCGCCTGCACGACGTATGCCGCCTTCCCCTCCCACCTCTGTGCACCACCATCACATCTCAATCACATGCAACACACGCACACGCACACGCACACGCACACACGACACGGCACGCAGAAGAGAGAGTTGTGGACAATCGAGATGCTCGGGTCCACGATCAACCCGGCCATGTACGACCTGCGCAGTCCCGATCCCGCGTGCACGGTACCCAGTTCCCCCACTTTTCTATGGCGACGCGAAAAGAAGAAGTTAAAGGGTCAAGTCGGACCAGGTCAACACCATCACGGGGGAGAGCTTGTTCGTCAACGACCAGTTCGTCGCGTTGGGCCACTGTACGACACTGTTTGCCCCCCCAACAGTTGTTGTTGTTGTTGTTGTTGTCAACTTGATAGCTTTACTTTACATTTGAACCACCACATGCGCGCGTTGCTCTCTCGCTCACGCCCTCCAAGCCAGGTGGAGTCCCGACCCAAATGTGGTGCAGGTCTTCGACCGACGAAACCTGGACACCCCCGTCGGTACGCCCCCCCCCCGCCGCGCGCGCTTAACCAACGCGCAACACATTGAACCTGGCACATACCGCACCACACGCACCGCACACACCGCACACACGACATATCAGTGTCGCACGAGCAGCACACGTATCTGGTGACCGACGTGGCAATGACCAGCGACAACCGGAAGGTGGTCTCCTGCGCCTGGGACGGCCGGCTCCTCGTCACCGGTTTGGCCTCTCCCCCCCATCTCCTCGTGGTCTTTGTCACTTTGCTCACCCCGCAGCGGTCGCGGTCGTGTTGGCGGGGGGCTCAGACGTGGCGTCGGGGGAGACCAAGTCGCTGAACCTGCACGCCAAGCTGGGCCAGATGCAACTGATCACCGACCGCGTGCTGGCTGTGGCCGACGTCATGTGCGCCGTGTCGTTCGTCGATCTCGACACGATGGAGTTCCTGCGCGGCTACGAGGTATCGCCGCGTGTGTCATTTCTCACATTACCACCACAAACAACACCACACACCACTGACGCACGACACGCACGACGCACGACACACGACCTGGCACGACGCAGGTGACGCCGATGGGGTGCGGTAACAACTGCACGCTGGAGGTCAACGAGACCAAGCTGGCCGCGGGGATGGCCAACGGGTCGAGCGGCTGCCTCGCCGTGTTCGACCTCGCCCTCGACACCGCACGCGACGATGTGTGCATGATGTGATGATGGTGTGTTTAGGAGAGACTGTACTTGTGGAGGACACATCATCGCCCGAACCGGCCGGCTCCTTTGCCTTCACCGCACACGCGCGCTCGCGTGGGTCTCGTCGTCGTCGTCGTTGTTCGCAGCGCGCGCGTGTGTGTGTGCGTTTTGCTGGATCGTCCGAAGTATGGAAGGGTTTGGGCTGGCATCGATGGCGGGGGATGGTGCTCTGATCGAGGGGGGGGGCGGGGGGCGTTGGGTGGAATGAAGGAAGGGCCTGGGGCTTAGATCCTCTTGACGATCTGGATGACGTCTTCGTCGTTGAGGACGTGCTCCTTGCCCACTCTCTGCGGGTTGTGCTTCACACTGCTACCCCACACGAGCGCACTGGAGACACACACACACACACACACAACCGACAAAACAGACAGTCAGCTGACCATGACACGCACGCGCGCGCCACCGCACACGACACGACGGAAGCGTACTATTTGAACTGGTTGAGAAGGCCCTTGTGGATCCTGTTACAGAAGTCCTCCACGGTACGAGCGCTGCCGCGAAGAATGACGGGCGCGGTGTAATCGGGGATCTGACCACGGGGCTTGGTGTAACTGTGTGTCGTGTCGCGTGCGTGTCGTGCGTCAGCGTGCGTCGTTGTGTGTGTGTGTCGTGTGTGTTGTGTGTCGTGTGTGTGTGTTGCGTGCGAGGGTCGTACATTCTGGTGAGGTCGAGGTACTCCCAGGTCTTCTCGAGGAGGCCGTCGAGGTTCCACTCGAGGTGGGCCGAGATGGGCACGTAGTGGGGGATCTTGTCGATGACGTCGAGCTCCTCGAGCGTGAGCTGATCGATCTTGTTGAGCGCGTAGAGGCACGGAATGTAGACGCGGTTGCCCTCGATCACGTCGATGAGGTCGTCCACCGTGGCGTCGTACCGCAGGCTCACGTCGGCGTTGTGGATCCTGTACTCGCTCAGCACCGCCTTGCAGATGTCCGCGTCGAGATTGGTCAGAGGGCACTGTGTGTGTGTGTGTGTGTGGCACGACGCGCGACAAGACGCGACACGCACGAAAAGTCAGTCTTTGGCTCGTCAGCTGATAGCGGAGGGAACGGTCGTACGGTGGAGGTGAGGTTGACGCCGCCCCTCTCCTTGCGCTTGAAGGTGAGGTTCGGTGGGCTCTTGTTCAATCGAATGCCGAAGCCCTCCAACTCGTTCTACACGACACGACACGACACGACACGGCAGTGAGCACAGACAAACCGCACGCACCAATAGCAGAGTGGAGGAGGAAGCGCACCTCGATGATGAGCTTGTGGCCGAGGGGCTTGAGCGAGTCGAGGGTGATGATGATCAGGTTGCAGGTGCGGGCCACACCGATGACCTGCTTACCTCGACCCTTGCCGTCCTTGGCTCCCTCGATAATACCGGGCAAATCGAGAAGCTGCAGCGCCCACCGAGGCCCGCGGTGGTGAGCAACGCGCACGGCCTGAAAGAGAAGGAAGAGAAGCGAGAGAGCGCTGATACCTGAAGCTTGGCGCCCTTGTAGTAGATGACGCCGGGAATACACGTGAGGGTGGTGAACTCGTAGGCGGCGATGAGAGACTCGGTCTCGGTGAGCTTGGTCAGCAGGGTCGACTTGCCCACCGACGGGAAACCTGCGCAGGTTGTGGGGATTGCGATTATGAGTAAAAATTGAATGATATAAATTATTAGGATTCAATTCGTTTCTGCACGTGTGCCGTGAGGCACAATGCAGCGAAAGAAGGAATGGCAAGGATGATGTAGGAAGGATAGGCGATGCGGCCGATTAATTGTCAAGCGAGGGGGGGGGCAGCGTACCGACGAGGCCGATACGGGAGTCACCAGTCTTGGTGACGTCGAAGCCCTCGCCCACGACGGCACCGCCGGCACCCTTGGCCGGGGAGATGAGATCGCGCTTGAGCTTGGCGAGCTTGGCCTTGAGCAGACCCAAGTGCTTGGCCGTAGCCTTGTTCTTCTGGGTCCTGTTCATCTGCACGCGGCCCATTTCACACACACACACGTTAGATCTCCATGCCTTGTTCCATCGCTCCACCAGGCACCCCATCCAGAGCCTCGATAGGAGCTCCGCGTAGTGCCTCCCGTCCGTAATCATTAAATTGACGGGGGCGCACCTCATCTTCGATTTCCTTGATCTTCTGAACGGTCGTCATTTTTGCTTGCAACTGCCGATGAGGTCTACTGCTCTCCTTCTCCTTCTCCTCTCCTCGAAAGCTAATCTGCTGATGCGATGGCAGCCGAAATAGAAAAAGAAAAGAGCCCTTCTTGAACTTTTCCCAGTGTCGACAGATAAATAACAAAGAGAAAATGATTTATTATGATAATTCAAATAATCACACAGCACGGGTAATGCGGCCACGATGGCGATTAGGGGCAGGCCTGCTCGTGCTGACGCTGTTCTTGTATTTTACACAGCCCGCTGCTTCTTTTAGCGACCAAGAACGACACGAATTGCAGTACATTCACCTCCCATTTTTATTTTTTACATTTAATTCATTTATTTACTTTATAAATTCTCCATTAAAAAAATCAAATAAAAATAACAGGCAGGAAGTGAAGGGGATGTTCTACCACGCCTACGACTCGTACATGCTGCACGCCTTCCCCAAGGACGAGCTCCTCCCCTTGAGCTGCAACGGCTCCGAGACCCTGGGCAGGTACCACGACCAAACACGCCCCTGCTTGAACGCGCTGGACTCACGCACGTGTGTGTCGTTGGTCGTGTCGTGTCGTGTGCCCAGTTATTCGCTCACGCTGGTCGACTCCCTGGACGCGCTGTTGGTTCGTTCGGCTCCTTGCCTTCTTCTCCACACCTTTGCATTCAAGGTCTCACGTACGCACGCACGCGCGCCACCGCACGCGCACGCGCACACGCCAGATATTGGGCAATCACAGCGAGTTTGAGAAGGCCATCACGTGGGTGGGCGACAACCTCGATTTCGACCTGGACGCCAACGTGTCCGTGTTCGAAACCAACATCCGCGTTCTTGGTGGCTTGCTTTCCGGTGCGTTCCCCTCCCCTCACATTACCGTCCCATTTGGCAATCGGCACTGACCTGCACGAACCACCGCACGCACCGCACGCACCGCACGCACCACATGCAGCTCATCTTCTTGCCGCCGATGCGCCGGAACTGTTCCCCGACTACGACGGCCGCTTGTTGGAGTTGGCCGTGGACCTGGCCTCGCGGCTGCTGCCCGCATTCCAAACCAACACGCGAATTCCCTACGGCACCGTGCGGCCCTCCTTCACCCATCGTGGCACCCTTTGGCGCACGAGCTCACGCCGTGCGTGCCATGTGTCGTGCGTGCCGTGTTGTGTGCCGTGTGTCGCGTGTTGCGTGTCGCATAGGTGAACTTGCGACACGGCGTCCCCGAGGGAGAAACAACGGTGGCCTCTCTGGCCGGTGCGGGCACGCTCATTTTGGAGTTCGGCCTCCTCTCGCGAATCACCGGCAATCCCGCGTTTGAGGTACCCACCCTCGCCACCAATCTCGCTCGTGCGTGTGCTACGGTGCGTGTGCGGTCATGCGTGCGGTGATGTGTGCGCTGACGAATGGTGGCCATGTAGGATGCGGCGCACGCTGCCCTGGTGGGCCTCTGGGAGCGGCGGTCGCCGATCGGCCTCTACGGCGGCCACATCGATACACGAGATGGCACATGGACCGACGCATCGTCCGGCATCGGTGCGTCTTTCTCACCCGCCCGCCAGTCCACCTGCGCAACCAATCTTTTTAGTTATTATTATTATTTCTTTATTGCTGTTGTTTTCTTATTATTATTATTATATTATTATTGAACCGTGCGGTGGTCCAGGCGCGGGAGCCGATTCATTCTTTGAATACCTGCTCAAGGGAGCCATCCTCTTCGACGAGGCCGACTACTATGCCATGTTCGAAGAGGTGCGACACACGCACCACACGACACACACACACACACACCGCACACACTCATCATTCCATGGTGGGTGCCCAACGCAGGCGTACGAGGCGATCCTGGCGTACGTGCTGCACGACGGGTGGTACTTCGTCGTGGAGATGAACTCGGGCAAGATGGTCCTCCCCTACTTCGACGCCCTGTCCGCCTTCTGGCCCGGCCTCCAGGTACCCCTCGTCGTCTGTCGCTGGTGTGGTCAAGTTAAGGTGGCGGTCTGTTGCTGACGTCAGGCGGTCGTCACGGCCCAGGTGCTGCTCGGGGACGTGAGCGGGGCCATCGAGAGCGTCACGGGCTTCGCCAAGGTGTGGGCCTTCTTCGGGTTCACGCCCGAGAAGGCCAACCTCATCAACGGCGCCCTGCTGCAGGGACAGAAGAGGTACCCACCGCACACGCACACGCACACGACACGCACCACCGCACATGACACGTCATGACACGTCACGTCCGTGACTCAAATTTTTCTCTCCGCCCGCCGGGCCGTAGTTATCCCCTGCGCCCGGAGCTGGTCGAGAGCCTGTACTACCTGCACCAGGCCACCGGGGACCCCATCTGGCTCCACTTTGGCAAGGGCATCCTCTCTGCCCTCCAAAACCGCACCCGCGTGGTACCCCTCGTGCCGTGTGTGTCGTGTCGTGTCGTGTCGTGTCGTGTCGTGTGGCTGAGTCGCGCGTGGGTGCGGTGGTCAGGCTTGCGGGTATGCGGGCGTGGTGGACGTGGAGACGGGCGAGCTGGAGGACCACATGAATTCGTTCTTTCTGGCCGAGACCCTCAAGTACCTCTACCTCCTGTTCGACGACGGCTCCAACTTTGTGCATAGTGGCGCCCGCGGCCGGCGCTACGTGTTCAACACCGAGGGCCACGTACTGCCGGTCCGGGGCCAGTTCTTCGCGCCGGCCAACCGCTCCCTCGGTACACCACCTTGCCTCTTTCGCTCTTTTTCTCTCTCCCCCCCCCCTCTCGGCTCGCTTTCGCTCTTTTTTTCGCTTACGTGTGCTGTGTGTGTCGTATGTCGCGTGCGTGCGGTGGTCCGCACAGGCGTTATCAATGGCCACCGACACTGCCAACGCCCGCACTTCATGCAATCCGTGGCGGTGCCGTGGCTCAACCTCGCCAGCAGCTCGGGCCTGCCGGCCGCCAGGCCGCCGGCGCCCGAGGCCGCGGCTGCGACCGAGACCGACACCGAGACCGCAGAGTTGTCGACAGCTGCAAATCAGACGCAGGCCGAGGCGGTGGTCGAGGCGAGCGGCGGACAGTCTGCGGCACCGGAGCCGGCGGCGGGGGCGACGACGACACCGGTGCTGACGGGCGCGCAGATGCTGGGGCAGCTCATGGAGCAGTCCAAGCAGCAGCGACTGCGGGTCGAGCAGCAGATGGCCGAAATGCGCGGGCTGATCGACCAGCTCGAGGCCAAGCTCAAGCTCGAAGCGGACCTCGACGCTGCTGCCGCGGCCACCACCACCGCCGGCGAGGCCACCCCTTCAGCGCCCGCCCCCGACACAGCACCCGCATCTCCACGTGTACGTGCGTGTCGTGTCGTCGTGTGTGTCGTGTGTGCCGTGCCGTGCCGTGCCGTGTGTGTCGTGTCGTGTGCGTGCCGTGCGTGTCGTGTCGTGTTCGTGTTCGTGTGTGCGCTCATGTTCGGTGCGCCACGGTTAGGCCGAGGACTTCAAGCGCAGTCAAGAGTTTCAGCGGATGAAGGACATCGCGCGCATGATCGAGCAACGCCGGGAAAAGCAACAGCAACAGAAGCTGCTGCAAGAGCAGCCGAAGCGGGACGAACCGTTGGACACTCTCACCGCCGCCACCGCCACCGCCACCGCCGCGACGTCGGCGGTGCCGCACAGCCGAGTGCAGGTGGTCGAGGTGCGGCTGCCGACGACGCAGCACCACCACCAGCAGCCATCGGGCGGGCAGCCCTGGGTGGCCGAGGACGGGTCGCCACTTATCAACCGCGTCAAGTCGTGCGACCCGTCGCCTGCGCCGGAGACTGCGACCATCGCCACGAAGCCAACGACCGCCGACCAGACGACCGACGACGACGGCGCCGATGTCAACACGGATGACGTCACCGGTGCCATAAAGGCGGACGAGGCCCCGCGCGAGGTGGTCTTTCAGCTGATGAGCGACGGACGGCTGGTGGCGGTGGGCCAGCACGCGGCCGCGCTCGACCCCGAGACCATGGCACACCTCCTCCACTACGCCCAGGCCCAGCTCCAGGGGGGACTCAATCAAGGTCCCGGCCCAGGCCGCCTGGGCCGATGGCTCGCCAAGGAGCAGCAGCCACCAGAACACAAACACGACCAAACGACCAACAAGTACGACGAAGCTGTAGCGCGGGAGGCGGTGGTGTCGCCAGTCCGATGACACATACGTGGGTTCAAAAAAAAGTCGATTGTTTTTGTTACGAACACACAGCGCCGCCCAAGCAAGAAGAGCCTTGCGTGTTGCGTCGTGATGCGTTCAGGCGTCGATCTTGGCCCAGGCGACCCTGGAGCCGCCGGTGGCGGTGGTGTTGTCGGTGAAGGGCACCTGCCAGAAGGTGGTGAGGCCGTCGCCGGTCGTGACGGCCAGGGTGGGCCGCTTGCCGGTGGCGCCCTCGTGCGACCAGCTCACGTCCCAGACCTCCTCCGCAAAGGCCGGCAGGACGGAGGGCTGGAACGGTTTGCCGATGTCGGAGCCTCGCCATACGCACACGGTGCTGTCGGCCGAGCCGCTGGCCAGCGCGCCCACGTTGAAGCCCGGGAAGGCGGTCCAGGCCAGAGTGCGAACCCAGCCGGTCTGCTTCTTCAGCACCTCCTCGCACACCGCGTCGCCGGTGATGACCTCATACCTGAGGTGGGCCGACGAATTGGCTGTGAGCTGGTTCCGTCATTGGTTGAAAGACGTGGGTGGCATTGCTGCTTACCGCCAGATTTTGATGAGGTTGTCGCAGCCGCCGGTGGCAAAGCGCATGGCGGCGCCCACGGCGGGCAGGGACTCCTCGCCGGCCGAGGGGGCGAACACGAGGGCGTTCACGCCCATGTGGTGGGCCATGAAACGTTGCGCGTTCCACTGTCCCTCGTTGGCTGCCGGATTGGTGGTTGTGTGGGTCTTGAGCTCTGGTGAAGTTCCAGAAAGGCGGTTGCTGCAACTGATGAAATTGATGTACCCTGGTAGCGGAGTAGCGAGACCGAGCCGTCCGAAGAAGCGCAGCCCACGAGCAGGCCGTGTTCGTGCGGCCCAAAGCACACCGAGTTGACTGGAACAGGGTGTAAAAAAATACCTCATAAGGCGGACTGGCGCAGGCATGTGCGTACCGGAGAGCTCGTGAGCTTCATAGACAAAGGTCTTCTCCCACGAGTTGGGGCTGTTCTCTCGCCACACGATCACCCTTCGGTCGTAGCTGCAGCTCACCAGCAGCCCTAGTGGCCCAGCCAGTGTTGGAAGAAAATGATGATGTTAACATAGGTTGCGAAGTGAGGGTGAGTTGGGAGGTGACGGCCATACCGCCATTGAACGAGGGGAACGACCATCGCACCTGCCACACGGCTCCCGCATGTCTGCACTCAGGTGTGTTTTCATGCACTGTGAGCACAGTGCCTTGCGTGTGTGTGGCGTGCGTGTGCGGACAAAGAGAAGCTGGGCTGCACGCACCCCGAGAGTTCACAAAGGGGCGCAGAGGTGGTGGAGGCAGCGTCGAAGATGCGGATGACACCGTCGGACGACCCAACGGCCACCCGCTTCCCGAAGAAGTCAAACTGGGCATCGTGCTGTTTTGTTTTGATTTAACACCACAAGCCAAGACCTTTGTGAGTTCAAATCTTGAAGCCTTGGTACTTCACCTCATTAGCCATCTCTACCTCTGCCTCTTGTGACTCAGGCAATTCCATTACATTTTACAGATTTGGCCAATTTGTAGATTAGTCCAAGTGGAGGTGTGCGTACCGCCTCTACTCCAGATGGGAGGGTGAAACAGGAGACAGAAGACATGCTTCGAGTAGGAAGTAGAACCACAAAGATGGCGTTGACGTGGAGGCCCCCTTGTCGAAGAGTAATTTCCTTTCTTTCCTTTGCTTCCTCTACTTTTATAAAGCGGCACTTACCTTTTCCGAATTTTTATTTATTTCCGAAAGTTTCAACTGGTTCGTTTGCATTTCGAAAAGCAATTGGCAAATAAATAAAAAGGCCTTCAGCGCTGCCAACTCAAGAAGAGGAGGTCGCGGCCGCGGGAGCGGGCTTGGCGTTGAGGAAGGTCTTGATCATGTTCTGGCCGATCGGGGTCTTGATCATGGGGGTCAGCTTGGGCGTGGTGAAGGAGAAGATTTTGTTCGACGGCGTCGCCACCAGCAGGAACACGTCCGCGCCCTCCGCCGGATGGGCCACCACCGACACTCGCACGCACTGAACACACTTTGTAAGTCACGATGACACGCACACAACACGACACACATGGCACGCACGACACTCGGTCGTACGTCGTTGTGCAGTTGGACGTAGCGGGACTTGAAGGCCTTCTCGCGTTCGGAGTCGTCTTCGAGGTACTCGGCGGCGTCGAGCTCCTCCTCGGTCACGTCGTCGACGACGAGCGGGGCGCCGACGGTCGGGGCGGGGCCGTTGGGGCTCTCCTTGAGCAGCTGCGAGTCTGCCGAGGGCGCCGCCGCCTGGTCACCGGTGGCGGCAGCAGCAGGCTGCTTCTGGCCATAGAGCAGGTTCGTGAACAGGTCCTTCGCCTGCTTCTCCGTGATCAACGGCTCTACCGTGTGTCGTGCGTCGTGAGTTGCGTGTCGTGCCGTGGTGCATTGTTTGTGAGCATTGTGCGTGTAGTAGATTGATGTGAGTAGCGGTACCGAGCTGGGGCGAGGCGTAGCTCTTGACCTGGCCCTTGAATGAGAACAGCAGAGCCACCTCGCACCCCGTGAGGGCGCCCAACAGGTACGACTGCAACCAAGCACGCAGATAATTGAGATCTTGAATTAAAGAGGATTAGATTTGTGTAGAATTTAAAGATTCACACCTTCTTTAGGAGGCGATCAGCCTGGTCCTGCAGATGGATTTCGAGCTCCGAGAGCACCGAATTGGCCTCCTCCACGCTCTTGATCGACTGTGCGATGGGTGGCGGCAGCTCGTCCATTAAGATATCTTGTGCAGTAGCCGATTTATGTTTCTCTCGCCAAAAACAAAAATCATTTCCTCTTTATGCTGACGTCAGCTCGAACGGTCACTTGCCCATGAGGGAACTGGTCCAGGTCGTGCGGTAGTGGATCTGCAACAGCAGCGTGGGCAGCTCCTGCCTCAGTCTCCGTCGCACCTCTTCCGTCATACCTGTGTGTGTGTGTTGTGTGTGTTGTTGTTGTTGTTGTAGCGACGACCCCGGGGTGAGCCTCCATGTAGGTGGTGTGTGCCCTGTGTACAACAATACCCTTGTTCCAGACGACGGTCATGCGCTGGAGGGTGACGTCGGCGCCCTGCTCCTTGGCGTCTATCAGCCACAGGAACACTTCGTTATTCACCTTCGAGCACTCGTTCAGATCTAACACCTGCCACACGCAACCAGTCCCACAACGTTGAGTGTGTGCGGTGCGTGTGCGGTAACACGAGTGCGATGCATGTGTGCGGTGGTGCGTGCGGACAGCGCTCAAACCAGAAGGCGGCGGCCGTACCTGGAGGCAGTGGGCCTTCCGCAGGATGCGGATGACGTGGATGTTGTCGAGGAAGTCGCAGCCGGTCAGGTACAGCTCCTGGATGGTCTCCCTGGAATGCCGCACGATGTCGTATATGTTGTCGAAGCTCATCTTGGCGCAGCGCGAGAGATCCACCACCCGCAACTGACCCAGCTCAAGAGACTCCTCCTTGCCGTCGTTGCCGGTTCCATGTTCCTCATCCACCTCCTCGTCTTCATCGTCATCGCCATCCTCGTCGACGTCATCACCACACGAGCCGAGATCGCGCTGCCGGCGGCTGTGCTCGTCATCGTCACTGGCAGTGTTGACGGCACGACTCTCCTTGTCCTTGCCCTTGTTGTCCCCGCCGACGCTGTTGCCGTCGTCCACCGTGAGCGTGACATTGGTGAGCTCGCGCCTCCGCTCGCGCTTCCAGCCCTCAGCGCGCTCGGCCTCGCCGCCGCCAGTGCCATGCGCGCCTCCACCCGAGGAATCCGAGGAATCCACGCCGTTGCGGGCGCCCTTCGAGCTGTCGCCATTGTCGACACGGTGCAGGCGCAGGGCCTCGAGTCGCCCGGCGACGTCGTCCACGCCGTTGGCGCCGTCTTCGGCCTGCAGGCGGAGGCGGTTGAGGCGGTTGAGCTGGAGGCGGCGACGGCGACGGCGGCGTCGGAAGACGACTTCGGTGAGGTCGATGCAGAAGCCGAGGTTGAGGGTGCGCAGGTTGATCGAGGCCGCGCGCGACGAGATGACGACGCTCTTGACGCCCGGGCAGGACTTGAGGTTGAGCGTGAACAGGTGGTGCGCGCTGCGCATCTCGACGCGTTCCAGCCGCTTGGACGACGACAGGTTCATGTTCTGCAGCCGTGAGCAGTTGACCACCACCTCGGTCACGCTCTGGGCGAACGATAGGTCGAGCGTCTTGAGCGACGGCGACGCGATCTCGACCACGCCGCCACGCTGCTCTCGACCGCTGCTGCCGTTGTTGCTCTGCCGCTGTTGGTGCTTCGCCCCCGAACTACCAAGGCTGTTTTTCTTGCCGACACCACCGGCTGACGTGGCACTGCCGCTGCTGGCCGGGAGGAACGAGGCCGCGTCGTCCAGGGTGAGGTTGCGCAGGATGAGGTTCTCCAGGGCGATCTTGTTCTTGTTGGTGTTGATGGTGGCGGCGGTGGAGGTGGAGTCGCCCGGCGGCGCGAGAAAGTTGGTCTTGACGATCTCGATCAGCGAGTGCGACGCGATGAAGTCCTCGAGCGAGCTGATCGAGAGCGACATGGGCGACACGAATGAGTTGGACTTGGTCCGCCTGTCGCCGGTGCCGTCGACAGTTGTTGTTGTTGTCGACAACGATGATGGTGCTGACGTCAGCGACGGCGAGGTCGCGGCCGACGCCGAGGGCGAGGGCGTGAGCACGGGCGTCTGGAAGGGGAAGAGCGAGGGGAAGGTCGTCGAGGCCGATGTCGACAAGACCTGTCCGGGCGTGGCGGGCGTGAACGAGGACAGGTTGAGCGAGAGCAGGCCCGGGCAGTGCTCGGCGATGATCTCGAGCGGGATGCCCTTCGTGCCCTTGAGGTTGATGCTCTTCAGGTTGGCGCTGATGCCGCCGAAGAGTCGGCGCAGGTCGCCCACGAACGACTGCGACGGCGACAGCAGGAGGGCGGGGGAGAGCAGAAGCGGCGGCGACGATGACGATGACGAAGATGAAGACGACGAGAACGAAGATAGGGAGGAGGAGCTGAACGAAGACGACGGCGACGAGGTGCCCAAGGCCGCCTCGAAGTTGTAGTTGGACAGGATGAGGGTCGACAGCGACGGGCACTCGATCGAGCTCTCCTTGAGCGACAGCAGATTGCCGCCGGCCGACCCCGACGACGACGAGACGCCGAGCGACGCCAGCGACGCCGCCGCGCCCGTCGGAATGCCGACCGTCGGGCCTCCCGCGGCCGGGTTCCAACTGTCAAAGTTGAACACCTCCTCGAGGAAGTTGTAGTCGAAGTAGAACACGTTCTCCTCGCTCTCGCTCCGCTCGCGGCCCAGCTCGCGCCGCCGCCGGGCCGTCTCGCCGAGAATGCCCAGCAGCCCGGTGGCGGAGGCGTGGGTGGCGTCGAGCGCGGCGCTGCCGCCGGAGCCGCCGCCAAAACTGCCGACGACCGAGCCGAGGGTCATCTCGCCGCCGGTGCCGCCCGAGCCGCTGCGGCCCTTGGTGATGCCCTTGATCTTGGCGATGTTGAGCAGGTTGAGCGCCGGGCAGTTGATGTGCGGGTCGATGAGGCGCTCGCAGTTGATGAGGTGGAGCGACGCCAGCAGCGGGCAGGCGATGTGCGGCCCGTGGAGGATGTAGACGTTGGACATGTTGAGCTGCTGCAGGGCCGGCAGCTCAAAGTGCGGGTTGAGGAAACGCGCGTGGCACGACACGTCCAGGTAGGCCAGCGACGGGTGACCCTCGAACATCGGCGACGACAGCGAACACCCTGCCGCCCAGCACCATCGATCAGCTCACACGGCCACACGGCACACACGGCACACGCACGTGGCACGACACGACACGACATGATACCAGAGATTATGAGCTTCTGGAGGTTGGCCAGGGACTTGGCCTGCATCAGGTACTCGACCGATTTATCTGGTTCACGTGGCGCGCGAGGCAAAAAAGTTGAGAATTTCAGAATGCGTCGGGCTGGAGGAGAGAGAGTCTGAATTGCGGTTGTCGCGTACCAGTGAGGCCCTTGCAGCGCGAGAGGTTGAGGAGCGAGAGGGAGGTGCTCGCCATGTTGGCGCACAGCTGCTCCACGCACTTGTCCTGAATGCTCCCGCAGTTGGCCAGGGACAGCATCTCCAGGTGCGGCAGACCTGTGTCGTGTGATCAGAGTGAATTTGTATTAACAACTGGTCAGGCGGCTCCTGACGTGGCCTGTACTCAAGGGACCCAGCAGAGACGAGAGGCGTGGGGGTTGTACCTTTGGCGATTTGAATGAACCGGTCCTCGCTCATGGACGCGCAGTGGCTCAAAATGAGACGCGAAATGTTCTTAAAAAGAACGAAAGAATGAAAGAAAGCGACAGACAACGCGAAAGCGAAAGAGACAAGGTCAGAGAACGAGAAATGAGAGACAACCAGGAAAAAGAGGGCATCGCGTACAGGACACGCGACGATGAAGCTCTTGAACTGCCGGTCGTCGGCGAACATGCACCCGGCCAGGTCGATGCACTTGAGGTTGGCCGCCGTCTGTTGACCACCGTGTCACGGACAGGTAAAGGGTGAGCGTGCGGCGGCACGTGACCACAAACCGACACATGTGCGGGTGAGGCCGCATACCGGTGATCGCACAAAGTTGTCCAGCGAACCATCGAATCGTGGAACGATGTGCGTCTGCTGGTCCATCCGAAGCGACAATCTACAAACGCATAGACCTGATGAGTGCGCACGCGTCGTGTCGTGTCGTTGGTCGTGTCGTTGGTCGCGCGCAAGCGTACACTTTGAGGTTCTGGTGGTGTGGCTTGGCGAGCTTCCGGAGGGCGTCATTCAGCTGGAGCGGAAAATCGTTGTTGATGAAGAGGGCTTCGAGCCGCGGGGCCATCTTCATCAGCGCAAACAGCGCCCGCTGGTTGAGCTTGCTGCAGCCGGACAGGTTGAGGAAGTGGAGGTGGGGCAGGCCCGCACTGGCGAGCGTCGCGTCGGCGCCCGCGTCGGCTGCGGGCTTCTGGCGCAACTGCTGCTTCTGCTCGGTCTTGAGGGCCACGAACGAGTAGCCGGTGATGGCGCAGTGGGACAGGTCCAGCTTACGCAGCAAGCGGCAGTTCCTCATAATCTGCAATACAGACGCTATAGACGACACGACACGACACGACACGACCAACGACACGGACGGCACACACGAGAAAAGGCGTGTGCGGGGGGAGAGACAATGAGAGGTCTCTTCGTAGTGCGCGCATGCCACCATAGACCATAGGGCGGGCCACGTACTGTCGCTCACGACCGTGCAATGGCACAGGTTGACCGATGTCAGGTATTTGCAGCTTTTGGCGACCTGCAGCGTGCAATAAATGAATAAATAAAAAGATAAATAAGCTCCAGTCTGTTCGGTACGACAATCAATCGATTGAATTGATTGGTGTGAAGAGCTGCGAGAGTGGCGACCAAGGTGGTACCTCGAGGATGGTGAAATCAGTGATCGCCGGGCAGTGGGCCAAGTTGATGGAGGTGATGTTGGGGCAGCACTTCACCACCCTATGCGTACCGTCCACCCCAAGTCCGCGTCAGTACTGACAGGCACGTCAGGCGTCCCGGGGCACGTACCGGACGATGGTGGTGTTGTTGGTCTCTCGACAGCCGCTCATGTCCAGCGTGCGCAGGTCCGGATCCAGCAACAGCCGCAGCCTAGCCACAGCACACACGCCACACACGTACACACGCCACACACACGCCACACACACACACACACACACGCCACACACGACTAAGCCCCACGTGGCACAGATTGGTTGCGGCTGTGGGGCAAGGCGGTGCGCACCTGGCCTCGGTGAGCATGCTGCGGCGGTTGAGAAAGCTCAGCATGCGCTCCTTGAGTTCGACGGGCACGTGTGCCGACGGCAGCGTAGTGATGTTGAGCCCTACGAACTCGATGCATAGGTCCAACAGAGCCGGGGGTTGATTCATGATCACCGCGTCTTGTCTATTATGCCACCGGCAACGATTACTGGCCTTCGAGGTAGAGTCGATTATTAGGTGAGATGGTTTGCCACACGCTTGGAACGACGGCTGGATTGCAATTCAGTAGAAATCGATGTAGAATTAACTGCCTCGATTTTCTAAATCTGTTCTCTCTTGGACTTGGAGCCGAACTCGCTGTAGCTTGCAAGGTCGTTGGTAGGTCTAGACCTCCAAGAAAGAATTCAAAATCAATGAAACCAATGAACGTCGCCTCGCTCCCCTCTCGATCCTTTGTTCGTGTTCTGCTTTTTGGCCATTTATCATTTCTTTTTTGATCCTGGTGCTTATTTGTCGACCACGCCATCTTTGTTTTCAAGGTGGAGCCACACACAGACAACAAACAAACAACGAACGAACGTGGAAGTCTTTCTTCATTCTTCTTGTTACGATTTGGTTGATGTCGAACGTATAAGAAAGCTTCTACTTTTCGCTGTCGAATCGGCCGCGCCCACCGAGTTGGAGCGCGAGGCCGACGACGACGTCGGGCTGGAGCTGCCGCTGTTCGATGATCGCGCCGGTGGTGGGAAGGTCACCAGGAACTCGGCCAGGGCCTTCATCGACGCACCGGACGGATCCTGGGCGTGCAGGGACGAAGCCAGGTCGGCCGCGTACTTGTGGAGCGCGCCCAGCAGGACCTCGGCGCCGGGCAGGGGCGAAGCCGAGTGCTTCATGCTGGCACGTTCGTCGTCCTCCGACGATGAGCCGTCATCTTGCTCCGCGTCCTGGTGGTCAGGCGCCGTCTATCGCGGGTTACGTAGGTGGTGAGGTTAGTTTGCGTTCAACTCGTGGTGGTGAAGTGGGGAGAGATGTACGGCGAGGTCGCGGAGGAAGTTGACGAGGGCTTCTCGGTACTTGTCGAGGAACGGGTTCATGCTTTGCATGTAACTGTTGGCGATGATGTTTCCATTGTACGTGGACGTACGATTTCAGTCATTGGGGTTGGTGGTGATTGCTGGGCACGCTTGGTACCTTTCTTTGTGGGTGAAGGAGAGGCCGTTGGCGAGCATCTGCAGCACTTTGGAGACCAGCGCCAGTGCCCGCGTCGCCTCGGGCTTCGGCGGCGTATCTGTGGTGTGTTGCGAACCCAAGGCCCCGAGGCGTGAGAAAGCTCCGATCTTCTTCTGCCATACTGGGGGGGGGGGCAACGTACCGACTGCGCCGTAGGCGACAGGAGTGAATATGGCGGAGCAGATGAAGCGAAGGAAGATGAAGCCGCCGATGACGGAGTAGTGTACAGTGATCTGCTTGTTTTCGGGGTATCGCGCCGACGCGGCCCGCTGCACGTGGGCGAATATACGCCGTATGAATCTGGGACCCAGAGAGTGTGAGATGGCCGTGAGCACCGGTGCGTGGGGGTGATAACGTACATTGGGCACGACTCAACTGTCGACAGGATTGAAAGGAGGAAGCGCTCGCATAACGAATACAGGTTGGTGGCGTTGGTCTCGGCCACTTCTGGTGCAACACTGCAACAACATCATTAACCTCGGTGGAATGCGAGGCATGCAATCTGAACCTGATGAAGGTTCGTTGGCCGTACCGAGTGGGGTCGATCTCGACGCTGGGGATGCTGGTGCAGATTTCGGTGATGGTAGGGCCGATGGCTAGCTTGAGGTACGTGTTACAGCTCTTGCGGAGACACAGCGACAGCATCTTGCTGGCGTTGGTCTTGCCCCGGAACAGGGTCGCCGGGTCCTCTTCACGTTCGAAACCATTCGCTTGATGTCAGCTTCACCCGCGCAGTCTCACAAACCGTGTGGTGGCGGTGATGCGTGTACCTTCGTGGGCGTTTACCTCGTCGGTGAGGATGGTGTTGAGTATGTTCACGAGCTGAGGGTGAGCCGGGTCCCGCTCGGCCTCCAGGTAAAACTCCACCGCCGCCTGCGTGACGCTGCGCAAACAAAATGTTGGAAATTGCGGCCACACACAGCACACACACAGCACACACAGCACACAGCCGGGTCGTACTTGTCCAAGTCTTCGAACTTGAGCGCGCGGAGGAGGGCCAGCGTGAGCCGGCCGTCGCTTTCGGACAGCGACCGCAGCAGCTGGGCGTTGAGCGACGGCTTGCCCCGCGAATTATCGTCGACCAGTGACCCAGTGGCGGAGAACGAGCCCGACCGCGCCGTACGCGGGAGCTCGTCCGAGCGCGGGCTGCCGCCGCTGTTCGAGAGCGTCGGCGACGATATCGGCGACGGGACCATCCGCACCAGGGGCTCGGCCGACGGCGCGCGCATGAGCGGGTGCACGGTGGACCGGCGCTGCGGGGCCACCAGCAGATGCTCGACCGTGGGCACGACAAAGGGAGGCGCGCTGATGCCGCTGCCCGACCCGGGCAGCACGTGACGGTGGCTGCCGAAGCCGCCGCTGCTGCCTCCGCCGTCGCTCGACGCCGACGTGGTGCGGGTGAGGACCGGGCTGACCGGTGCGAAGGACCCGCTCATGGATGAGCGGAGCGGCACGGCCGAGGCCGAAGAGACGAGCGGCCGCATGGTGGTGGAAGTAGCCGATGATGAAGAAGACGATGAAGAAGAGGAGGAAGAAGGAGTGACAGGGGAGGAAGGAGCTGACGCGGAGGAGGATGAAGAGGTGGGTGGAGATGACGTGGAGCCAGCTGGCTGGTCGGTGTTGCGTCTTCGCTGTTGCTGCTGTTGCTTCAGCTTCTGTTGGCGAAGCCGTTGACTGTGCATGGCGCCGGCGGTCTGGTGGGGCGATGGTGGTGCAACCGTGTGAGTGGCCGGGTGACGCTCCATAGGTCAAAATAAAGGCCATTTTCCATAATGCCCGACAGGTGCCCACCAGACTGGTGAGGGGGTTTAAAGGGGGGGGGGGACACAAACTCTTCCTTCATCATCTCATCTTTTTCCTCTATAACCTTTGGGGGCAGCCGATAAGATAAAAGATAAAGAATCGGGTGCAGTACCTTTGGGAGTCAAAAGGGGGTTCTGTTACTGCCGGAGTGTGGCCAGAGATGTGAGTTACTTTGTGTTGGGTTCGTTAGTAGTTGACCACGAGAGGCGGCTCCGCGGCTTGGCGGCCGCGATCTGCGGAGGAAGATGTGCGCCCCGACGGAAGTTGTTCGAAGAGACCTCCTCGCGTCGGGTCCTAAAAAGCACTCCTCCCCTAAAAAGAAAAGGTGAGAAATGAAAAATAAATATACAGATTTGAACCGAGCCCAACATCCTAAAACATAAATGCAATGTATTTCTCTATTTGTGTTATTAAAAAAGTCGAATAAACAGTCAAAGATACGTATATAAATGTGCGTGTGTTGTTGGGTGTGTTCAAAATTGTCGATGGCGTGCCCTCTGGCTTGTACGGCATCTCTTCTTGGGCCTGGGGCCTACTGGGCTGTTGGCGTGGCGACGTGGCCGGTCCAGTCCCACACGCAGATGGAGCCATCGCGGGTGGCGCTCCACAGTGTCTCGCCCAGCTTGCGCGATGAGGCCTTGCCGCCGTCCTCCGGTCGGATGCTGAGCAGGTAGCGAATGCCCGCGAATGCGCTCGCGTCGCAGTTGACCCGACTCACCTCCTTGAACTGTTGCGACGATGTGGTCAGTACGGGCCGGGCCATGATGATGATAAAGAACGAAAGCGACGCTCGCCCATGGGCGAAAGAACGAAAAAAGCGGCGACGTACGTCAGAGTCCCAGAGGGAGATGGCGCCGTCGATGTGGCCCGCGCAGATGCGGAGGCCGGAGCGCGGCGAGGCCGGGCAGAGGGCGCTGACGTTGATCGAGCTGGTGAGCTCGCGCAGCAGGCTGGCCGGTCGGAGCGAGGCCTCGGACTGGAGCGACGAGTGGTTCTCCAGGCCCGTGTAGTGGTCCTTCCACACGCGGATGATCCCATCGCCGGCACAGCTGAACACCACGTTCTCCTCGGGCAGGTAGAGCAGGTCCGTGATCGGTCGCTCGTGCGCGGTCCAGCCCGTCTCGACCTCCAATTTCTGTTGTATTTGAGTAAAGAAAGACGCTTACGTCAGCATTCCAACATTCCAAAAGGGCTGGGCGGGAGTGGTTACCCGTAAGTTGACGCGGTAGAGTTCACCGCCGGCCGAGACCCACACGCAGTGCGGAAGCGCGACGATGCAGAAGATGGCCTCGCCGAACTGCACGCAGAACTCGGCTTCCTTCTTCAGCTTCTGTTCACATCAAATGTGATCCTATCGTCAGTTTGTCGTGCGTGCGTGCGTGCGTGCGTGCGTGCGTGCGTGCGTGCGTGCGTGCGTGCGTGCGTGCGTGCGTGCGGTAGTGGTTGTGCGAAGGCGCACCTGCGGGTCCCACACGATGATGTTGCCTTCGACGTCGCCGCTCCACACCTGCACCTTATCGTCGGGCTGCCGGATGACCTCCATGCACCGCACCATGCTCCGGTGCGACTGGAGGTCCTTCTCCTTCTTGTACTTGGCGGCGTGGTACACGCGGATGATCGAGTCCTCTGCCGACACCCACACGTGCTTCTTGTCGACCAGCAGCATCGAGTACAGTCGGCCCGTGCACACGACGATCACCTTCTCCACCTCGCCCTGATGCGCCGACCACAAACATGTGTGTGTAAGACGAGTGATGTGCGTGTGTGCGGTGTGTGTGTCGTGTCGTGCGGTGTGTGCGTGTGTCGTGCGGCTACCTTGGGGTTGAAGACAGTGATGCGGCCGGAGGAGTCGGCGGCCCACACATGGTCGCCCACTCGCAGGAGGCTCTGTACGGAGATGCCGCCGCGCGGGCTCTTGGGCAGACCATCGAGGTTGAGCGAAAGCTTGCGCCGCACCACGATCGGCTGCTGGCTCGCCGCCGCCGCCGCCACGGACTCAGCCTCGCTGCTCTCCTTGTCGCCCTTCTTCTTCTCGGCCTTGAGCTGCTTACGCTCGCGCTTCTCGCGCTTGCTGTCCTCGCGCTTGCGCTCCTTCGAACTCTTCTTGTCCAGCTTCTCCCGGGCGCCGCGACTCTCGTCATCGCTGCCGCTCCCCGTGCTGCTGCCGCCGCTTGTGCCCGTCGTGCTCAGGTTGTCGGCGCTGGTCTTGAGCCGCAGCTTGGGCGTCTTGGGCGTCGACGGCCGCTTGGGCTCCTTGGCCTTGCTGGTCTTGCCCTTGTCTTTGCCCTCGCGCGACGGCAGCTGCACGTCTTCGTTTTCTTTGGAGCGGCGCAGGGGGCCGCTCTTCGGGGTGAGCTCGGGGTCGATGACGCCCTGGGCCAGCTGCAGGCTACGGCCCCGCGGTCGGCGCCGCCGGCCGCTGCCGCTGCCTTGGCACGTCGTGGCTGTGTTGGTGTCCCGCTCATCGCGCGCGCTGTCCACGCCGCTCTCCACACCGCTGTCTTCGCTCGTGCTCGCGTCCCTGTCCTGCTCGACGCACGCAACACGCACACCAGGTGGCGATAAGCGCACGTCATCGGTGGCTCTGGAGACGCCGTTGTGCAGCATCAAGAATAACACCAGGATAACCGCTGTCCAATCGCACGCCAAGGGGGAAAATTGACAACTCGCTTTTGGTGTGTAATCGGAACGCAGCAAAGAAAACAGAAAGGAGGGAGCCAAAATGTGGAGAGATAACTAACTCGCGCTGGCTCAGGCCTGGCAGAATTAAAATAAAAAGTGGCAAAAAAATGTGTGACGGAGAAGAAAACGAGAACGTGGGTGGCTCGCTGCGGGGGGGGGGCGGAGCCGTACGGGAAGGGTCAGGGTGAAGGGAGTGCCCTCCTCGGACATGACTGAGCCCCACGTGTAGCGTCTCTGTTGTGTTGGGAGCGGTCGGCGGGTGCTGGCGGTTAGTACGCTGATGTCGGGGTCGCGTCGTGTTTTTGATGTTAAAGCCTCTGGAGTAGCACTCGGTGCGTCTTGCGACATAGTCCGGGGAAGGAGACAGGGAGATTATATGCGCGACCCACCAATGGCAATTCTCGAATATTTGGAATTTCGGCCTTTTTGCGCTGATCGCGGAGGCACACCACGCAGCACACACACGCACGACACACGCAACACACTCACAGGCAGGAGGCCGCAGCCGTACCGACGATCGGGTGCGGATCGGCCCGCTGTGCGAAGACTGTGCGTCGGTGGGGGGCTTGACATCGTCGACGGCCAGCGCCGGGACGAGGACATGGACCAGGTGGTGGTGGGCGATCGTCGTACCCTTGCGCTTGTTCTTGTACTGCTGGTCCTGGAACTTGAGCTTGTGCGCGCCGGGCCGCGTGCGCACGGCGTCGCTGCTCTTGGCGGCCGTCGTCGACGACGAGGACGAAGTCGAAGAGGCCGACTCGTTGCCGCTTTCGTTTTCGCTTTCGTTTTCGTTTTCGTGATCGCGTTCGCTTTCGTTCTCTGACTCGAAGGGTCCGTGCTCGGCGTCGGCCGGGCAGCTGCGGGTGCGCACGATGGGGTAGCCCACGCTGCCGCCGGTCGCCGGGGCGATGGCCGCATGGGCCTGCTGGTCGCGGCTGCGTCGCCGTATGAGGAGGCTGCCGCCCGAGGTGTGCAGGAAGGTGGTTGCGGGCAGCTGCGACATGTGCGAGAGCTTCGCCAACTGCGCTGTCTGTGGCGTTGTGGATTGATGCATTAGATTGACGACGGAGAAGATGCAAAAGAAAAAAAAAAGAGGCTGGTGAGCTGCAGCTCGGTGAACGCGCAATTCATACTCACCCCTTCCACCACTAATATGTAGATAAAAGAATAAACAAAAATCTAACTAACTAGGTTGAGGAACACAGCGATTGATTCCGTTGAGATTCAGAAAGAGGGCAGGGCAAACAGGGGAATAATAAGGTGAAGCAAGATGATGAAACTAAACATGATGACGACGACGGAACGGCGGCAAGATCGGAAGGTAAAGAGGGGCACCTTGTCGGCCATTGTGTCGGTGAAGTGTTGTCGCGTTCTTTCGCGGGTTCTAGCTCAGCAGCTACCGGTAGCTTGCTCCTCTCTTGCGTGGCCTAAACTCCTCGCCGCCCTCCTCGCTTTGTCTTCGTCCTCTTCGCGCGAACGAACCAGGCAGGTGCGTCACTGGGATCCCTCATGTTCAGCATGTGCGACTGCCGCTTTATTAGAATGCTCATCGAATTGAGAGCATTCCACCTGGTGGCACGGTTGTTTCGTGGAAGCGTGGCGAAGATGGTCTGGAAAGTTTCCGTGTTTGCTTGGGAATGTTGGTTTGGCCAATCGCATTTCAGAGAAAATGTAATCCCACCGCTCCCTTTGGTTGCCAACCAAATTGGAAAAAAGGAAATCTGCAACTGTTTTATGAAGTGCAGGCAATATTGTGAAATTACGGTTGTGCAACCAATGAACACACGCAACCCATTGTGGTGGCTCACAAGTGCACACCCACCCCACAACACGACGCCTCTTGCTGGGGCGGCGATCCGAAAGATCTCAGAACTCGTCGACGTCGATGCGAATGCCGCGCTCGACTGCTCGGCGCGTTGTGCCACCTCGGGGCTGGTTCGTCCAATTGCCGTCCTTGCGGCCGCGCTCGCGTCGCTTCTTCTTCTTCTTGCCGCCGCCAAAGTCGCGCTCTGGCATGAGGCACAGCGACTCGTGGAAGTCGTCCGGGTGGCCCTCCGGCTCCTCTCGCCGATCCTTCGCCACCACCACATCTGCAGCCACCGCACACGCACACGCACACGCACACGCACACGCACCACCGCACACGCCAACACAGCACGACACTCGCACACGTTAGGAATGTTGTGTGGTGTGTGGATATGTGTTGTGGAGTGTAGACGTTACCGCCATCCTTAAGGTAGTAGGGCTTGCCCTCGATCTTCCGTCGGCTGACGTTGCCTCGTTGTTGCTGGGGCTCATGGTGGTACGGCGACCGGTGGTCGAGCACCTCGGCCTCGGTGTCGGCCTCGGCTCGCTCCCTGCGCTCCTCCTCCTTGGCCACCACAGCGGCCACCTTAAGCTCCTCAGCCACCTCCTCGGCCGTCATCATCGCACTGTTGGGCTCCGGCTCGCCGTCGACAGTCGCCGCACTGGCCGTCATCTCGACCATCTCCGTGCCCTCGTCCTCTTGCTCCTCTTCATCTTCCTCCTCATCGTCGTCGCTGGCAGTCGCGGTCGCGGGCTGCTTGCTGTTGTCGACTATGTTGTCGCCGGCGCCAGCGACAGAGTCAGCAGTGTCGTCAGCGACTTCGTCGTCGAGCACGCGCCACTTGCCGTTGTACTGGAGGTACTTGACCAGCTGGAGGTGGGCGCGATCGATGCCCGTGGCCTGGGCCACCTCGCTCCGCAGCTGCGCCACCGTCTCGCCGCCGAACCACAGCGTCGACACGAAGCCTATCGTGCGCCGGACCGGGTCGCGCCGGTGCACGTACAGCAGCAGCGCGTTGTTGTTCGCCACGTCATCATCGCCATCGCCGTAGTACTCGTACTCATCGTCCATGAGCTGATCGCCGGCGTTGGCGTTGGCCGTGGGCGCGGCCTCGACGCCGCATTCCTCCCGCCAGTCCGCGCTGGTCTCGGGCGAATCGAGGATCTCGACAGTGATCGTCGAGTAGTTGGCGACATGCTGCACACAACACGCACGCCATACGATCAACGACACGACACACGCGCGCATGGCACACAAAGTGGTGCGTACGTGTTTCTTGAGGGGCCAGCGGTCGTGCTTGAGCAGGCGCTCCTGGTGCCACAGGCGGATGTGGTCAGCCGAGGGGACGTGGTCGAGCGCGGCCGTGGCCTTGAGCTGCTCCTTGAGCGCCCGCACGGTGGTGGCGCGGGAGACGTCGAGTTTGAAGAGCGAAGACACGGCGAACGGCGCGTCGGGCGCCTCGCGCACCGACGGAGGGAACGAGCGCGAAAGGTGCACGGCTGGCGACACCAGCGAGCGCAGCGCCTGCAGCCGCTCCTTCTCCCTATCGTTCTTCGCCTTCGCATCGTCTCCGCTCTTTTCGCTTTCGCTTTCGTTCTTCATCGGCTCGCTGACGGGGCTCTTCTGCGTGTCACCCGGCTGCGGCTGCGGCTGCGGCTGCTCCTGCTTGTTGGGCTCATCACTCCGCTGCGACGCCGACACGTTTGTCGTTCCAGTCGTCGCTCCTCCGGCTTCGCGGCGGAAATAAAGCTGGAAGAACACTTCGATCTGGCCTCTCACAGGCGGCTGCGGCGACACACGCGACACGACACGACACGACACGACGCGGGTCAGGCATCGGTTTGGCTCCTGAGGGAAGCGAGGAGCACGGGGTACCTTGCCGTCTTCGAGCCACAGGAGGTCGCCCGGGAGGACCTTGGCCTCGTCGAGCGTGCGCCGTTCGTCGTCGAACAGCCGGTCGGGTCCGCCCCAGATGTCCGTTCGCCGCAGGCGCGACTTGTCCGCCGGCTTGTCGAACATGGCGCACATCATCTCCTTACTACTCGCCACCACACGCACCACCGCACACGCACACAACACAGCACCGCACACACCGCCGCACACGCACCAGCGGCGTGAGCGACAAGAGAAGAGGGTGTGGTGGGGAAATGGGTGCAGAGCTGGACCATTTGGCGATGGTGGCGTTGCGCGGGACGTCGATGTCGAGCGGCTCGGGCACGGCGCGCTCCTTGGTGCCCGAGAGGGAGACGACGAAGCGCAGGCCGACGATGGGCACGTGCTGCGAGGCGTCGCCGTGCTCGATGATGATGCGGTCGCCGTCCTTGACGCCCGTCTCGTCCAGCGTGCGCGTCTCGTCCGCGTACACCGTGCCCTCGCCTCCGCCCGGCAGCGACCGCCGCAGCTGCGTCTCCAAGTTCAGGTCCATCAACCCTTCACCCCCCAAACGTTAGTGCAAATAATAAGAATAATAAAATAATAATAATATTTGGAAAAGCAATAATAATAGATGAAATAAATACATAAATAAATAATAGATAATAATACCGGAAGGGAACTTGGAGAGGACGGCGGCCTTGAGTTCGGCGAGGGTGGCCTTTTTGTCCATTTCGACGGTGATGGTGGGGAAGGGCTCCTCGCCGCTGCACTTGTCGGTGACGAAGATCTCCATCAGCTTCTGCCGCCGCAGGAACATCTCCCACGCCCACGACTGAATCGATCGCCGCACATTGGGGAATGACACTCTAATAGTGAGCAACAACGATCATGGCTGTGTGTCGTTGTGTGTCGTTGTGTGTCGTTGTGTGTCGTTGTGTGTCGTGCGAAGTTAAGTACCCGTTCACTGCCTACGGGTTGCAGCTCGACGGTGACCTTTGACTCGTTGTAGATGCCCAGCTGGATCAGCGGAATGTTGTTCTCGGCCAAATGGGTGAATTTCCTGCGATCACATCATCATCAGCCGCGTCGCACGCGCGGCATGACGTGACACGACACGCGCAACACGCGCAACACACAACACAACACGACACGTACTGGTATTCGATGCGACACAGATACTGCTTGTCGACAGGAATGCCGGTGAGGGTGGCGATCCGGGTCTTGAGGTCGCTCACGGTCTCCATGTCGCCCAGGCGCACGACCAGCTCGTTGACCACCGGATCCACGTCGGCAGCCGGCAGCTGGCCCTCGACCCGCGACGCGTAGTGGGTCACCCGAATGTTGATCTGGTGCGCCTCCGGGTCGTACCGCTCGCCGTTGATCGTTTCCCCGTCCCACAGAAGGAACGACAAGCTGCTCCCCTCCTTAATCCCTGCACGCGATTCTCTCAGCACGCACGACGCACGACGCACACACACGACACACGACACACGACACACACGACCGCACGCGCACGTACCGACGGATTCCAGGGTGGCGTCGGCGGGGACTTCCGAGAGCAGCAGGCTGAGGCCCGAGAAGGTGAGCTGGGTCCCGCGGAGCTCGACCTGGTCCAGCCGCAGCCTTGCGGCCTCGGCCTCGCCGTCGGTCTCCGCCTCGGTCTCGCCGCCGAGCGCCTCCTTAATGTCCTTCACCAGCTGGGCCACCGTCGTGTCCTTGTGGAGCGTCAGCAGCTTCTTGTCCCGCTCCTCCCCGCTCGCGCCCTCGGTCTTGTCTGCGGCGGCGGCGGCCGCAGCACCGCGGGCCGCACCGGGGGCGACTTGGTGGGTCGTGTTGGCGATGCGCTTGTGGATCTGGCCGCCCAACAGGCGGAAGTGGCGCGGGTGGTAGGTCATGACGTCGATCAGGCCGCGGTCGCGCTCGTACTCCCCGCGCTCCCGCTGCAGGTCGGCGTTGTAGGTCGCCAGCTCGGCGAGCAGGTGCTCGGGCACCGGCGGCGGCGCCGTCACGCGTCGACCCCGACCGCGCGTGGCCTCCCCCTCGCACGTCTCGGCAGCCCCGGAAGCGGGGGGCACGTGGCGGTAAATCAGCATATCTGTAGCACGGAATGTCAGGAATGGCAAACGAAACGCACGCGAGAATGTCGGGAGAGGCGCGAGGTGGTGCGTACAGGCGCATTCGGACCGGCCGGCGTACTGGGTGGCGAGGCGCTGGACGGGGATGGGCTTGACCGTGCTGTCGTTGAAGTCGTACCAACCGCGCCCCGCCTCGGCCGCCATCTCTTCCCACCTGGCGCGGGTCGCGCCTTCGCCGCCGCCGCCGCTCTCGTTCTTCTCAGCCAGCGGGTGGTCGTCGTTCCCCGCCGGCGCCGACGCCGTCTCCTCCACCTTCTCCTCCTCCTTTGCCTTCTCTGCCGTCGTCGAGGTGGTCGTTGACTGGTCCTCGTGGCCCGCGTGAAGAACGTCGCGGATGTAGGCGTGGTAGTGGCCGAACCCTTTCATATAAAGGAATGATAGAAATGCGTCGACACATTTCTACTATGTGAGCAACATTAATGTACATTGCGACATTGGCGGGCGCGCTGTTGGTCGTGGGAAAGTACGTACCGGCGCTGCTGCCGCAGTGGATGATGACCGAGAAGAGCTCGTAGAGGTGGGGCGACGTGACGTCGACCGGTCCCTGCTCCAGCTCGTACGCGACCTCCTTCTCCTCCTCCTTCGCCTTCGCTTCCTCCTCCGCCTTGCTCTTGCCCTTGCCCTTGTTCTTCTTTCCGCGCTTGCCCTTGGTCTTCTTGTTCTCGTCGTCGCCGGCTTCGACGTCCGCCGCCTCCTTAACAGCAGCCTCAGCCTCCTTAACCGCCTCGGCCTCCGCGACCACCGCCGACGCGGGCTCCTGGGTGGTGGCGGCGCCGGGCGCCGGAATGTGGTAGTCGCCCAGCGGCTTCCCCTCTGCCCGCGCCTGCTCGGTGAACGGGTGCAGGTCGAGGAGCAGCGGGAACGCGAACTTGTCGCCCACCTTCACTCGCCCGTCCTGCCAGTGGCGCGCGTGAATAATAAGGAATACTAAAATAATTCTAATAAATATAAATACAGAATAAAGAATAATCTTAATAAATAATAAATAAATAAAAAAAGGGAGAAGCGTACTCGCTCGACGTCGTAGGTGAACCGCGAGAGGGAGAGAATGAGAATGGGCGGCAGGCTGCGGAACACGGCGCCCTTGAGGGCGTCCACCCGCTGCCCGCAGTTCTCACAGTTGTACCTTGTCGTCCGACCCCCCAAGACGCGTCAGCCCAACCGCACACGCACGACCGCACACGCACACGCGCGTACCGATTGTCGCCGGTGAGCATTTCGTATTCGGTGGCGGCGGCGAGGCTGGCGGTGACGGAGCCGAGGCCGGCCACGGTGAGGGTGACGTCCTGGAAGGGCTCCTCGCGCTCCGACACGTTCTTGCAGTTGGTGCACACGATCTGGTTCACCGTCACGCCCTTGTACAGGTCGGAGATGAGGTTGCACGCCGGCGTGTTCTTTAGCGAACGCTCGATCGCATCAAACAGCACTCTGCGCGTGTGTCGTGCGACATATTTGCCAGATGAGTCCGTGTGTCGTGTCGTGTCGTTGGTCGTGTCGTTGGTCGTGTCGTTGGTCGTGTCGTGTCGTGTCGTGTCGTGTCGTGTCGTGTCGTGTCGTGTCGTGTCGTGTCGTGTCGTGTCGTGTCGTGTGCGGTGGTGCGTGTGTCGTTACCTGTTGAGTTCGTGCACGTCCTGCTGCTCGAACATCTCGCGCCCTTGCCAGCCGAAGCTCTCGGTCAGAGACTCGGTCGAGACCGCATCCACATCGGCCGCCTGGTGTGCCCGGGCAACACGCCACATTAACATCCACACAACAGTCTTCAGCCACCGCACCCACGGCCGCCTACCTGCATTCGTGCAAACAAGCGCTGGAGCTCCATCGGAATCTTGCGCTTCTTCACAATCACCTGATGAACGAATCGCGTTAGCCTCTCTCGGCGCGTGTCGTGTCCTGTCGTGTCGCGTGTGCCGCGCGTGTCGTGTCGTGTTGCGCTTGTACCTGTTCTCCTTGCTGATTCTTTACGATCTCCTCGGCAGCGTCGCCGCCAGAGCCATTGGCCGCCGCGGCTGCCTGTTCGGTCTGACCGTCGACAGTGTGACCGCCCGCAGTCGCTTTCGCGGCCGCGGCGGCGTCGGGCTGCTGCCGTCGCGTCTCGCACACGCCGCAGAACATCTTGGCCGGGTGGTTGAGGAACGTGCACAGGTGGCAGCTCCACTCCTGCTGCTGCTTCTCCTTCCGGGCCTGCTCGCGCTCCTTCCACTCCTTCTCCTCGCGCTCGGCCTTGTCGCGCGCCGCCTGCTCCTCGGCCTCGCGCGCCCTGCGCTCCTCGCTGTCCTCCTCCTCCTCCTCTTCGTCATCTTCCGCCGAACCGAACGCATCCGCCGCGCCCTCAAATAGTTCGCCTGCCCGCGGAGAGATGTCAGCCAAGCAACGCACAGCACGACACGACACGACACGCAACATGACACGGCCACGTCAGCATCAACGGCACGCACACACGTCAAGTACAACACACACGGCACGACACGACGCAACACGGCGCACACCTTCGCCGAAGGGGTCCTGTTCACCGAAGCCGCTTATGTCGGTTTCGGCGTCTTCGGTGTCGCGCTCCTGCAGCGTGGAGGCCATGCCCGCCAGCCCGCCGAAGCCGTCGTCGTTGTCGCCTTCGCCATCGTCCTCCGCCGCCGCTGCGCCGCCGCCGCCGGAGAGGAGCCACTCCACCGCGCGCGCCGTGTCATTGGAGAAGCGGGCCAGGGCGCGCCGCACCTGCGCCTCCTCGAAGCCCATCGACGCCAGGAAGGCCCGCGGGTCGTCATCGCCCGCCACCTCCCCAGCAGCGCCGCCAGCTGCAGCGCCCTCCCAGCTCTCCTTCTCTTTCACCACCTCCACCACCTTCTCCTGCCGCCACATTAAGAAAAATAAAAAACAAGTCAAGTCAGTTGGTTGCGTGCGTGCGTGTGCGGTGCTGTGTGTGCGGTGGCATACGGTGGTGAGCTGGGTGGCCGTTGTGGCGGGTTCTACGGCTGGCGCGGTCGCGTGTTCGGTCTTGGCCTGGTGGTCCTCGCCGCTTGGCGCGGGCTCTTCGCGCTTGTCGGGGTCTTGCTCGGTTGTGGCGGCGGCGTCGTCTGACTCGGGCGCTGTGGCGGCCACAGGCGGTGATGGAGCGGTGGTCACCACCTGCAGGTCGTCCAGGGACAGATCGAAGAGCCCAGCGCGAAGCTCAGGCGTCATGTAGAGCGCCTGGATCAAGCTGTTCAAGTAGCACGTTGCTCCCCTGCCACCACAAAGTATTTATATTAAATTCATTAATAAAATGCGGTAAGAGAATATAATTACATTAGAATTGATATTTTAAATCATATTTAAATCTAGTAATACAAATAAAGTAAATAATAAATAAAATAGTGTGTGTACTGATTGAGGAGGCCGACGAAGCCGTCCGAGGGGCGAGGCTCAGCTGGTCTGCTGAGGGTCCTGCGGCCGCCAGCCCCTCGCCCGCCGCTTGTGCTGAAGGCTGACAGGCTGTAGTCCTCCTCATCTTCAAACATATCCCCAAACATTCTCGTAAGGAGCCGATCTCTAGTGGCAGGGCCACTGAATCTCTCACGTGCGAAGATGTCAGGAGATGGATGCGATGTCCTCCTTGGCTTTAGATATGAAAATGATTTTATTCTCACTTTCGTTTCTGCTTCGGTTTATTCAGCGAAAAACTTAAAACCATTTCCTGCGCCCATTGGGCAGGACAGGACCCCTGAGCGTTGAAGGGCCGACGTGGCAAAGCTGCCATACTATGCAAGAAGAATGGTAACCCCCCCCCCCAAACCACCAACCGGTCCAGAAGAAGGCCAAACCTACGCCATTGAAGGCCTTGATGGTGGCAGGTAAGGCGTGTTTTATGGTGGGGTTCAAAATTGGTGGCGACAGCACAACAGAGCGCTGGGGAAAGGAGAGAGGAGTGGTGATGGCGAGTGCTGACCCATACGGAATTGAGGAAGAGAGTGGAGGAGGAGAAGAGACGAGGGAGGATACACGAATCGCTGGTCGTTGGAACACATTCAGGAGAAGTCCCAGACCCGCACCGTAAGGTCCCGCGACCCGCTGCATTGGCCAGACAGAGCAAACGATCAGCACCACACAAGACACACACGCACGGTGCACACAAGCGTGGCCTGCGCATGCATGACAAGTTACCTGATAATCTTGCTTTCGTCGAATTGAATGTGTGCGAGAGGATAGTTGTGACCTGTGCCAGAGACGAGTCAGCCAAGGGAAAGCGAGAGTGAACGAAACGGGCTAGAGTAGTCAAACGCACCGAGTGTGTGCTGGCAAACGCCCGTTTCTATGTTCCAAATTTTGACTGTTTGATCGAACGAACCCGACACTGGAGAGAGGAGCCATGAACGTGAGCAACAGCAGCATTCTCCCTCACGCGCGCAGAGAGAGAGAGAGAGAGAGACGTGATACCTATTTTGTAGTCATCGAACTGTAGCGTGAGTACGCGATCGGTGTGGCCCTTCAGGTTCTTGGTCTGCTCGCCCGTCACCAAGTCCCATATCTGTTTGTTTGACATGAAAGAACCAGATGAGAAAAGCGACGTCTTCTTCGAAGCTGTTGGCAGTCCCTCGGGCGTACCTTGATTGTGTTGTCCCACGACCCGGACACGAGCTTTCGTTCGTCAAAGCTGAGGCAGCGCACGGAGTTGGTGTGGCCCTTGTACGTGTGCAGGCACCGTCGCATCCTCTGGTCCCACAATCGAATCGTCTTGTCTCGCGACCCGGAGGCCACGTATCGCGAATCGAAGGTGATGGATCCGATGCCCTTCGTGTGGCCCGTGTAGGTGTGGATGCACTTGCCCGACTTGAGGTCCCACAGCTTGACCAGCCTGTCCTCGGATCCCGACACGCAGTTGAACCCGCCGTCCCAGTCCAGACACCACACCGACGCCACGTGCTCGGTGAACGTGGCCGCGTTGGCGCCGGTCGTCATGTCCCACACTGTGTGCGTATAGCTGCGCGTTAGACGCGGGGACGTCTTGCAGTCTTGCCGACGTGATTTTGAGCGAGAGACAGGGTGGGAGAGTACTCTTGACTGTGCGATCGCGCGAGGCCGAGAGCAGGATGTTGCGGTCGAATTTGAGGGACATCACGCCCCCGGTGTGGCCCACCAGCTCTTGCAACGACCGTCGGGTCTGAAAATCGAGCACGCGCACGCACTTCTGATCGAACGAGCCCATGGCCTGTGCACAGTGACGTGAACACAAGAAGAGCCTTAGGTCTGTCTTTGGAATGAGGCACGACGTTGCAGAGGTCAGACACACCAGTTTGTCGTCGTCGAATTGAAGACAGCGGACGCGGGTGGATGTGTGGCCTGGGAAGGTCTGCACTTTGTGTCGGCCGTCTCGCCAGTTTGCTTCAATGTTGCGCCTGCAGTGCATACACAAGTCATCTTTTAATTTCATTTTTCTTGTCACCTGGAGGGGTGAGCAGCAGGTCTTCTTACCTTCGGATGTAGTTGTCCTTCCAGTCCCTCTTCTCCCGCTTCCTCCTATCGTAGCTCGCATCATGACTTGTCTCGCCCTCCTCTGAGAGGTAGTCCCCACTGGATGATGCATAGAACGTTACGTTAGCTGTTGCGTTTGCGTGTGCGTGTGCGTGCGTGTGCGTGCGTGTGCGTGTGCGTCACCGAATCGCTTGTCGTGGGTACCTCATGCTCAGTGAACCAGCCGGCTTCGTGCGGCACTTGACGGCTCCCAGTGGAACGGGCGAGGAGAGGGAGAGCGTGTTGCGGTCGGCCTTGATCGCTGCCACAGCAGTGCCATTGGGCTCGTGTTGACTCGCGGCCTCCGCGGCGGATAGCAGTGGCTTTCCACTGCTGCTGCCGCTACTGCTACTGCTCCCGTTGCTGCTCCCAACACTGCTGCTCTTGTTCTCACCGGCGCTGGGTACCTGCTCCCCGTTCGATGGGCCATCGGCGCTGGGCGGCACCAGCGGTGCTGCGTTTCGAACAGGATCGATCGTTAGGGAAGAGTTGGCGCGTGCGCGTGGTGTGCAAGCGTACCGGCAAGGGCGCTTAGGGTGAAGTAGTGATTGACGTGGGGCTGACGTGGTCCCAGCTTTCTGTCCTTCCAGCGCCTAAAGTACAATCGCTTCCAGAGGCTCTCGTCGCCCGACAGTCGCTTCCACTGCTGATTGACCGAGGCCACCGCCGACAGCTCCTGAAAACACGACCATCGGACAAGCCCGTTTTGAGTCAACAAGCTGCCCGACCGGCGGCCGGCGTGGTGTGCAACATCGAGGAGAAGAGAAGGAAGAGCTCTTAACCTGTTCGGTAAGGAATGATAAGATCTTGAGCAGAAGTTCGTCTGGAAGCAGAGAGAAGTAGCCGCTGGTCGTCGACGTCGTTGGCACCTGGTGGGAGCTCTGCAGAGTGTAAACAAATTAGCCATAAATTGATTAGCCCTAACGCTACGAGATGAAGCGGTGGCAGACGAGGCAGGTGGGTCGTACGAGGAAGGTGAAGAAGGTGGAGACCTCATCGAGTCTACAGTCGACGTCGCGCGAGAGCTGTGATAGCTGGGCCAGCAGATTTTGAAAATAGCAGTCCATGTTGCGGTGCTCGAGGAAATGAGCAAGTTCGTCGATGGCCGATTTCAGATGGCCCACCTTCGTCTGCAGCTCCTTGGGGAACACTTCACCGCTGTCCACCTCGAGATGTTCCATATCACTTGTAGAACTTGATGATGCAACGCCATTTTGTTGCTGCTGGGGCTCTGCCTCCATTTCCATCAATCGCGTCGAAGATCTGACGTCGCGTATTTTCTACTGCCTGCCGAAGGTAGTACGATAAGCCGTTTCTTGATCTTGATTGATGTCACCCCTTCCTATGGTGCGCAGCTCAAATCGTTGGCGATGTGCCTGGCCTTCTTGAATCACAATCGCTGCTGGCCAATTTCCCTCTTTTTCTCTCCTTCTCTCCAAAAAGAAAATTAATTTGAAACGAACCAAAACGCGTTCTCTTTGCTCAAGCAGAGGGCTGACTTCGCTCAGCTCCACTACCACCGCCTCCATCACCTTCACCACCTCCTGATGGCCTGCCTTGTGACCGGCCGTGTGGTTGGTGACTAGACTTGTCCTGCGATGATGACAACGATGATGACGATGGCGACGGCCTCCGCTGGCCCAGCGTGGAATCTGCGCTCTTGCGTAATCGGTCGGGTGAGGGTCGGTTCGGCCCTCTGCGTTCTTCGCCGTCGCCACGGCCGCTGCCGTTACTCGTCGACGGGTTCTCCCAGCTCTTGTGGAGTGGCTTATTCTTGTGAAACGACTTCTTCGACTTGTTGTTGTTCTTGGCGTTGTGCTGATGCGGTGGTAGGTGGTGCCGTGGATGCTGCTGGTGATGGGGACGGTGAGGCTGGTGTTGATGATGGTGAGGTTGATGTTGATGTTGGTGGCGCTGGGGATGGTAGGCGAGGTGGAGTTGTGGGTGTTGGCTGCTCCCCACGCTGCTGGGGTGAAGAGGGATCGAGCTGCTGGGGCGCTGCGCGGCCGAGCTGGCCTGCTTGGCCAAGTGGGCCTCGAGGCGGGTCTGCAGCGCGGCAAAGTGGTCGCGTGCGAAGGGACTGGAGAGCAGGGCGATGGTCAGCGGGTTGAGGTGCTCTTGGACCCCGTTGATCGTTATCCGACCCTGGGCATCGGACAGGCCCTTGAGCACATCGCGCAGCGGCACCCACCTCATCCTTCGCGTTTCTTAATCGCGTCGCGTAGTAACACGGGGGTCAGCCAAGGGTTCAGCGAGTTGCAGAAAAGAGTGCGTTGAGCGTACTCGGCTGATTGGTCGTCAAGGCCTTGCTTCGAGCTTGTGCTACTTGCGCGTCTGATCGATGTATGTACGGAATCTGGCAATGCGCCCAATAGACATAGAGAGCGTCAAGCGACCGCAAGAGCGCAGCCCAACGACTAAAGCGCGAGCCAACGCACCTCGGGCACGAATAAGACGCACTGCGCCTTGGCGTAGTACATCTGAAGAGTGAGCGCATCTGTCAGGGTGGCAAAGAGCGCGTCGGCTGATCGCCTATCGAAAAGCAGAGCAGAAGAACGGAGAAGAAGAAACATAGATGGTGAGATCGAACCAATGGTATGTTGACCACAAGATTAAAGAAGAGACCAATGTGGTCGTACGTACTTGTAGAACAACAATGAGGTCTCCTTCATAAACGCGCTGATGGCCGTGCGCTCCGGCCGCTCATGCGGGTTGTCGGGAGAGCGCTCACCGACAAAATGGCCCCAGCCATAGCGCTGCCCGTCCCACAACGTCTCTGCGCGGCCCAAGGAGGTTTGGAGGGTTTAGTCGTTGTTTATTCCCCGAGCCTGCGATGGAGGCCGTACCCACGAGCAGCACGACCAGTGTCTTGCCTCTCTTGTACGAACAGGGCAGCAAGCCGGCGGTGGTGAACTTGTACGGGCACTCGCCCGTGTAGCTGTTGCGGCAGTGGATCCCTGAATCCGAAGAAGAAGCGCACCCACTCGGTCAATCGCGCGGCACTGTCCAAGAAGGGACCTGTGTGTGTGGTGCACTGTATACATACCGACAGTGGAGACCTTGAGCGATTTGATGGCCGTGGCCCAGACCAGCGCCTCGCCGTCCAACTCCTCTTTGGCGAGAGCTGCAGGCTTCGGGGCCGCTGGCTTCTTTGGTGGCTTCTCCGCCTCTTCGACCGCCACCGGTTGATCATCATCCGGTGGCGGGGCATTGAGGTCCAATGAGAAGAATCCGGATGGCCGATGATCATCTACAGGCGCACCACCGGCGCCAGAGACCTCTTCTTCTTCTTCTTCGACCGCCACCGGCTGATCGTCTGGTGGCGGGGCGTTGAGGTCTATTGAGAAGAGCCCGGGCCGATCGGCAGGCGCACCACCGGCGTCGGCGAATGTCGCCCTCTCGCCGCGCTCGTCCTTCGTCGGCCTTGGCGGCGAGGTTTGACCAGCAGCTTTGCGCTTGGTCACGATCGCATACCATTCGCCGCTTGGTCCTTGTGTCGGCTCCGATGTCGTTGTGGTCGCGGCGTCGCGCATGGTAACTTCGCCACGCGGATGCCCCTCTTCTTCTTCTTCTCCGGTCCCTACCATTCCTTCAGGCATCTCAATCACATCGTGCTCGTCCCGCACATCGTCGTCGTCGTTGTTGTTCGTCACGGGTTGGTGGTCGGGCTCCGTGCTCATCATGCTGTCATCCGTCTCGTTGCTCTTGGGTGACTTCCGCTGCTTCTTCTTTCGTCGGCTGCCGCTCTCCTCACTGCCGTGGGTGATGTCGGCGGCCTCAGCCAATGGAGCAGGGGCAGGCTTCGTCTCCTTCTTCTCCTTCTTCCGCTTCTTGCGCTCGCTTTCCTGCGTCGGCGTCGTCTTCGTCTTCGTCTTCGTCTTTGGCTTCAGCTGAGGCTGTTCACCCTCCTCCTCCTTTCGTTTGGTGTAGCTTCGATCGTTCAGCACAACGGCCTCTTCGTTCTGGTGCCCATCTTTGCTGGCTTCATCTGCAACGTGCTGTAAGATATTTTGAAGTGGATCTTGCAAGTGCAGAGAGGAAAATAGGACAAGACCGCACCAGCGTAGAGGTCCTTCATCTTTCGAAGGATGCGAATCCTGGGCCACGTGGCGCAACACATCTCATAAGAATCTCTCACAGATGTGCGTACAAAATGAAGGGTACCTGTGGCCGACTTTGTCGATGCCCATCTCCTTGAGCAGGTCGTAGGTGAGGCCATCCCAATCGTTGAGGGTGATCTCGTGCTGTGCAAAGACCGATTGATACTGATCTGCCTCCTCCGCCGAAAGCCCGATCGATCCGAAGAGCATCTTCTCCCAATCTTTGCTCACGTTGCGGAATGGAAGAGGCAGCGCGTGAGGATTCACATGCGCATGGAAGGGGCTCTGCTGCGTTGATGTCCTGTTGTTGGGTATTGCATCGGCTGCTGCTTCATCCAGCCGTTCCATCTCTCGTTCCAGATTGAGTTGCGTTTTTGTCCGTTGGCCTGTGGAATATTTGAGTTATGCACGGTCAAAAGACCAGCTCCAATCTCTCACCATTTGAGATGGAGAGAGATGCTGCAGGTAGTGGATCCAATGTCGGAGAAGAATCGATGACCAAGGCACTGATGCAGCAGGCAGCCCAGATGTGCAAGCGGGAGCATGAGGAGGAGATCGAAGAGCTTGGTCTTCTCCCGCCCTCACACAATATCGACCCCCTCAACCCGCCTCTCACCATGTGCGCTTGCCACCCACTACATTCTTACTCTCTTCCTGGGTTGGTTGTTGAATTCATTCGCTCCCTCTACGCACTGCAGTGCCGAGTACGAGGCCATGGAGAAGGACCTCTCCAAGTATTTGCTCTACATGGCCGCCCTCTCGGCCGCCGTGGGCTCGCTGCCCAAGTCCCTTGGCCTGTCTTCGCCGCTCAAGTTCCTCGTGGTCGGCCCAGGTGCCACAGCGCCACCATCTTCATCGCTTCATGCACGGAGCACTCACTCAGCGTACGATTGTCATCCGCAGGTCTGGGTCGGCTCATCACGTTCTGCCTCGATGCCGCGACGTCACACGGCCGCAGTGGGGTCGTGCACGTTCTCGAAGCGAATCCCCGGGCCGTAGGTAAGCCAACCTTGATCTGCATCGCACTGCTTGTTGGGCCTCACCGCCGCTTTGCGATTTGTGGGCTTGCTCACTGCAGCGCTGTGTGAGGCGCGAAACCTTAAGGTTTCCTGGAGGAACGGTTCGCGGCAGAGGTGGCCGCCGGCCAGGTTGTGCTCCACGAAGCCTTCATCCTGCGCAACACCACCGAGCCGCAGGATCTGCCGAAATCACTCGCCGGCCACGTGCACTCGTTCAACATCATCGTAGCCGAGGCACGCACGCTCACACACTGCTTTTGTGGTCGCTGCTTGCTAACCGCACCATGCAGTTGCTTGGTTCGTTTGGAGACAATGAATTTCTCCCTGGTACTTTCGCTCCGAACGCTGCATAATGGATGGTGGTTTGCTCGAATCGACTGCTCACGCCCTCCTGCCCAGAGTTGATGTACCGCGCTACACACCTGTTTGCCGCTCGCGGCAAGGAGCAGGCGATCACGATTCCCGATCGGTGGAAAACCTACCTGGCGCCGATTTACTGCCCCTCGATCTACGCGCACATTGCGTCCAAGGGGGACAGCAACGACACTCAAAACCAAAGGCACTCCAGCATGGCCCACGTAACCGGTACCTACCCAATGTGCCGCTATTATATCTTTTGTTTGGAATGCATGTAATGCAGAACTAATGCCCGGTTCATTCCAGCCATTCCTGCGGACGCTGTGCTGTTGGGACCCTCGCGGCTGCTCTACTCGGCGTCGTGCGTAGAGCCACCGACCAGCGTCTACGCGGGCGAGATCCGGTGGAAGGTGGACGTCGAGTCGACGACTGGCCCCGCTCGGGATCGGTCGAGCGACGTCGTGGTTCACGGGTTCGTGGGCCACTTCACGTGCCATCTGTTCGGCGGCATCAAGCTCGACACCCGGCACGGGTCGGCCGCGCGAAACACCTTCCACTGGGAGTCGATGTTCTTCCCCCTGAGCACGCCGGTGGACCTCGGCAGCAACCGCAGGGGTGGCAGCTGCCGGACGACGATCGGCGTGCGACTCGAACGACGCAGCGCGGTCAAACAGTCGGCTCTGGCCAGCGGCCCGGCCGACCTGCACGCCATTTGGTACGAGTGGCGCCTGCTCTCCGACGACGATGACGACCGGCCCGCGATCGCTGGCAATTCCCTCCCGCACAATCCGGTACCTAAATCTTCTGCCAGGCCTTGTGCTCAACTTTTGTTCTGACTCCTTTTCGCTGTGGCCCGGTGGCCCACAGGATGGCCGATTCCAATCCCTCTATCTGTGAAGGTAACCCACCAAGTTATTTATTTATGCACAAATAATAAAAAAAGGACAACAAAGGCCAGAAGTCTCGGCGCTGGAACTTTCGGGCGCTTCGGTTAGTCGACAATTCGTCACTCTCGCCGCGTCAAAACGCTGCTTTCCCCATTTGCCCCACGCCCCATGCAGAGCGCAAGACAGGGGCATCTGCGAGGCCTCCTCGCCTGGGTCCTGTGCGGCCTTGTGCTGTGCACCTCGCTGGTGGTTGTGCCCGCCACTTGCACGTCGCGTGAATATTCTCCACGTCACTGACCGTACGCCCCGCACTTTATTTTAAAATACAAAATAATGTTACAATATAAATATTTATATTTTACGATTTGTCTGTTTTTCGCCACCAGTGCACGGGTGGGTGTTTGGGCACCCCCATGCGCCGGAGCTCGATGCCGATTTCGGAGACTTCGCGTCGCTGGTGGAGCACATGCAGGCCAACGCTGCCGCCGCAGGGGAGGAGTTCTTCCTCTTCGACAGTGGTGATCTCATTGAGGTGCTACACGACACGCACGACACACACACGACACGACATACACGACACACGACGCAACCAACGTTGAGAATTCTGAACAACTGCTTCTCTTTCATCAGGGAACTGGGCTGAGTGATGCCACCGATGTCCACGGCGAGTACATCTTCCCGGTGGTGCAAATGGTGAACGGCTACACGGGCCTCACCATGGGCAACCACGACATTGGTACCAAGGCCACATAGCCCGACACAAGTCGATAGCGGTGACGCTGAAGCTGGGGATGGGACTCTCTCTATAAATCTATATTTCTACTCCTTGCAGGGCACGACAACGTGATTGAGTTGATGCAGAGGAGCTTCATTCCTCACTTCAACGCGACCTACCTCACCGACAACTCGCTCATCAAGCAGACCGGCAAGATGATTGGTAAAGTTTTACACTCTCGGGCTTGTCGCTTATATTTATTATTATTATTTCTTTTTAATAATTTTTCTTTCTTTATTTATAATTCAATACTCACGTGCCAACCTTTGGCCGGGTGCAGGAGGGCCGTTCTACTCGTTCCGCACGGCATTGGGGATGAACTGCCTCGTCATGGGCTACATGTTCAACTTTACCCAACCGGTACCCACCAAAAACGAGCTCAGTCAGTCGCTTTGGGCAATAACTCACCACAGAAACACGCGCACACGCACACGCACACGCACGCACACGCACACGCACACATGCACAAGGCGCCGATGGCCGAGGTGACGCCGGTGAGCCAGTCGCTGCTGGAGGCCTACTTCAAGCAGGCCATGCAAATCAAGGTACGGCTCAGAGCACCCGTCCAGGCCTTATCATCGGGTGTGCGCCTGGTTGCTGCGCATGGCCGGTTGCTGAACCGAATGAATGGGGCGGGGCGTCCCTTTTGGTTGGATAGAACGTGGACATGATCGTGGTGGTGGCCCACATCGACCCGACGACGCCGCCCGAGCTGAGCCAGATCTACGCTGCCCTGCGAAAGGCGCAACCCACGGTCCCTCTCGTTCTCCTCTCCGGCCACAGGTGCGCTCTCCGTTGCCTTTGTTCACGCGCCGCTCATGTGTGCGGCACACACGACACGCAACACGGCGCACGACACGCCATGACACACACGTTATTGTGCAACGCAGGCACATCACCTATTTCTCTTGGCTGGACCCGAACGCGTTCACAATGGAGTCAGGCAAGTACTTCGAGGTGGTGGGCCACGTCACCTTCGACATCGACCAGGATCACCAGATCACCCAGTTCCAGCAGGAGTGGGTCAACACCTCGCGCTGTACGCGTTTCTTTATCATTCTCTCTCTCTCTCTCTCGTTGTGTGTGTCGTGTGTGTCGTGTGTGTCGTGTGAGATTCATTTCTGAACGCATGCATGGTCTCGCAGCCAACTTCTATTCGCTGGCCAAGAAGAACGCAGGCAACTTCCTCACCGAGCGGGGCCGAAAGACGAAGAACTTCATCTACAGCGCCTTCGACAAGCTGCAGCTCAATGTCACGCTGGGCTGCTCCCCCGTCACCCTCTCGCCTGACGCCAGCTACACCAGCTCGGACAGCCTGTACCACTTCTATGTCAACAACATAGTCCCTGCTGTGGTATGCAAAACACGCCACACGCCTCACGCCACACGCCACACGCCACACGCCACACGCCACACGCCACACGCCACACGCCACACGCCACACGCCACACGCCACACGCCACACGCCACACGCCACACGCCACACGCCACACGCCACCCGCCACGGCATACTCAGCTTTTTTTGTTTGTTTTTAGGTTTTCAACACGTCGCTCGGCCGGACGTCGTTCTTCATCACCAACGACGGCGCGCTGCGATACGAGCTTTACGAGGGCCGCGTGTCAATGAACGACGTCTACACGGTGCTGCCGTTCAAGGACACCTTCTACTACTTCCTCCTCACGGGCGATCAACTCCGTCAGACCCTCGCCTTCCTCACCAAAAACAAGCAACTGCGTACGTGTGTCGTGTGTGTCGTCGTGTGTCGTCGTGTGTGTGTTGTCGTGTGTCGTCGTGTGTTGTTCTTAAGGTCTCGCTGGTGGCAGTCAACACGGGTCGAGTACCGTATGTGAGTCGCCTGCGTGACCACCACAGGAAGCGCGATATCAGCGACAGGTTCTTCTTCTCCGACATCGCAGTCGAGTCCAACCAGGTCCGACCCGCGCCAGCCGCACCCTCTTTCGCGCAGCCTCTGGGCATTCACTTGACTCTACGTGTGTCGTGTGTCGTGTGTCGTGTGTCGTGTGTGTCATGTGTCGTGTGTCGTGTGCGCGTGCGCAGGTCTACGCGGTGGTGCTTGCCGAGTACGATTCCGTCACGCTGGCCATGGTGCTGCGCCAGCTGTTCCCCGCAGGCAAGTGGGCCGCGTCGCCCTACCCGACGGCCTTCTCGTCCACGTCGGCCCTCCGCGCGTTCGTGCAGGCCCAGTGGCCGTGCCGTCCCTCCTGCCCCTGCGCGTAGCCGTCATGGCCATTTCTATTTTATTTTTATTTAAAAATAAAAATAAAGCCGGAAAAATACTCGCCAAAGATAAATAGTGGAAGAAAAAATAACAAAAAAAGCTGCATCATAATCTTGATCTTCTTGTTCATGAGCGGGCGGCGGTGGGTGGTAGAGGAGTTCATTTCGCGGGCCGAGTGCCGCGAGTTGATTCGCGTGCACCGGGCCAGCGGCGTCGTGGGGTACCGCGACCGGTTCAGCGTGACCACCCTCCGCGAGCCGCTGGCCCGCACCTCCGACTGGCCGCTCCTCCTGCCCTTCGTCCGCCTGCGCGGTACCTCCACTCAATTTTATACTAAAATAATAATCACTAATATATTATTTTGATTTTATCAAAATTGTATTTGTGAAGACAGGCTGCGAGACGCGGTGGAGGAGCGTACTGGCGAGCACCTGGCGCTGTTTGTGGAGTGGACGGGACTGTCGTGCTGGCACCCGCACTCCTCGATCCCGCCACACTACGACAGGTGCGCACCACCACACGCCACAGGCAACACACACACCACACACCGCACACACACACACCGCACACACGCAACACACCGTGCTTATTGGAGGGGAACCACACAGCAACCGGCCGTATCTCGAACAGCGACACTACTCGGTGGTGCTCTACCTGAACGACGCCGGAACAGACTTTGACGGCGGCACCTTCCAGTTCTTTGGCGACAAAGTAAGTGCGTGTGGGATGATGCGTGTGCGTGTGCGTGTGCGTGTGCGTGTGCGTGTGCGTGTGCGTGTGCGGTTTGCTGATGACCGATGGTGACCTCAAACAACGTAAGGGCGACGTAGAAGAGGAGGTCCACGCAGTTGCGGGGCGGCTGCTGATCTTCGCCAGCGGACCCGAGAACATTCACGGAGTCACACCCATCACCAGAGGCGAACGGTAACGTGCGCCGTGTGCCGTGTGCCGTGTGCCGTGTGGTGCGTGTTGGGTCTGATCTGCGGCTCGGGGCGCTCATCAGATTCACGTTCACGGTTTGGCTCACGCGCGACGAGGCCTGCTGGGAAGACCCCAAGATCCTGTCCCACCTCCCCTCCACCCTGCCGCCGTCGCTCGCCCTGACGCCCGACCCGCCGGCCTTCTTCTTCTCCCGACCTTCCACTGCAGCCGACGCCGACGCCGACGCCGCCAAGCGAAGCTGCACCGATCCCTACTCGACACCAGCGCTCAGCCAGGGCGACCACGGTATCGCACGACACAACACGCGACACATGCGACACGAACAGTATTAACTTATATACATATATATATATCAACATATGCTATGGTAGAGGCGAAGTTCGACCTGGAAGCGGAGGTGCTGAAGCAGCTGGAGATGGAGGTGTGGACGCGGCGCGTTGGCCACGTCCGCCAACCAAGGAAGCGGCCACGAACGACGGACCACCCCGCCGCACACATCGACCCCAACCGCGCCGGCGACGACTACGCCGCAACGCCCAACGCACAACACGCCGAAGATGCCGACGACGGCGGCGGCGGCGATGACGGTGGGGAGGAAGAGGAGGAAGAAGAGGGCGAAGTGGTGGTGGTGAGGTGGCGCGGCCGAGTGGTCCCGCTACGCTTCGAGTCGGTGCGACGGGCGGTGGAGCTGGTGGCCTTTGCCGCCGCGACGCCAAATGATGCGCGCGATGGCCACGAGGAGGGCTGGTGGCGGCAGCGGGCGGTCGAATGGCTGGACCACCGGCGACAGCTCGCCGCACAGCTGCGCGTCGCGCTCCCCAAGTGGAAGGATGCTGGCTGCCTCTACGACTACCAGCCCTTCTAAGGTATGCACACCACTTTAGTTGCAGTCAATTACTCCTTTTCGGTTTCTGGCGTGTAACACTTGGGTTGCAACAAGTAACCACTCGGTCATCCGCGTGTCCTGCTGCAGGAGCCAGCCCGAGGAGGGGTCCTCGATCCCCAGCTCTCGCGGCTCCGACATGGTAGTTGTTTGCAACAGTTCATTTTTACCTTTTATGGCAAGAACTACCTGTCAATTGATGACACGGCTCTATGTCAACTGACGCTCGCTGGCACCTCTCTCGTGTTTGTGTGTTTAGCCACCAACCATGTTAGTGACTGACGCGACCAATGTGTTTGCCGTGTCATCTCAAGCTCTTGACGTGACATGGCAAGGAAAATGGGCGCCACATAACCAGCGATGAAGAGTCGTTCTCCATTACAACAAGCCAACCAACCAAAGCACAGTTTAAAACGGCCACTGGCGATGAACACGACGATCGAGCTGGGAACGAACACGACGAACGTCGCGGCGGGCTGCGCGCAGTGTCGGATCTGCCTGGAGGCTGACGAGCCCGGAGGCGCGGCGGAGGTGACTGCGTCGGCCGGCATGATCGCACCGTGCGGGTGCCGAGGCAGCATGCAGTACGTCCACGCCGAGTGCCTGAATACGTGGCGTCGCACGACCACCAACCCGCTCGCCTACTACCGCTGCGAACACTGCCTCACCGTACGTCACTTATCTCTATATATATCAAAAGATGGAATAATTTCTATCATTTACATATTAGAATTTGTTATGATTTTATTAATTAACTTTATGACGCAGTTCTACAGGCATTCGGAGCGGGTGCCGGTGGTGGAGGTGAGCGCGGGCCTGCTGGAGATCTGGGCCGACCACAGGGCGTGGGAGCAGCGCGAACGGCAGCGCGAGGTGGTGCTCCTGGGCCTGGCCCTGCTCGTCCTGGCCACCGTGGGGCTCTGCACCGCCCACGCCCTGCTCGCCTTGGTGCCCTCCGTGTCGCCCGTGTGGCTCGTCTTCGTCCCACTCGACCTGTGCGCTCTCCTCTTCGTCGCCCTGCGCTACACTCTCTCCGCCTTGTCATCGCCGGCTTCGTCGTAGTCTTCGTAGCCGAGCCTGCTCCCTCTTTTTCGCTTTCGCTTCTTTCTTTCTTTCTCTATGTACAGTTGTGTTCTTCTAAGAGCCTTACTAAAAGACGAAGCAGCCTTCCATTGACGATGATCTGTTTGGGTGCAAGTTTCCTTCTTTTTGCCCACCCCACTTGCCCGATCTAAAGAAGGCCACCGATGACAAGAACTGCTGCCTCAACATCCTCCACCAGCTGGCCCCAGGCTGGGTAACTCGAACAACTAGCTCCTCGCCTTTGTGGAAGTGCAGAGGCCGAGCTGAGTTCTGGGCCAGACTCAACGTCGTCTGGTTCGACTGCCTGAAGCCGCTCGACTGCGACGAGAGCGTGCTCCAGGGCTGCAACGAGGTGCGCGCCAATGGGCGCCAAGATCAGCCTCGCTGGTCGACAAGGGGCTGGCTCTCGGGGCTGTTGGCCTCGCACTCCGTCTACCCCCGCTCCGACCTCTTCCTCTACCACCAGTACCTGGCAAGACCACTTCTTTCGCAGTCATCGTCGTTGGCTCATTCGTTTCGCTTTCGCTTTCGCTCTTTCTCTTTCTTTGTACAGTCATGATTATGTATTGTTCTCAAGATGAAGCCTTCCACTTCCACGAGTCATCGCTCCGCTGCTTGAGGATGTTGCTGCCTTTCCCTTTTCGCCTGCGCGCAACAGACCATCAGTGTGTGTGTGTGTGCGTGTGTGTGTGTGTTGTGTGTGTCAGTGTGTGTGTGTAGTGTCGCATGTGCCAGTGTGTGTCGTTTACCTGGCGTGGCTTCCGCTTCGTCGGCCCATCCAGGCGCCGAAGATGTGGCTCTCGGCCTCTTCCTCCTCCTCGTCGTACGAACTCTCCTCCTCCTCTTCGGGGCTCTCCTCCGGCTCATACTCGTCTTCCCTACCATGCGGCTTCGGCGGCTGCTGCGCGGCCGCGTTGTGGCCGTGACCGTGGTAGTGCCGCAGGGCCTCGCTCGACTTTGAGTCTCGGCTGTGACTCCGCGCGTGCCGCTTGACCCGCCCCGAGCTGACGTGCAGCGCCCCCGCGCCCTTGCCGGTGCTCGCACCCGCTTGGGCCGCCGCGCCGCCGTGGTGCGGGTGCAGCAGGTGCGACTGCTTGAGATTGTTGCCAGGCAACTGTTGCATGGGCGGTTGCGGGGGAACGTCGATGTCGGTGGTGGACCGCTGGTGGAACGAAATCTCGCGCTCGCTCTTGTTCTTCTTCACGAGCTGCCCGCGCGGCCGGCGGCGCGGGGTCGACGTGACGGTCTCCCGGTCGCCGAGCGCCACCTGCATCTCCTCCCACCGGTCCAGCGTGGGCGAGTGCGGCTCGAACCCCAAACCGGGCGACGTCCCTAGCAGCCCGCCGACGCCGGCCACGCTCAATCCGCCGCCGACGCCACCGCCGCTGCCGCCGTGCGCGTCGCTGATGTCGACCACTTCGACGCTCTCGCTCTCCTTGGCCGCGGCGAGCGTGTAGAGCTCGCGCTGGACGCGGCGCCGGCGGTCGAGATCGTCGTCGTAGTCCTCTTCGGCAAAGGCCAGGAGCAGCTCAGGCGGCAGTTGCACCATCGACTCGCACCGCCGCCGGTTCTTTTTGCGCCGCCGCGGTGTCTTCTTCTTGCCGGCGCCGCCCGACGCGCCGAGGCCCGACGACGAGGCCAGCGAGTAGTAGGGCACGTCGTTGACGTCCTCGTCTTCGCGCTTCTTGACGTAGGGCACGTAGCCGTGGAACCACTTGTGGCGGTTGTTCTTCTTCTTCTCCTGGCGGTCGAGGTCGCTCAGCTGCTCACCGTGGTACTCGTGGTGCCGGCTGCTGTTGTCGATCGGCAGCAGGATCTGCTTCTGCTTCTGCGCCTGGGCTTGCTTCGAGGACTTGGCCTGCTGGGCCTGCGACTTCTTGCTGGCGGCGGCGGCGTGGGTCGGCGGCGTGTCGATCGCTGCTGTCCCGCTCTTGCGGAGGCCGGGCGTTGACGCTGCAGGCGATGATGACGTCAGCATGGTCACGACCCGCTGTTGCTGCTGCTGACCACCAGGCTTCAGCGAAGTGGCTGCTGTGGCCGTCGGTGTCGACATTGTCGTGGTTGTTGTCGACGTCGACGGTGCGATGGGTCGAATGATGCGTCGGCGGATGAGTTCGTCGCGCGACGGCCGCTTCATGAGCTTGTCGCGCAGGGCGATCGAGGCCTGCTGCCGCTCCTTGCTGGCGAAGCGGAGCGAGCTCAGGTTGGGTGCGGCGTGGTGCAGGATGTGCCGCTGGATGAGCTGCTCCTTCTTGATCTTCCTCTTCTTCATCTTCTTGGGCTCTTTGAGCAGTGGCCCGCCGCGGCCGCCGATCCGACCGCGCGCGTGGAGGAGGGCCGGCTCGGAAAGCGAGGCCGGGAGCACGAGCGGCGGGACCGGCGAGGCGGTCAACGCGGCCGATACGACCGACGAGTGCTCGTCGACCTTCTCGGTGAGAACGAGGGTCATGCCGTAGGTGGCGACGGCCTTGAGCGCGCGCACATGCATCAGGCCCTGCACGACGCGCGGCTGGCGCACCGCCATCTGGCTATCGTGTCCCAGCTGCGACCACGCTCGCGCACCCCTAGTGTCGGTGAAAAGGTGATTAGTTACTGACTGGCTTGTCGCTAAGGTAACTAACAAGTCGGATTAGTTGCATGGCAACCGGTTACTTACCAGGCGTAGACGCGGCCGGCCTGGTCGATGATGACGGTGTGGCTTTTCCCGCCGGCGGCGTCGACCACGGGCAGGCCGAACGGGAGGTGGCGTGGTACCAGTTGCTCGTCGTCCTCCGTCTCGAAGCCCAGCTGCCCGGCGTCATTCGCTCCCCACAGGTACACCTCCCCGTATTCTGTGTCGACATTATATCAGTTGTGTGCGTGTGCGTGTGCGGTGGTGTGTGTGTTGCCTGTGGCGCGTACCGCTGATGGCCATGGCGTGCTGGTGGCCGGCAGCGATCTTGGTAATCTTGATCTTGGCGAGCGCGTCGATGGGGCAGGGATAGCCCGTGGGCATGTCCTGCGGATCGGGGTGGCCCAGCTGGCCCTTGTCCGCCGCGCCGAAGCTGTAGACCACCCCGTCGCGCGTCAGCACCATCGAGAAGTTCTCTCCCGCCGCGGCTCGCACCGCGTGCTCCTGCACCCCCCCCACGTGACCGACCATGACGTCAGCAACACCAACCTGTAAAGAAAGACTCAAGGCAGAAGAAGGTGCACCTTTTGTAGTGCCAAGATCTGCTTGGGCTCCACGAGCTGGTCCACCGTTGTGCCTTGCCCGAGGGCGCCCAGTACGCCGGTACCGAGCGAATAGACCTCGCCTTGGCCCGTGATGAACAACACATGGTGCTCGCCGCACGCAACGTCGACCACGCGCTTGCCCTATTGGTTGTAAATTTAGTACACAGCTCGTCGTGTGCGTGTGCGGTGGTGTGCGTGTCGTACCTTGAGCGCTCGGATCGTGTGCGGGATGCCCGGCGTGGCGGTGCGGTTGTCCTTGGTGCGGAGCGGGAACAGGGAGGACGAGCCCCAGCCGTAGACCTTGCCGCTACGCGACAGGGCGACGTTGAAGCCCGACGCGCAGCCGACCTTGATGACGCGCCGGCCCTTCTTCTGCAACTGCGGCACCTGGTGCGGGGTGAGCGCACCGTCGCCCTTTCGGTGCGGCTGCGCCACGGGAATGCTGTTGCTCTCCACCAGCTTGTCCGCCACCGTATACACATCGCCAGACTCTGTAAACACCACACACACACACACACACACACACACACACACACACACACACACACACACACACACACACACACACACACACACACACACACACACACACACACACACACACACACACACACACACACACACACACACACACACACACACACAAGCGCACACGCGTCAGTCAGTCCACTGTCTTTAGATTGGGGGCGCTGGTGGACTCGACGCACCGACAAGGAAGAGGGCGTGGGTGGAACTGCAGGCGACGTCGACGACGGGCGAGGGAATGCCCGACAGCACACACGGACGCTCCAGGTTGTAGCCCGAACCCTCCAGTGAGGCGTTGCGCCCTTGGCCCCACAGCCACAGCGAGCCGCCAGCGCCGTGAGCGCCACCCGCAAGAGTGGGCGAGACGGCCGTTTTTGAAGACAGAGCGGTCACGTTGCGGCTCGACTGTCGCAGCGAGGGCTTGGGCGCGCCATTCGAGTTTTCGCCGTTGTTGTTGGCCGTCTGCTCGTCTTCCTGTTGCGTTGTAACCGAAGCACAGGTGTGGTAGCGAAAGAATCCTGAGAATGCCAACAATGTGAGGGAAAAGTGCTGCGCTGCTGTACCTCGGTCGAATCGTTGCTGTCCTCGTCCTCGGCTTTGGTCGACTCGTCGAAGAATCCGTCCTCGCCCCCGAGCATCAGCGTGGATACCATCACGTCGCCCAAATTGTCGAACACGTTGACTGACAGCCACCGAACATGTGAATTCAAACAATTCAAACACTTCACACACAACACACGCCGCACACGCACACCGCGCACACACAAATATTCCAAATAATTGTAATTGTACCTCGCTTGAGCCAGGCCCGAGTGGGGGCGTCCTCGGGGAGGTTGCGCTTCTTGTGGGCGCCGAAGAGGGCCAGCGGCGGATCGTTGGAGAAGAAGATGCGCTCGGTGAGGTGCCCATTGGCGACGCCCTTCATGGGGAACGGGAAGATCTTCCAGAAATCCTCGAACTTCTTGGAGAACCGGAACGCGGCGGCGAACTGGAGCTCGTGCTCGGTGAGGTCCACCAGCTTCGAACATAGCAACAGCCCGAACGGATGGCCAAGCCCGCGGCCGCAGGGCTCTCTCGCATCACCTATCGCACATTGAGCCTCAGACCGTTATACGCACGACACACGCACGACACACGACACACGACACACACGCGCGAGGAAGTTCAAAATAAATACCATAGACGCGTTCGAGGAAATCAAGTGAAGTCTCGAAGGCGCGGATTGCCCGTCGGTAGTCGCTCATGCGCTCGTAGACGAAGCCGAGCAGGTAATAGAACCCGATCACGATCTCGGCCGGACATTCGCCCAGCTCGTGCAGGGTCTTACAGGCCGTGTGAATCAACTTGAGCGCCTGCCCTCCCCATTCACACAAGAATTTAGCTGAGCTTTAGGCTGCGTGTGCGTGTGCGTGTGCGTGTGCGTGTGCGTGTGCGTGTGCGTGTGCGTGTGCGTGTGCGTGTGCGTGTGCGTGTGCGTGTGCGTGAGGCTCACCTTCAAGTGAAGTCCCTGCCGGCTGTGAAGATCGGCCACTTGAAAAATGCTCAGCACTGCCTCGATACTGTTGTGCCCGCAAATATCGTTGACAAGCTGCAGATTCTCTTCGTATCGCCTGTTGTCATTGTGTGTGTCGGGTGATGAGCAATGATGAAGTTACTCACGAGGCAGCCGGCAATCAGGCGTACTGAAGGTCATAGCCCGCGCCAAAGCTCGGCCCGGTCGCCGGTACGGCTGGCGCAGGCTCGTGCTTTTCCTTTGCTCTGCCGCCGCACGCTGGCTGCGTCGCGCTCTTTTCCATTTCCATTTCGAACAATTCCTCCGTTTCTGCGCCTGCAGCACGCCAGACCCCAGTTAGCCAACTGCACATGGGTCAAGCTCAGCGCTAACGCAAACGAAGTCACGCACCTCGGTTGTGGCTGGTGGGCTGCGGGAGGGTGTGAACATGCTGCGTTCGGCTGGTCACGGCCGGCGAGAACGACTGGTGCAGTAAATCGGGTAACTGGTGTGGGCGGTATGGGTGCGTGTGCGTGTGCGGTTAGTACTGCTAACCGCGCGGTTGGGGCTCGGGCGGTGTACCTTGCCGGCGTATTGGATGGTCTTGATGCAGGGCGTGATTTGTACATCGTAGAGCGAGAAGGGGCACTCCTGCTCGAACTGCGTGGGATCGGCGATGAAGAGCTGCTGCGTCTCATGGTCGAATTTGATGCCCGTGTACTTCTGCAGCATCTGAAACAGCATCCTGGCCAATGCCAATGGGGGTAGAGCGAAAGAGGTCATCAGGGTCAGAACTGCGCCACCTCACTTTCTGCGTTGATGTAGTCGCGACCGTGATGACGTACAGTTTGCTGCCGATCTGCTCGCGGAAGTGGTAGTTGCTGAGGTGCTCGATGTCCAGCAGGGAACTCTGCTTGGCGTCTTGGTCGCCCTCGATGGCCGCGGCCGCGGCCGTGGTCGGGTCGGCGGTGCTACCGCAATCGCTCGATTGGGCCGCTGCGGCGCCGCGGCCGTTATAGGGAATGAGCGAGTACTTGAGCAGCAGGAGGATCTTGACGTCGGTGCGCCAGCACTCGTTGCTCTCGTTGCCCATGCCCAGGATGAGGTTGAAGTACTGGACCGCCACCTCCTTGTAGGCCTCGTCCTCGTCGCCCTCGGGCTCGTCGCCGGGGTGGTAGTGCGAAGCCTGCTGCCGCTTCTTCCGCTCCTTCTTCTTGTGGGCCGTGATGGTACGCATCTTGCCGCGTAGGGCGGCCTTGATGGCGCGCGAGGTCATCTCCGACAGCAGGAAGCGCTTGATGTACGTGTTGTGCACCAGCGAGCGCAGGTAGGCCAGGAACCGGAGGTTGACGCCGTGCTCGTGCACCATCTGAATCAACTGCTTGCTGTTCACGAACACCAACTCCCTGCATTCCATTGCATTCCAGTCCAATCGTGAGATTACCGCACACGCACAGGCCCAAGAACACGCGAGTACCTGTTGTCGAGCTTGGCGGCCAGCTGTGGAATGGTCACCTTGAGCAGGTAGTAGGTGGCATCTTCGACCTCCTGATTGTCTGTGTGGTCGTGCGTGGGGAATCCTGACAGTGAATCGCTGTTGAGCGGGAGCTTCCCGCTCTTGACCGCCTCCGGTCGCAGAAAATTGTAAAGCCACTGCCCTCGCGCCCTAAAGAAAAATGATTTAGCTAAAATGCTATAAATAATAAATAATAAATAATAAATAATAAATAATAAAATACCCTTTGACGATGATGGCGTCGCCTCGGATGGAGTGCTGCGCAAAATGGGTGGCGCGTTCGTTCGTCTCGGTCGCCATCTTCTGAAACACGATCACGGCGTCGTACTCCTCGAGCCGTCGATAGATCAGCTGAGTCACCCGGGTCACGCAGTCAGACGCGTAAGAGAAAGATCTTTCCATGACGTCAACTCGAAGAAGAGAAGAATTATACCGTGACAGTCGCTGAGGAGTTGCGTCGGAACCGCTGCTCGAACCACTGTGCGACTGCGACGTAGAGGTTGGTCTTCTTGTCCAGGTGAAACTCGAGCACCTCCAACGCGCTGGCAGCGTCCGCCGGAACCAGCACCACTACAGCCCGGGCATCATTAGCACACAAATCCTACAACGCCGCGCAAGGCGAGGAGTACACTTAGTACCTTTGCCCCGGTCGAACCCGGCCGATGGCGGCATCAGTCGCGCCGCGTCGACCACGTAGACGCGGCGATCGCGACCAACATGGACCTGAAGACGAGAGACAAGGACAAGTGGTTGATCAGAAGAGTGGGCAGGCGGGTGGGTGAGGTGGCAAAGAAGACGTGTCGTGGCTGAGTCGCACCTCAATGTCGCACGGGCCGTAGATCTCTGCGGCGTCGATGGGGTGCTTGTGGGCCTTGAGGTTGAGCGAGTGCCCGACGCGCTTCATCAGCGAGTTGATCCGACCCACCGAGCTGTGGAATTGTCGCCCGGCATCCGCACTGAACCGATGACGATGCACGAGTTAGAACGCGCTGGGTCAGTTGGAGCTGCGGCGCGACGTAGAAAAAAAACAACTTGTGATGGTGGCGCAACATGACGCTACCTTCCGTATTTGAGTGTGTCGGTGCCGAGCGGGAGGCGAGAAGAGGCCAACAGGCGATAGCCCCTGAAATCGACAATCGCCACCAATGGAAAGCAGAGCTCGGGTATGCCCAGTGCCGACATGGCCTGGAACATACAACAACAACCACCACCGCCATCATTGATGATGGTGTCAGTATCACCAGCCACCATAATTCTGACACGTATAGTAGTCGGGAAGAATGGAACCTTTAGTCCTCTGAGCTCAGCGTTGCCAGACTTCATGGCAAACTCGTCGCCGTCGTAGATGCCGTGCCGGTCGGTGAGGAACTTGAAGAAGCAGCCCGCCTACGCAACGCAAGAGAAGGTCCAGCGATGCCGGTTTCAGCAGAAGCGTATGGACCTCCAAAACATCATCACCACCGGCGAACGCATGTATGAGATCTGTGTTTTTTGAACTTACGTACCACAATGTACTTGTCTCCGCCGGCCACGCCAAACGTGCCGTCTGACGGTCTCACAGGCTAACACACACACACACACACACAGAGAGAGAGAGAGGTCAGACTCGGGTCGCACACAGAAACAAGGTCAGGAGTGGTGGGCGCACCTTGAGCGTCTTATCGTCGTCATCGAGCACGATCTCACGGATGATCAGCTCGCCGAACCGACACACGACCTCGCTGAAGTCCAGGCACAGTCGCTGCAATTCTGGATTGCAAGGACGTACAGATATGAGAGGCGAAGAAGAAACAGAGGAAGAGGGAAGAAGAAGAAGAGAGCATCTCACCTTTGACTTTCTTGGCGCGGCGTTCGAGCGTGTCCTCGTGCAGTTCGAGAATGGACTGCAGCAGCGCGTTCCAATCGCGTTCGCACTCGCCGTCGTACGACGTCTTCTGGTTCAGCGTCGCGCTCAGACTCAGCTTCCGTCGCTCGGGCTTCTTCGTCGCACCACCGCCACCACCCTCAGCCGCGTGGCCGCCACCACCGTATGCCATCGTCGTCGTCGCCATCGACGCCATCCCCGGCGCGCTCCGGCCCTTGCGGCCCTCACCGCGTCCGCCCGATACGTAGCCCATCTGCCGACCCGGTTCGTCGCCGTCGAGGCAGTACGCGTAGGGATCCCGCCGCCACTCGACACCGTCGTCGCCGCCACCACTCGCGGCGGCGGCAGTGGGCGAGGGCGTGTTGCCGTACGGGGTGCTGTAGGCGTCGCGCACGTCGCCCACCACCCACACGTCGCCTTCGTCGTCGGCCGTCGGCTGCGGCACTGGCGACTCGTCGTCTGTGGCGTACGAGTAGGCGCAGCGCAGGGCCAGGTCGCTGCCGCTGGGACGCGTGTGGGGCGGTGGATGTGGCTGGTGCCTGGGAGCAGATGCGGCGGTTGAAGTGGTGGAGGCGCCCAGCCCAGCGCTACGTCGGGATGTGAAGGATGAGGCGGGAGTAGTGGAGGTGGGCGGGGAGGCGTAGTAGGTGACGGCAGTAGAGGAGGTGAAGGAGGGAGGGGCAGTGGAAGAGGATGAAGAAGTGGCCCAGCCCCTACGCGTAGAATGCAACGATCCGCGCGAGGACAAATGGGAGGTGGATCGCGGGCCGCCCCACGTCGGCTGGACGTACGAAACGCCTCCCTCCTCCCATCCTTGTGGCCTGCCGTCCTCTTCTTCATCTTCTCCATCGTCGAGCAGTCGCTGTTCGTCTTCCTCATCATCTAGCTCCATGATTACAGACTTGAATTTTAATCCAATTACTTCTTTCTTTTCCTTCCAATTCGCTTGCTATCTGCCCCCTCTACTCGCGATCTGCAGAGGCACAGCGACCACCTCGATCAGGAATAATCCTAGATCGTTCGTCTAGTCGTCGAGATCTCCAACGTTCTCTCTTTTCTCAATCAGTTTTCATTTATTCGTTATTTCTCTTTCATTTTAGATAAATAAACAAAGAAATAAAAGAAAGCAACAGCTACGATGTCGAAGAAGGGTGGAGCCAAGAAGCCTGCTGCCGGGGGAGGTGGTGACGAGAAGCTCAAGCCGGCCTCGCAGGTCAAGTGCAGGTGCGCAATCAACTCAAGATCTACCATTTTTCTTAATACATTTTTACTTGATTTATATTCTCTGATGCAGGCACATCCTGTGCGAGAAGCAGTCCAAGATTTTGGAGGCCAAGACCCGCATTGACAACGGTGAGGACTTTGCCACCGTACGTGGTGCCTAAACTGGACTTCGGTGCAGCATCCTTTTGATGGGCGAGGTGCTCTACACAGGTGGCCCGTGAGATGTCGGAAGACAAGGCACGCCAGGGTGGCGACCTGGGCTGGTTTCCTCGCGGCCGGATGGTGTATGCACTCCCTTTGCCTCTTCGTGTGCTGCCGTGATTCCCGCTCATGCCTTTACTCTTCCCCGTGTGCTTAGAGGCGATTTCGAGAAGGTGGCCTTCTCGCTCAAGAAGGGAGAGATGAGCGCTCCCGTCAAGACCGCGCATGGGTATGGCAGCCCATGTCTCCTTCGTGTTCCCTTCTCTTTAGCTGCTGCTCATGCCGCGCACGCAAACCCACAGGTATCATCTCATCAAGTGTGAGGACCGCAAGTGAGAACTGCGACTTTCATCTCAACAAACAAGCAATACACACATATCCTCAGCAGAATGCGTTCGAGGTGAGTGCCTTCAGTGGTGGGGTGGGGCGTCCCTTGCACTAGGCACCAGGCGCAGAGCGCTTCGAGCTTTCCGCTTCTTGCCCGGTACCTCCCAGGCCGATTTTGGCTTCACCGAATTTGTTTTTGCTTTGGCTCGGCTTTTTCTGGCTTGGGCGGAAAGGGCTGGGAATTGGCTGCGACCAACGAAAGAGCGTAGCCCCTCTGGACGACTTATATACGCAACCCAGCGGGCCAGCAGTATCCAGACCCACTCAAGAGGAGTACTGCTCTCTACTACTCTCTCCACTTCGCAACCTACACAAAACTCACAAAGGAAGAATGACAACGCGTCTTCAAGGAACACGGGCGCCACCTGCTGTTAGCACGGCCGAGCCGTCACCACCACCTTCCGGCCTAGCGCAACCTGCCGCCCAGTCACTAGTGACGTCGTCGTGGTCCCGCATGCGGAACCTCTGGCACAGCACTCAGGCGACACCAGCGGCGCCCCCGTGCGCCCCCGTCGCGGCGCCAGCGCCTGCAACGGAGGAGAGGCTGCCCGACGCCTCCGCAACGACGACAAGCACCTCTACCACCTCCACGGCCGCCACGCCAGCGCCTGCGACTGAAGAGGACCCGCTTGATGCCTTCATGCGCAGAATCGAAGCGCAAGCAGCACGACCTTCGCGCTGGGACGACGTCCCCGCGACGACGACCCGATCCGAGCTTCAACCGTCGCGCTCGCGCTGGGACGACACTCCAACAGCGCCGCCCGCGCGGACCAATGCGTCGCGCTCGCTCTGGGACATTCAGCCGCCGCCGCCCGGGTTCGTTCGGCCGCCGCCCGGGTACATTCCGCTGTCCGCGCGGGCCAACATGCCGCCCAGCAACAATCCGGCGCTGGCCTTCATGTCTCGACAAAGTTGGCAGCCGCCCAGGAGGATTCCCCCGTCGTGGCTGCCCGGGACTCCACTGGCGGGTGCGGGCAGGGACAGAGAGGTGGTGCTGGGACCCGACGGCCAACAGCTGCCCGAGGAGCCGCGGCCCTGCGCTGTCTGCGACCTCTACATCGACTTTCTCGAAGTCGAGAGCGGCGGAGACGACGACGACAAGCTCGAGTCGGAAGAGAAGGAAGAGGAGACGGAGGAAAAGGAAAAGAACGAGAAGGCGAACGAAGAGAAGAACGAAGGCGAAGAAAAGCGAAGCGAGGATGACATGGAGATGGAGAACGAAGGCGGAGAAAAGGCGAACGAGAAGTGCAACAAGGAAGCCGAGAAGAAGAGCGAGAAGAACGAGTGGACGCATCTGCCGTGCCAATGCAAAGTCTGCAAGGAGTGCTTCAGCAAGTACGTCAGCGTGCGGTGCGCCAGCATCGGCCTGACCATCTTCCGGGCCAACATCACGCCCTTCGCCTGCCCGAGCTGCGGGCGCGGCATCAGCACCGAGGCTGCCCTGGCCAACACCACCCGCGAGGTGGCCGACCGCCTCGACGCGCTGGCGCTCAAGCATGCCCTGTCGCGCATGGCCGACCTCCGCTTCTGCCCGGCGCCCGACTGCGGCAACGCGCTGTGGATCGACCCCGCCACGGACCACGGCCCGCCGGGCCTGGCGGGTCAGACCCGCTGCGTGCTCAAGTGCGACCGCGACGGGTGCGGCACCGAGTTCTGCTTCGACTGCCGCGCACCGTGGCACGAGGGCATGACCTGCGAGGAGAGCCTCCAGGCGCGTGAGTCGGCCGAAGACGCGGCGGCGGCGGCCGCAGTCGCGATGCCTCTTAGCTCAGAGGCCAGCGACGACCAGTCCCTGGCCATCGTGCCGACTGCGGCGGCGCCGGTGGTGGTAAGCAATCGCGAGTGCAAGGCGAGCCTCAAGGTCAAGGCCTGCCCGCAGTGCGGCAACGAGACCGAGAAGAACGGCGGGTGCATGCATATGACGTGCGTGTGCGGGCACGAGTACTGCTGGGAGTGCCTCAGCGCCGTCGGGGATCAGCACAAGGAGGACTGCCCCTCGCGCCCGACACCACGTGGTGCGCAAATTCAGCAGCGCCGCTCCGTCTCGCCCCGCAGGCGCAGAAGCCCCCCGCCGTGGGTGCGACGAGCCGACAGCCGGAGTCCCAGCCCGCGCGGCCGAGACAGCCGAAGTCCCACAACGCAGCGCCGTCGGCCCGAGGCCCGAGGCATCAGCCGAAGCCGCAGCCCGAGGCCGAACCTGCCGAGGCGCAGACTCAGCCCCAGCCGAAGCCGCAGCCCGGCGAGAGAGGACCTCAGCCCGCCCAGGAGACGCCATAGCCCGCGTAGAGAAGATCTCAGCCCGCCCATGAGACTGCGAAGCCCGGGATTGCCGACATCGCGCCCGGCAAACAGAAAGCGGAGCAGGAGCCGGAGCCGGAGCAGAGGTCGGTCGAGGGGGCTGAGATGGCCGGACCGACTGCCGATGATGAACTACGAGCAGATGATGCGCTTCTTGCGCGACATGCCAACGCCGGAGTGGGTGGCGCCGCACTCGCGCAGCCGCAGCCCTGTGTACAAGCGCTCTCGCCGAAGCCGCTCTCGGACACCGGTGACCAAGAGGGCGAGATCCAGGTCGCGCTCGCGCTCGCGCTCGCCGAACTGGGCCAGGCTGCCTGCCAACTTCGGCGACACACGCCGCGCGGCCTACCGATCGCGGAGCAGGAGCCGGTCGAGCTCCGCGTCGTCGTCGTCATCATCGTCGTCTCCTTCATCATCGCGGAGCCCGCCGAGGCGCAGACAGCGGACCAAGAGGCGCATGACCAGCCGCTCACGCTCGTGGTCGAGATCCAGGTCGAGATCGCGATCGCGCAGTCGCGACACCCGCAGGCAGCGGAGAAGGCCGCGCAATGACAGTCGGCGGTCCAGGCGGAGCAGGAGCCGCAACCGCAGCCGCAGCAGAGCGAGGAACCGACGGGCACGCGCGGGGCGCGATCGGAGCCGAAGTCGAAGTCGCAGTCGGAGCTGGAGCCGAGGCAGGAGCAGGAGCCCTGCGCAGCGATACCGCAACAGGAGCCGAAGCCGAAGTCGTGGTGGCACGAAGAGACCGGGACGTGGGTGGTCTCGTACGCCGAGTCCGTCGCGTAGGTGGCCGCCGAGGAACACAGCCGTACCGGGCTCACAGCCGTGGCCGGCAGTGACGTGGGATTAGGGGGCATGTGGCATAAATAAATTGATTTATGAAAGAACAGTTTACGCTCGTCTTTGTTTTCGGCGGAAACGTCTGCTCAGTGCTCTCCGTCTGTCGCGGGAAAGAAAGACTAAGAATATAAAATCCAAATTATTATTATTCAAATATTTTAAAATTATCATTAAAAAATTCGCTCAAAACGCAAAACGAAAAAGACAACAAGGAGGATGATGGAAGGAGAGGGTGGCCAGCCTCGGCCGCGAGCTGCCTCAACGCCCCATTTTAATGGGGGTGGGTCCTCGGTGTTGCACCACAACAGCCGCCAAACGAATGGCCATCAGCGCACTACATCTTCGGGCAGCAGCAATTCGCTGTCGGGTAGTGGCACGTCGATCATGGTGCCCGTTCTACCTTCTTCCTTCTACGCCTACATCAAACGCAACATACCCGCCTCCTCTCTAAGGTACAATAATCATCACATCATGTCCGAAATTTCATCCATTTCATTCATTTCAATGCTTTGAGATTTATTAGCCCTCTACAGCAGTTGATTTAAGATGAAGAAGGATTAATATAATTATTATTCACTCCATCAATTTATAATGCGCGTAGGGCCAGGGACTGGGGCGAGTTCACAGAAAGCGCGCTGGTGAAGGTGGTGGAAGGCCTCTCGCCCTCCTGTGGCCCGCCAGCCCTCCTGCAAATCTATGAAAGGTGTGCGCTCCTCCGCCACATGCATGCTCGCTCCACAACTACTCCTTGACCTCTGTTTTTTCACACGTTTGGTGTTGCGTTGCGTTGCGTGTGTGTGTGTGTGTGTGTGTGCATGTGTGCGTGTGTGTGTGTGTGCGTGTGTGTGCGTGTGTGTGTGTGTGTGTGTGTGTGTGTGTGTGCACGCGCAGAGATGTGCGAACCAACGAAACGTCGAAGCTGATGTGGACGTGTCCCATCTCGCCGCAGAACCTGCGCGAGGTGCAGGACTCCTCGCGCTACTTCTCCCTCAAGATCGCGTCCGATATCAACTCGGGCGAGGGTACGTGTAGCCCAGCCTCTTGCTCTCTTCTTTCACTCTCTCCTCTTCTTCTGTTTCTTGCTCTCTGCGTTCGTGTAGCGTAGTACATCATTCTCAACGTTGCTTGCTGTTCGTTCGCACCCAGAAATATGTTTGGGCATCGCGTTCTACACCAAGGACGACAGCACGGCCTTCGTCGCCAAACTGTACGCGTGGCCCGGGACCGAAATGTATACATATATCACGTCGCCTGCGTTGCTGACTGTGGCGCGGCCTTGCGCGACCATCTCAGGTGGTCGGTCATCCAGAAGGTGAATGCCGTCAAGGAGCTGCGCAACGAAGAAGAAATGCAGAAGAAATATGGAGACATGAAGCTCACGGACGACGACGACGAAGACGAAAGTGCGTTGCCCTTACCTACAACACAAAACAAACAAAAAAATTGTTAACACTCACGCGCTTTTTATTATTATTATTATTATTATTATTATTATTATTATTATTATTATTATTATTTAAAATTGGACTTGGCAACAGGTCTGTGGCTGAGCATGAGCGACGAGCTGGCCATTGAAGTGTTCAAAAAGCTGAGCTACCGCGACCTATGCAACGTCGCCTGCACCTGCGTCAAGTGGAACCTCATCGCCAACGATGACCTCGTATGCCACCCACATCTCATTCGTTACACACAAGCGAGATCTGCATTCATCAGGCGGCGCGATTCCTGACCCGACACACACACACGACACACACGCGACACACGCGACACACACGACACACTTCAATTCTCTTCGGCTTGCAGCTGTGGAAGGAGCTGTATCGCAAGGAGCGCTACCCGCCAATGGGCGGGAGTGACAAGATGCGGCTGACGGGCACCCGAGCACGCCAATCGCTCTTCTTTTCGTGGAAGACCAATTTTGTCAACGAATGGAAGCGAGCACATCCTGTGGGCAAGGTTCTACCCCCTTCTCACCACGTGTGTGTCGTGTGTCGTGTCGTGCCATATGAAACGTTGTGTGTGTGTGTGTGTGTGTGTGTGTGTGTGTGTGTGTCGTGTTGACGCGCGCGTATGTGCAGCAGGGCGATGAGCAGGTGGAGATCAAGAGTCAGTGGCTGGATGGGGATCTGAGCATCAAACTGGTGGCCGTGGGGGACGACTGCAACCGGCTCAAAACGAAACTGCTCTTCACCTACACCGACCGATATCCCGAAGACTACGTGCCCACCGTGTTCGAGAACCACGTCGGTACCGTCGCAGGACACAATCGCACACGCGCGCGCGCAATTGCAGTGCGTGTGCGGAGCCGGCTCAATTCTCACCTATTTCTCTCTGTGTTCGAACACCCAGTGACGCGAAAGATTGGCGACTTCACTGTAGACCTCAACTTATGGGTGCGTACGCCCAAAAAAGCAAAGCAAAGCGCAACTTCGTTTCTCTGTGGCCCCCACATCATCGATCTCACTTTACACGCACACGACAGGACACTGCGGGATCTGGTGAATACGACCGATTACGGTGCGTACCAACGCAAAACACACCGCACACGACACGACACGACGCACGACACGACACACGACACACGACAATTGCGGTTGTTATTGTTAACGTGGGGCGGACACAACTCGGCTGACGCAACTTGCATCATCACGTGGCCAGACCACTGTACTACGGAGAGACAGATGTATTTATTGTGCTGTACTCGGTCATCAACCGAACCTCCTTCCAAAACGTGGCCGCCAAGGTACAGTGTGTGTGTGTGTGTGTGTGTGTTGTGTGTGTTGTGAGCTCGTGGTCTGTCGTGCGTTGTGCGTTGTGCGTTGTATGTCGTGCGTTGTGCGTTGTGCTAAGGTGGCGGGGTGTTGGGCAGTGGGTGCCAGAGATAACGCGATTTTGTCCCGGAGTGCCCATAATCCTGGTGGCGGGCGACGTACACCTGCGGTCCGACGCGTCCGCCCTCCAGAAGCTCGCCGCCAAAGGCGAGTCGCTCGTCACCGAAGAAGAGGTACCCATCATCACCATCATCATCGTCATCATCATCGTCACCATCATCGTCATTGTCATCACCATCATCAAGCGCTGATGATAATGATGACGACCGCGTGCCAGGGGGAGGAGCTGGCGAGTGTGTTGCGGGAGCGAGGGTTCCCGTGCCGGCAGAGCGTGGAGTGTTCGGCGCTGAAGAACTGGCACGTCAAGAAGGTGTTCGACTGCGCCGTGCGCGCCGTCATCCTCGAGAAGCGGGCCAAGCGAAAGCGCACCAAACGAAAGCGCGAAAAGTCGTGCCTCCTCAGCTGATGAGAGAGCAAGACAACGCACAAACCAGACTTATTTATTTCTTATAATTATAATTTCGTAAAAGAAATATTGTTAAAATAATTATTAGATCTCTCCTAAATGGAAAAAATGTTTTTTTTCATTCACGAAATATTGAAAAAATGATTCTCCTAATTAATTTTCCACCTTTGGTGCGGGCGAGGGCAGCGGGAGGACGCGGACGGAGCGGCCGCCGACGAGGGCGTGGTCCAGGTGGAGGGCTGTCTGCAACGCGCTCTTCGAAGCGTAGATCACCGTGGCACACCCCTCCGCTCTGCACACGTCACGCGACACACAGAGCGGTCGTGAGCTTACCGCCGTGTGCTGTTCGCGATACGACACACACGCCACACAACACGCGTCATACCGTTCGTGTCGCAGACGTTCGATGCGCCCTGAGAAGACGAAGAAGTGGGCGACCTCGGCAGTGGCCATGAACGGCGGCAGCCCGGTCACCCGAACCGCCCGCGCCCGCGTCTCCTCGTCCAACTCGTCTTCTTCCTCCTTTTCCTCCTTCTTTTCCTCTTCCTTCGCCTCTTCTTCCTCCTTCGCCTCCTGCTCCTTTCTTTCTTCTCTTTCCTTTTCTCTCTCTTTCTCCTGCAACTGAGGCGATGCGACCGCCGGCTGCTGGTGGGGCCGCGCTGGCAGCGGCGGCGGCGCCGACGCGCTGGTTGTGGTGGCCGCCAGTAGGTGGTGGTCGCCTGCGGGCGAGGTCGGCGCTGAGGCTGATGACGACGATTGCAGGGCGTGGGGCCGCGCGGGGAGAGGTGGCGGCGCTCCCACGCCCCCCTTCTGGCCTGCTGACGTCAGCAGGTCGCCGGTGCTCTGCCACGGGCGCGGCGGCACGGGCGGCAGCGGCGAGGGCCACGTGTGGTCGAGCGGCACCGGCGGCGCCTTGTCGGCAGCGGTGGCGAGCGACGTCGCTGAGTCGGCGCGCGGGCGGGTTTCGACGATGTCGAGCGGCACGAGCGGCGCGTAGCGATCCGCCATCGGTGGCGGCGGCACCGGCGGCGCCGGTCGCTGCGGTTGGTACTGGTGCGGCTGCGGGTGATACGATGAATATGACGACGAAGCCGACGACGGCGACGAATACGACGACGAGGCCGACGACAGCGATGAGAAGGAGGAAGAGGAGGAAGAAGAGGAGGAGATGGGTGAGGAGGGCGACGAGCGGATGGCGTCGAGCTGGGCGAGGATGCGGGAGCGGAGGAGGTTCTTGCGGAGCCGGGTCTGCTCGTCGTAGGTGAAGTTGCACGCGTTGTGGAGGTAGTCCGGCACGCTGCCCCACTTGGCGTCGATGAACTCCAGAATGTTCCGAATCAGCGGCCGCGGCGTCCCGTCGAACGACTCACCCAAGCCTTGCGTGTGCGTGCGTCATGCGTGTGCGGTCGTGCGTGTGCCATGCGTGTGCGGTCGTGCGTGTGCCATGCGTGTGCGGTCGTGCGTGTGCGGTGAGTCAATGATCGCCGGGGCGAGCTGAAGGCGACCTCGGTAGTAAGTAGTACCCTTTTTGCCGTTCTCTTCGCGTATCTCGTGGGCGATGGGGTCCAGGAAGCGCTCGGAGAGGTGGTAGTTCTCCACCACCTCGGTTCGGTCCACGCCGCACACCGTCATCACCAGCGCCACGATCAAACCCGTCCGGTCCTTGCCTGCCGCCCACACCACAACCGTGAGCACGCGCATGTCGCGTGCGTGCCGCGTGTGTCGTGTGCGTGTCGTGTGTTGTGTGTCGTGTGCGTGTTGTGTTGTGTGTCGTGTGTGTCGTGGGCGTACCGGAGGTGCAATGGATGAGGATGGGGTAGTTGCGCGGGTCGGCGCAGATGCGAAGGGCGGAGCCGATTTCGTCCTTGGCGTACATCACGAACAGCTTCGTGAACCCTTCGAGCCCCATCGGCGTGATCACCTCCGACAAAAACATCTGAAACAAAAAAATGTTAATTACTATTAGTAGAAAAAATTAGAAAAAATTATAAGGTCATAACAAATTGAACCTGGGCAGCGGCGTCGACGTTGATGTTGATTTGGCGCTTGCTGCCCGGGAGCTGGAAGTTCTGGAGGTCGTAAAAGTTGAGGCCCAAAAACAGCTTGCTCTTGCCGTCGCCCGGCTTGCGGCGCGCGCGGTCGGTCGATGAGGAAGAGGCCGATGGCGACGAAGACGACGACGACGACGACGACGACGACGAGAAGGCCGACTTGAACATCTTCCACTTGATGCTCGTCGACGACGTCGCGAACAGCTGCACCTTCAGGTTGCGCGACACCTGCAGCACATTGTGTTCATCAGACGAGTCACTACCACACCACACACAACACGCACACACACACACGCACACACACACACACACACACACACACACAACACACAACACACAACACACACAACACGACACACACAACACGCACGACACGACGCGTACGAGGTTGACGGGCAGACGTCGGCGTTCGTTGAGTGTGCTGGCGGTACGGGGTACCGCGGGCGTTTGCGCGGTCCGGTAGAAGATCTCCACTTCCTGGTACCACGCGTCCATGCTGCATTACCGCAACCCACGGATCAGTCGTGTGCGGTGGTGCGTGTGCGTTAGCGATCGCGCGTGTGCGGTGGTGCGTGTGCATGTGTGCGGGTGCGGCTCTGGTGGCGAGGCGAAGGCGCTGACCTCTTTTCTTCGCCGGAGCGGAGGTCGATGATGGTTTTGATGCCGAGCTCCTTGCGTACGTAGTCGGACGCCGCCCGGAAGTCGTCGGTCCTTAGGTGCGAGTAGCGAGCCCACGCCGCGCTTCGATAAATGCGTCCCTTCCGCAAAAACCTGCACGCGCACGACACACAACACACGACACGACACGACACAACGCACGACGCGACACGACCAACGAAACGACACAGAGCGTGAGAGAGCCGACGGGACGGGCCAGCCATGCGGACGGGGTACCGGTCCGGCGAGACATAGACAGTGGCGAGATCCCGCAGGTTGAAGAGCGCTCCGCGACCCTCGTGAAACAGCACCGCATTCTCCACGTCGAACTTGTTGCCGACAAAGAGACAGTGAGTGCGCGTGCGGCGCCGTGCTGGTGTGTCTTTGCACACACGTGTGCAGTGGCGCGTGCGTGCGTGCGTGCGTGCAGCGTTACCTGCACTTTGCTGTGTGATGACTCCTTTGATTTGGGCACGGCTGCGCTCGAAGCAGCCTCGGGCGAGGTGGCGGCGGGCCGCGGGCTGAAGTCGTCGATCTCCCGCTCCTCTTCTTCCTCGACCTCATCGTCGTCGTCATCGTCACTCTCCCCGATCGTCCTCTTGGGCTTCGACTCGGGCTTGGCCTGCGCCAGCTCCAGCTGGGGTACGACCTGCGCCGCGCCCGACGGCTTGTCCGCAGGCTCTGCAGCGCTGGCCTTGTGTGTTTCTCTGTTGTTGACCCGCTTGCGCTCCCAGCAGGCGGCGCTGGAGAGGTGGTAGTCCTGCGCGAGCTTGTTGACCACGGCGGACGAGAGGCGGGCCACACTGACCACCGACCCGGCCACGACGGCGCCGCTCAGGGACAGCGCCATGTTGGCCGAGTACTCGACCTCGAACATCATCACCGCATCAATCACCCCTTCTTCCCTGAGCGCCCTATGCAGTGTGTGTAGTTCATTTAGCCTGGGTCGTGTGCGGTGTGTGCGGTGTGTGCGTGTGCGGTCGTGTGCGAGCGTACCTGAAGATGATGATATCTTCGATGTGTCCGCACAGGATGAAGAACTCGTAGAGCAGGTCGGGCGTGCAGTGCGCCGACAGGTTGGAGATGACCACCCCGAACTTGTGGTCCTCGGGGCCGATCTCCCTGATCGAGGCGATAGCCTCCCTGACAGACGCCCGCGGCGGCGGCGAGTGGTCTCGGGGCGACGACGCCGGCGTCGACCGCGCAGAGCCGCCGGCCGACGCCGACGACGAAGGCACCGCCAGCGAAGCGCTGCTGGGCGTCGACGGCAGCGGTGGGACGCTGGGCTGCGGCCGAAGCTGGGCCGTGCTGGAGGAGACGACCGGCGCGGCTGTGGCGGAGGCGAGGGAGGACGGTGAGGCCGAGGGCGACGAGGCCGGGCTGAGCGGCAGGCGGTAGGCGGGGTCGGCGAGCGCGTTCTGGAGGGCGAGGCCCAGGTCGGGGTGCTGCTGGGCGCTGAAGGCGAAGACCCGCACGGGCACGTAGCCCACGATGCCCCGGTCCAACAGGAGCGCCATCCTCCGGGCGCTCGCCTCCTTGAAGCAGATACCCGCCTTTGGCTCCTTCCTACACGTTGTGCACACACATGACACGACACGCAGCACCACACGACACACATTACACGACGCACGACACGACACACGCACGACACGGGCACGAGCTGAGACGACGTGTTTGACATTGTGGGCCTCCGGGGGGAGCGTACGGTGAGCAGGCGATGGCGGCGATGGGTCCGCACACTTTGAAAAAGCTGGCGAGGTGGGCGGGCGACATGGCAGACGACACCTCGGTCCACACGATCACCACGGCCTTTTCCCCGTCCTTTGTGCACCCACCACAACATGGCCAAATACATATTTTTAAAAAGAGAGGTAAATAAATAAAAAAGGGACCAAAATATAAAGATAATAATGCCTGTCTCTCTTGCCGGACAAGAAGAAGAGGAGAGTGCTCTACCATGCTTGCTTGCTTGCTTGCTTGCTTGCAAGAGTACGCCGTTGCTTGTTTGGTCTTCTTTGTGTTAGTGGGCTGCAAGTAATACTTGGTCGCCCGCAAGGCCAAAGCACGTGCCGCACTTTCTTTCGATTTTCCCCTCCACATTTCTCTCAATCTGCGCCCACGGATGGAGCCCAGACGTAAAGATGATCACAGCTATGGCGTTGCGAATGGCTCGTGAAGATGGTTTGGTGTATTTACAAAAGGCCAAAGATGTGATGTTGCGAGAGATCTCGAGCGTTTGGGTTAGAAATCGGTGACCCTACCGGCGTAGGCGTAATCGCCGTAGCGTGTGGGCTCGGGTCCTCGCGGGCCGCCGATCTCGCCCGTCTTGGGGTTCTTGTACTCATACTCATCGTCTGCCGTCTTGCCCTCTTGCGCGTTGAAGGCCTCAATCTCCTGATTGATCTTATCCAACTCGGCCTGCAGCTCCTCCAGTGACTTGTCGTCATTGCTCATGAACTTGCTCTTCGGCTCAGCCTTTGCCGCGTGCGTCGCGGAGGGGGTGGCCTTGGGTGAAGAAGAAGATGAAGCGAATCTGCAGAGAAAGCTGGGCCGGGCAAGATGCGCCGCACTTTTGATGTGCCGGGTGCTGTACATGGTAGCGTAGGCCTTGGTTCGCTGCATTGGGTTTTTGATTGCTGGGACTAGTTCTACGAGGTAATGCAAGGATGAAGAACGATTGCGTGTTTTTTTCTTCGATTTTTTATAAAAAATACGAAGAAACACAAAGAAACCAGGAAGAAAAAAAAAGATAATGCGTGTTGGTTGGTTCGTCAGGCCCACACTGCACAACCAACCAACAATCGGATCTCAGCGGTCATAATCGTCAAGCCGGCGGCATCACACGGCCGGTAAAGCGTCATTTTTCTATCTCCACCAACATAACTCGTGAAGGGCCAGGCGGGATGACCAAGCTGGTACAGCTCCTGATTGCCGTCATCGCTCTCGTGGCCCTGTGCGGCGATGCCGCCACAGTCCCCACCATCTACGTCTCGCCCTCCGGTACATTCCACCTCTTCTTTCCATTCCTCGACCATCCCGCGCCTCAACCTATCGTGGCCCGCAGGCAACGACTCGTGGACCGGTGGTTCGCCTACCAAGGGCTCGGCGGGGGTGAACGGAACGGTGGCGGGGCCGCTCCGCACCCTCGCCGCCGCCGCGCTGGTGGCGCGCTCGCGCTATGGCGCCGGCGTGACCAAGACGGTGAGCGTGGCCGCGGGCACCTATACCCTCTCAACCACGCTCGCCCTCACCGCCGCCGACAGCAACACCCTCTTCATCGCCGCGGTACGACGTCACCTCCCCCTGTGGGTTGTGGGAAACAATATTAATTAAGGTTTTTCAATTAATCACAATCGGCCTGTAACTCTATGATTGGCTGATCGCATCCAACCACATGTTTGTGTCGACACAGGATTCACGGGCAGGCAAGACCGTCATCAGCGGAGGGCAGTGCATCCCGGCTAACGCCTTCAAGGCCCTGGACACGTCGACCGGCCTGGGCGCGCGCGTCCCGGCCGCGGCGCGGAGCCGGGTGAAGCAGGTCAACCTCACCCAGCTGGGCCTCACCAGCGCCCAAGTGGGCGTGATCTCCACTAACCTGGCCGGCATGGAGCTGTTCTTCAAGGGCGCCGCGCTCCACGTCGCCCGGTGGCCCAACTACCCCAACTACGTCCTCACTGGCAACATCACCAATACTGGTGCGTGTGCGGTGACGTGCATGTGCGTGTGTCATGAGTTGACGCGAATGTGGTCTACAGACGAGAAATTGGTGTTCCATTACGTGAACGCGACATCGTGGCCGTACGAGGGCGTGTGGGTGCACGGGTTCTTCGGTCAGAACTGGTTCGACGAGCGCCGGGCCATCGAGAGCGTCGACCAAGAGGCCAAGACCATCACCCTCGCCACCCCCACCAACTACGCGTTCAAGCGGGGCCAGCGGTTCTACTACTACAACGTGATCGACGAGCTCGACACGGCGGGTGAGTACCTGATCGACCGGGACAACGGCGTGCTCTACTTCTACCCGCCGTCGGCCATCGCCTCCAACACCGACGCCGTGCTGTCGGTCCTCAACAGCGCGCTCATCGCCATCACCGGCTCCAACATCACCTTTTCTGGTTTGCTCTTCTTCTTCTTCTTTGTTCACACGACACACGCACACGACACAAGTACACACGACACACGCACACACGACACTCGCCTCAACACACACGGCTAAATGGTTGAATGTCGACGCAGGTTTCACGCTGGAGGCGACGCAGAACACTGCGGTGACCGTCAGGGAGAACGGATCGGGTAACGTGATCAAGAACTGCGTCATCAGAAACGTCGGCGAAACGGGCGTGTCCATCGCCGGCGGCACAGACAACATCGTGATGACCTCTGAGCTCTACAACATGGTACGTACATTCCACACATTCTAGGTGTGTCGTGCATTGAGTTTGCGTGTCGTTCTGATGTGCTCCTTTGGGGGGAGGGGCTGAGCAGGGCAAGACGGGAGTAAGCATGAGCGGCGGCGACCGCAAGACACTCACGCCGTGCAACCACATGGCGTTCGCCAACCACGTGCACGACTATTCGCGCTTCATTCTCTGCTACCAGCCCGCTTTTGGCGCCAGTACGCTGACTCACCTTCCAGTCCTGATCACTGATGAGCAACAAAACGCACGACGCTCACCACTGCACACACGACACACACGACACGCACGACAGACGGTGTGGGCGTCAAGATCGTGAACAATAAGATCCACACGGCGCCGCACAACGCCATTCTGTTGGGTGAGAGCAACAATATGGAGATCTACTTCAACGAGATCTACGACATGTGTCGCGAGGCCAGCGACGTGGGCGCCTTCTACCAGGGCCGCGACTGGACCGGCCAGGGCTCCTACATCAGCTACAACTACTTCCACGACTCCTTCGGCTACGGCTCGGAGGGCGTGAGCGCGATCTACTTCGACGACGAGAACAGCGGCAGCACTGCGTTCGGTAACCCACCGCACACGCACATGCACACGCACATGCGCACACACTCCACCATTGTCTGACACCTCCAATGCAGGTAACATCATCGTGAACATGGAGTTGGGCATCCTGATGGGCGGTGGCCGCAGCAACCACGTCGACAACAACATCTTCATTAACCTCGACAACGGTGCTCACCCTCTTCACTCTCTCTTCGCTCTTCGTTCTTTTTCGTTCGTCCCCCCCCAAATCTGACCGTGCCCTCTCCGGTCATAGCCGCCTACGCTGGCGATGCGCGCGGTCTGCCGGGCCAGGTTCCCCAGAACAACAACACCCTCTACACGCGACTCCTCGCGCAGCCCTACCAGACCCAGCCCTGGTCCACCCAGTTCCCCGAACTGGTCACCATCCTCGACGACCCCGTCAGCCCCCACGCTCCTCGCGTACCACTCCCCACCCCCATGTGCGGTAGTGTGTGCGGTGATGCGTGGGCGTGAGTGTGTTGCGCGCGTGTGTGCGGTGGTGTGTCGCTGACATTACGACCACAGTACAATTCGTATCGGCACAACGTGGCCTGTAACACAAAGAACAACCAGCGCCTCTCGACGGCGGCCGCCCCCTACATCCAGAATGTGACGTCGGACAACTGGTGGCTGAAGAACAGCACCACCTGCCAGAAGGCCATCTTCCCCTACCTCCAGTCGACCGGCTCGCTCGAGATCAGCCCCAGCGCCCCGTTCCTGGCCAACATCACCTTTTCCGCGATCCCCTGGAAGCGCATTGGGCTGGCGGGCGCCTACGAGAGCCTGCCCGCCAACCTGCCCGGCCTTAGTACGTCGACGTCTCCCCCACCACCACTCACTCACCAGCCATGCTTGCGTGCCATGGGCTGACCGCATTCCTTCTCCTCGGCGCACGCACGACACACACGACACACACGACACACACGACACACACGACATGTACACAGAATATGGCAAGATTGTGACGCCCCAGGCTGCGAAGGACACCAGCGCCGCGTCTGGCTTTGCGCGCAGTCCCCTGGCTCTCGCTCTGCGTTTCCTCTTCTAACCTCCCCCCCACCTGTAATCATGATCAAACTTTTGACAACAAGACGCGAAGAGTTGCTGAAGTGTACTGTTCTTGTGCTGTCGCTGTAGTTTGGGGTTTGTTGTCACAACATGATCAAACGCGCGGGTCGAGAACAATGAACTGGACAGCGTGCGGGGCCAGGTTCTTCGCGGTGAACTGCCTGGTCTCGGGGGGGGGGGCAACGCTCGATGGAGTCAGCCTACAATCGACAGAGGAAGAGAAGAGGAGGAGAGGGCGTGTGTACCCGGTGAACTGGCCCAGGGCCTGGCCCGACCAGAGGTCGGTCGCTCGGTACGTGGCGGAGGAGGACGACAGGCCCAGCTGGGTCCAGGTCACCGTCACGTCCTCGTTTCCCCACTGATCTGCTCGTTTTTAAGGTGGCGAATGCGTTGCGTTGACCAAGGAGAGAAAACAGTCAATGCGGGTCAGCAGATAACAGTTGAACCGCGGAGGACTGGGTTGGGGTCGGTAGGTACTAAAGTCGTAGAGCACGCCAGCGCGATTGAACAGAACGACGGCGATGCGGCCGTTGGTCATGTTCTTGGCCCACACCTCGGTCCACGAGCACTTGAGCCACAGGCACGCTAGCGTGGCGAAATTATAGTACAAGTTCTGCTCAGTAATTGCAGATTTACTGACTCAGCATGGTGAGGGCAGGTTGCAGGTGTGTACCTCCGTCGAGGTCGAGCCCAGACTGCACGCTGGCCACGACTCGGCCCTGCAGGCCCAGAGGGTCTTGGTTGACAGCGATCACCTCCGAGTTCGTCAGAATGGCCTGGATGGCCGGCGTCATCGTCTGATGGTCGAGACAAACAGCGTACACATCAGGTTTCTCGCACACGAAATACACAATCAAAGGAAAAAAATTAAAAAAAGAGAGAGAAAGAAATAGATAGGGAATGGATGAAAAATCAAAATAATAATAATAATAAAAATAATAATTTCATGGGCGTACGCGCAGGTCGTTGCCGGTGATGAGGGGCGCGGCCATGATGGCCCACAGGGAGAAGTGGGACCGAGCCTGGGTGTCGTCGAGCCAGGCGGCGGGGGCAAGGGGCAAGTTGAAGAAGGTACCATTGACGCCCACCTCCAGCATGTCCGGGTCATTGAACGCTCCTGCGTCCGTCCCACACCACAAAAGAAATGTTACCATGCTACCAGACCACCGGCTTCGGCTGCACAGGAATGCAGGACGCACCAGGCGCGGCGTAGGGGTAGAGCGGCTTCTGGGCATCCAGGATCTCGAGCACTGTCATGGCCCAGCGGAACCCGCGTGAGATCGCAGATCAGATTGGGGGTGAGCCAGCGGCAAGCGCGTACCTCGGCCCCACCAGGGGAAGATGTCATAGGTCGTGCCTGTGTGTGTGTGTGCGTGCGTGCGGTTCGTGTGCGTGTGTGCGTGTGTTCTGGTCTGTAAGAGCTTGAAGAATGCGTAGCTGCGGCAAGGGCGTACGCCAGAGGTTGCCAATCTTGGGAGCCCAGTTCCACGAGTCCTTGCGGCCCCAGTTGCAGATGCTGAACACGATCGGCCGGCCCGTCTTGTTGAGCGCCTGCGACATCTGTGAGTGTGTCGGCCCACCCGACGCCGGTCATATGATGGTACGTAGCCAGTCAGCCGATCAGTGTCACACCACATCTCACGTTGTGTGTGTGTGTGTGTGTGTGTGTGTGTGTGTGTGGTGAGAGATAGAGAGATAGAGAGAGTACCTGTCCGTAGAAGAGCCAGGGCTGGTTCTCGATCTCGTTGGTGAGGTAGCACGTATCGAACTTGAGGTAGTCGATGCCCCAGGAGGCGAACGTGTTGGCGTCCTGCTGGTAGTACCCGTTGCTGCCCGGAAAGCCTGTGTGAATGATCGACATCGTTAGGTGAAGCGAATCAAAAATCACCATCATCGCCGTAATCATCATTTGCTCCAACGAATGGTGGTTGAAAGCACCTTGGCACGTGTAAGTGCCCACATCCGAATAGATGCCCACCTTCAGACCGAGCCTGCGATTGTCGAATTGGAAATAAAAATTGTTGAATATTAAAAATAAAAAGATGAAGATGAGTTACCCGAGTGGCGAGGAAGGCGGAGAACGTACGAGTGGATGTAGTCCACGAAGGCCTTCATGCCGTTGGGAAACTTGGTCGGGTCGGGCTGCAGATTGCCTACAAGAGCAGTGTCCAGAAAGAGTGAGTGTGAGTGAAGCTACTCCAAATCGGCCGAGCCAAAGGAATGCATACCTTGCATGTCGCGCTCTCTTGTCTGCCAGCTGCGGGAGTAGTCCAAATGGCCGGTGCGGGTCAGAATCAAATCACACACACACACACACAGAGAGAGAGAGGGTTGCGTGCCAGTCGTCGATGTTGAGGAAGGTGTAGCCGGCCTTGGCCATGCCCGAGGAGATGAGGGCGTGGGCCATCTGCTTGAGCGTGGATTCATCGTAGTTGCACTGAAACGTGTTCCACGTGTTCCAGCCCATGGGCGGCGTGCTTTCAGGTCAAAATACAAATAAATAAAAGATTTAAAAAATCGTCCGGCAGTTTTTATGTTTTAATGTTTTATGTTTTGGTTGTTGTTTTAAAAACAAAAATAAAATAAGCTACGCTCTCAGAGAGAATGAGGAAGAAAGAGGAATTCCGGGGGGGGGATTGTACAGTGCGAGGCCGTTGTCCAGCGCGAGGGTTGCGGCAACGCTTGCCACCGCGAGGGAGATGGCGAACAACTGGCGGCGGGTCAGCATTGCTGCAGAAGGCCAAGATAGCAGTTGTCACTGGGGCTATCGGAACAGGGCCGCAATATTAGCGGTCCGCTCCCCCTGTCGACACATAAGGTACCGGCCTCCCCTTCTTTCACTCTTTGTTTCACTCCTCCTGACCGAACTCAACTCTACTGAGAGCCGTTGTGTAGCTTGGAGTAAAGACTTTGTGTCACTCAAGTGCGCTCTTCTTCGGAGGGCGTAAAGCGCTGAAGATTGGCACGGCCTACAGGGTGAGGCAGAAAGGGGTGGATGGCGGTGTGGTCACGTCCTGCCGCCACGGCCGACGTGTTGCGCGCGCGTGAACACAAAAAGGCGCAGCATCTCCTTTTTGACGTGCTCGTTCGATGGCACGGGCTCGGAGCGCGCGCAAAGCGTGAAGATCGGCACGACCTGCGCCACGAACCCCAGGCCCTGAGCCACTTTGTGCAGCTCTAGATGTGAACAACCCCCAGCACACGCGTGGTTTGTCAGACATCAGACATCGAAGCGTAGGCTGGTGGGCGCTCGCGAGAGAGTACCCGAGTCGATCACTTTTTCTCGGTTCACGTGGGCCAGGATGAACAGTGGCGGCGAGCCGTCGGCGCATCGTTCTCGAGAGAGCAGCGAATCAACCGACTTCCACAGTTGCTCCACCGCCGTCAGGTAGTACCTGCAGTTGAGAGTAAGCTTACGTTCAACGCGAGAAAGAGACCATTGATGCCTGACGCTGCGCTGTGATGGAGGCGCACAGAGTGTCCGACGCGATGACAACATCGAATCGCGGGAGTTCGTCGCGTGTATCGGTTCCCCACACCAGCTTCTCCACCTTCACCTTGTCTTGAACGTCTGATGTTGGCGCGTGTGTCGTGAGTGATGTGTGACCACACACGTCCATGGCAGTGCGCAGCAAGGTGAGCGAGAAAGATGAATCATTCTAACCTGTGTTCAGTTGAACGCTCCGCTGCAGCGTGTCGAGCACTTGTGGATCCTTGTCGGTGAGCCACACGCGGTCGCAGTATCTCGCGGCCAACAAGCCGCTCAGGCCTTGAATCTCACCCAGGCGCGTCAGCACCATCGTCAGCAGGCCTAACCAGGCCTCAGGGGGTGGTCCTTACCTGTGCCTGCTCCCAGTTCCAACACTGTCTTACCGGCAAACGTGTGCTTGTGAGCCACGATGTACCTGTCTTCAACCACAGGTCAGGTTGCGTGAGTTGCGGGGCCTTGTCTCAAGGCAAGGCATGTGCTACGCACTTGGCAAGGACCAGCGCCGCTGGCCACACGGAGGTGCCCGTGGACTTGGTAGGCAGTGCCCTCCCTTCCTGCGCTGTGTGACAATTTTTATTACAATTTTTCTAAACAATTCAATAACAACATATGCTGAGGCAAAGTACCAGCAGACGACTCCCGCACCATGCAGAGGCGCACATGCTGACCGGAGCCATCAATGGGGTACTCCACAACGTCCACGCCCGAGTCTTCCATCTTCGACAAGCGCTTTGGCCTTTTTCTCTTTTTTTCTTTCTTCCAATCAAACCGGAAAGTGCCGAACGCGCAGCTTCAGGCAGCGCTCAGCACTGCCTTTGCTGTGTGGAAAGCTTCCAAATAAGAGACACGAGGAGAGATTCAAAGTAGAGGTTTGTGCCGCAGCGTTGTTTATATTTTATAACAACTTTCAAGATTTATTTCAGTAATTGGATTTGATTGATGAACGAATCTTCTCTCTCTGCAGAACAGCAGAAGAGACAGAGCGGAGCTTGGCGATGTGGGGCGACGAGTTCCTGCGGTACCTCGTGCTTGGGGTGTTTCGCATCCTCCTCCACGTGTTCTTCAACGACGTCGAGGTCGTTGGCCGCCTCAACGTTCCCAAAAAGGGACCCGTCATCTTCGTCGGTACGCTGACCACCCCATCGTGGGCTCGCGTTCTCTCTCAGAGGACTAAAGCAACGCGACAGGCAACCACCGCAACCAGTTCGTGGATGCCATGATCATGTTCAGCAGGCACCTCTCTCCCTTGGCCCTCGACTCCTCGCCTTACAGCTGCGCTAACGCACGCACACACGACACACGACACACGACACACGCCACACGCCACACGCCACACGACACACGACACATGACACACGACACATGACACACGACACACGCCACACGACACACACAGGACGGGCCGCACGCCTTCGTTTATCATCGCCGAGGTGTCGCTGAAGCGGAAGGTGATCGCCTTCTTCGCCAAGATCCTACGCTGCGTGCCGATTCATCGGCCGCGCGACGTCGCCATGGCCGGTGAGGGCACAATCCAGAGCGAAGGTATTTTACAATGCATCGCCACATTCCGCACAGCCTTTGGTGGATTGCACAACCCGTGAAGACCCAACGCGCCATTATTGATCGACGGCGTGTCTTCGTGCGCGTTACAGGGGCTCAGGTGCACGGCGCGGGCACCAACTTCAAGTCTAGCGTGACGATCGGAGACGAGCTCATCGTGCACCAACGACCCGATTGGAGGTGTCTAAAGATCACACTTGTCTCTTTCACACACACACACACACACACACACACACACACACACGCACCACACACACCACACACACAAACGCACACACGTCGACGGGTGTCAATATTGACCTTCGTTGTATTCATGCAGAGGGCGAGTGACTGCGATAGAGTCTGACACGGAGCTCACGGTGAGCGAGCCCATCACGCCCCCGTTTGAAGAGGGACAAAAATTCAAGGTATGTTTGATTGTTTGTTTGTTTGCCCGCCTCACTTCTTGTGGGCGCTGATCGATCGAGTACTGGCTATGCGTCGCACCTTCTGCAGGTCTACAGGAAGATCGACCAGTCGCATGTCTACGACAAGGTGTGGGACGAGTTGGCCCGAGGAAACTCGTACGAGTTTTTTTTATGTCTGCGTTTGTTTTAGCGTGTGACCCTTCATGCAGGACCCAGCCTTACACGCATGCTACTCTGTGTTGTTGTTCCAATTCATCTCATTCTCGTAATTCTTCTTCTGATGACGTGTCATCAGGATTGGCATCTTTCCCGAGGGTTCCTCGCATGATCGAGCGGATCTGCTGCCGCTCAAGGCGGGCGTGACGCTGATGGCGCTCGGCGCGGCTGCCAAGCACAACGTCGAGGTCCAGATCGTGCCTTGTGGCCTGACCTACTTTCATGGACACCGGTACAGATTCCTTGTTTTGTTTTTGTTTTTTTCAGCATTATTTCATAGGGCTGGTACTAAAACTTGACTGCAGGTTCCGAGGCCACTGCATCGTGGAGTTCGGTCAGCCGCTCGTGGTGTCTCCTCAGTCGGAGTGGGTGGAGCGCTACAAGGACAAGGACCAGCGCCGCCAAGTGTGCTCCGACCTCCTGGACCAGGTCGAGAAGGGCCTGCGCGGGGTGCTTCTTTCCTCTTCGTTCTTCGTTCTTCTTCGTTCTTCTTCTTTGCTAGAAATTGACTCCTGACCACCCACCTCTAGGTGACGTTGAACGTGCCCACCTACAAGGACCGCCAGGTGGCGCTCACCGTGCGGTCGCTCTACCAGCCGGCATCTCTGCAGCTGTCCTCCAACAAGTACCAGATGCTCAACCGGTACGCCCTCACTCTTGCGCGAGGCCTTGCAAAGCACAGCCGGGTGGCGACCCTGACCACCACTGACTGGGACAAACCAGGTCGTTTGCCGACATCCTGTTTCACCACAACAAGGACAACGAACGGGTGCAGTTGTTGGTGAAGAAGGTGAGACGCTACAACAAGCAGCTGCACCGCTACGGGTTCAAGGATTACCAGGTTTCCCTCCAACACCAACCAACTGTCGCCTTTGCTTCGCATGACCACACGCATGACCACCTTCTCGCAGGTGGCAGAAGGGTTCGAGAAGGTCAGCAAGCGCCTGTTCCTGCGCATGATTCTCAGGCGAGCCCTCTATCTGGTATGCTGCAGCTGACCCCTGCGATCTTCTCATGTTGTTCATAACACTTGACAATTTGTGGGTTGCTGGAGGGCGCGAGACTGGGTGTACCTGACTGGCGCCACAAACAACCAATGTCGACCTGCGTGGCGGGTTAGGGTCCGCTGGTGGCGCTGGCATTGCCCGGAGCGCTGCTGAATTTGCCCGTGGGCTTGCTGGCGCGTTACGTGGCCACCAACAAGGCTCGCACCATCGCCCCGAACGACCCCAACACTATGTACGGCGCTCTGGACGTCATCGCGTCCTATAAGGTTCGTAATCCACTACGTTCATTCGTGATTTGCGCGCATGTGTGCTAACGCACGTATGTCGTTGATTGTGTGTGTGTGTGTGTCGATCTCCCATAGATAATCATTGCAGGCTTCGGCGCGCCGATTTCGTATGTCGTGTACTTCCTCGCCGCGTGGTGGGTCTGGGGGTCGCGTCCCGCGCTGGCATTCTTGGCATTCCTGCCCATTTTCTCGTACGCCAGGTACGTTCGATCGACACCACCGCACCCGCACGCGTGGAGGCCTCGCTCGCGCATCACCAGAATGTACTGTGATTGATGTACTTTTTGCGCAGCATTCGCGTGCTGGAGAAGGGAATGGAGCAGCTGCGACTGCTGCAGGCCGTATTCCATCTGGCCAGGGCTCGCCGCGAGCTCAATTCCCTCAAACAGACGCGCGCCGAGCTTCAGACCGAAGTGCGCCGTCTCATCGATGAATTGAGCCCCGAGTACGATCAACGTTCTGTGCGTGTGCGGTGGCGTGTGCGGTTGTGTGTGCGGTTGTGTGTGCGGTAATTGATCGGAACTAGGGAGCGTGGCGAGGAGTTCGCGCGTCACGGCGTTCACCGGGAGATGAAGCAGAAGTGGAAGGCCGAGGAGGACGAGCGCAGCCAGGACGGCACTGCCCGCAAGCGAGTGCTCTACCGCCGCCGCTCGTACAAGAAGCTCGACGAGTTCTCCGGGTGCGTGCACATGCATGCCCCCCTTTAGTCCCACATAACTTCAATTTCCCACAACTAACGCTCATGGCCCTCTCCTCTGTTCGCTCTCAGGAGCGTTGAAGGAATGCAGGAGGCGCTGGAGAAGGACGAATTCCTCTGAATTGGTCACTGTACGCCCTGCCTCTCCTTCACTGATGAGAAGATACCAAGGATGGCCAGCATGCCCGTGAACCCTCATTTTCGAAATATAACAGGACATCACCGGAATGTGCATCACATTTTGATATCTGATGAAGAGGAATCTTATTGGGCGCTAGAGCACTCTAGCACACTAGCGCCCTTTGACTAATGCCGTCTTGCCGAAGATCTCATCATGTGGAGGTTATCTTGCCTCGCATTGGTGGTCCTGTTGACTCTCTGTCTCTGGGCGGGACCACTGCCCAAGAACTGGCACCTTCCTAACCCTCCGGTTCGCCCTCGAGCTCGCCCCTGCACGCCCTCGCCCTCGCGCCCGGCCTCGGCCCTCTCCCAGCCGTTCGCCCTCGCACAACCGGATCAGAGTTGAGCCGTACCGCTCGTTTCGCATTTAACGAATTACTCAGTGTGCGTGTGCGTGTGCGTGTGGGTGTGCGTGTGCGTGTGCGTGTGCATTGTGTGTGCGTGTGTGGATTTGCCGCTTTCTGTGCTCTTAATTAATTCAGCTTTGAAATGAAAATAAAAGCAAAGAGAAACAACTTTAAATTGCGTTCGCCAACATTCGAAGAAGAAAGGCCAACAACGCCAAGCCCCACCCGATCACAAACTTTGTTAACTTACTGGCGGTCGGTACGTCCCAGGCCAAGATTACGCAACATAACGATTAAATGAATGAATGTGCATATTAATGATCAAACAATTAATCAATTAATCAATTAATAATGAGAACAAGTCGAATGGTGCACATCAGCTTACGAAGTTGCGATTGTTTTCAGACGGCCAGTGAAGGATGGAATCTCAGGCCTCTTCTTCTTCTTCGACGGCAAGTAGCAGTACTTACGATGCCGCCAGCCTGCCGCCGGTAGACCTCTTCGTCGAGCGACTGCACAAGGCCGCCGCGTCGGGCGACCTCGCTGCGCTCAACCTTCTGCTCGACGCGCTCCGCGAGACCGCCGGGCGCGAGCGCGAGCTCGCCGCCTTCGTGTCCTCGTCCCTGTCGTCATTGCTGGACTCGCCGGGACTCGAAGCCGCGTCGGCTCAGCGCGGACGCCGGCAGCGCGACGTGCGCATCCACCTGGGCATCGGGCGCGACGACGAGGGCCGCGGCGACTGCTACGACCTGTTCAAGGGACCTGACCTGCTGGGCCGCACGGCGCTGCACCAGGCCTGCTACCACGGCCACTCCGACTGCGTAAAGGCGCTGCTCGAGTTCGACGTCGCCCTGCGCGAGCTCATGTTTGGCGCCGAGCAGCCCAGCGGCAGCAAGAAGGCTGCCCAGCAGCCGCAGCCACAGCCGCCGCCGCCGATTCGCCGTTCGACATCGTCGGTCGGCGCTGGTGGCGGCCAGCGCAATGCGCTGAGGAAGAGCATGGCACGGTCGGTGGCCGGCCAGCCAACGCTGGCGGCGTCGACGGGCGCCGGCGTGGCGGGCAGCGTCGCGGCAGGCGCGGCGGCGGCGGAGCAGACCAGCGTGGTCCCCGCGGACGCGGAGACGACGGAGGCCGGCCACGTCGACGAGGGCGAGCGCGAGCAGGAGGGCGAGGGCATGGAGCGACGGCGGCTTGTCGACACGGGCGACCTGCGTGGGCTGCTGCCCATCATGGTCGCCATCTACCGCGGCAACAAGGACTGCGTGCAGGTGCTTCTTGGCCACAATCCGACGCTTGACGCCCTACAGACACAGGTACATACGGTTGTGTTGTGTGCGTGTGTGCGTGTGTGCGTGTGCGGTGATGTGTGCGACAGCGACTCACGCAATGCGGATGGCCACGTCGTATCATATCACGTTCCAGGTGTTTGCCTATGAGCAACGGCATCCGTATCGCGCGATGGAAAAGCGGTCAGTGCAGTCGCTCTACGCGGTGACGCTTAACCCCAACGACCTCTACCGCGTCAACTTGTCGCTCGACTCCCTTGAGGTGTGTCGTGTGTGTCGTGTGTGTCGTGTGTGTCGTGTGTGTCGTGTGTGTCGTGTGTGTCGTGTGTGTCGTGTGTCGTGCGCGCACTCAGACACAATGAGCCCGTGAACTGACAACGAATGCACGGGCAGGTTTACAACGGCACCGATGACTTTGGCAGCGCGAGAGCCAACACGGGCGTGTATCGGCAGGAAGGCCGTTGGTACTTCGAGGTGGAGCTGCTGACCGGCGGCCTCGCCCAGCTCGGCTGGGCCACTCGCCAATCGTCGTTCAACGTACGGCGCCAACCACCACGGAACGCCGTGACACCGTCTCACAGTCCATGTGCACTGTTGATGCGTGGTGACGAACTCCTCCAGAAATCGACGGGAGTGGGCGATACCGGCTCCTCGTTTGGGTTTGACGGGTTCAGGTGCCGCGCGTGGCACGATCTCAAGAGCAGCCCGTACGGACAGAGGTGGAAGGCCGGAGGTAACGCACACGCACACGCACACGCACACGCACACGCACACGCACACGCACACGCACACGCACACGCACACGCACACGCACACGCACCTTCTCCTCACACTGACCTCTGTGCTTACTGGCAATTGCAGATATCGTGGGTTGTGAGCTCGACCGCAGCAATGATCAAATCAGCTTCTACCTCAACGGGCAGCCGATGGGCGTTGCCTTCACGAAGATCGGGGACGACATCAAGCTGTTCCCTGCCGTCAGGCACACACTCCTCTCTCATTATATTAAGACGCCGTGCGGCATGTCGCGCGAGCTGATACTGACCCGGAGGCTCTGGTGGTGCGGGCGTGCAGTGTGGATGCGACTGAACGGTGTCGCCTGAACTTTGGCGGAAGAGGCGGCGAAGGGTTCAGGCACCTGCCCGACGGGTGCAAGTCGCTGTGCGACCTGATCCCCGAGGCTCAGGCGCGCCTCACCCACTGGAAGCTGCGCGCCCTCCATGGCACCTTCGTCAGCGAACCCGCGATGAGTACGCGCTTTCCCTGCGAAACGCAAACGCAAACGCAAATCTAAACGCAAACGCAAATCTAAACGCAAACGCAAACAAACCGCAGAGCTGCCTTGCATGAACTTGGGTCAACAGCGACTCAAGTTGCCACTGGCCTGGGCCACCGTGTACGGTGGTGCCGGGGCGGAGATGTTCGACCTACTCCTGCGCGAGGCCAGCCCGCAGGCCGTGGCCGGCCAGCTGCGCCTGCTGGCCGCCGATGGCGCCGAGCAGGGTCTGATGCCTGTGCCGCACCTGGCCAGCCTATGCGGCAACGAGGCCGTGCTTCGCTGGTGCGTCGAACACAGCAAGATCCTTGGCGCCAAGGGACGCGCCCAGGCGAAGCCGCAGCAGCAGCAGCAGCTTCTGTTCGACCTGGCCAACGACCGCGACCGCGTGGGAGCCACTGCACTGCACTACGCGGCGCTCGGGGGTCACCTGGCGTGTGTGCGGCTGCTGGTCGAGGAGGCTCACGTCCCGCCGGACACGACCATCAAGAAGTCGACCGCCCGCACGCTCAAT